TTGTCTTTAGCTCTAGAAATGGAGTCCACACACAGGTTTGGGACAGATGAGCTGGTGAATAAGGTGTGGAACTTGTGGAACCTAATAGGTTGTATGCGGTTATATGTGAAAACCTGGCTCTGTGGGAGAGGGCAGAGCTAGATTTCAATTACGAGCTTTTTTTTTTTTTTTTTTTTTTTTTTGGTCTTTTTGAGACAGGGTCTCTCTATGCAGTTCAGGCTAGCCTTGAGATCACTTTGTAGCCCAGGCTGGCCTCAAATTCACAATGATCCTCCTGCCTCAGCCTCAAAATTATGAGCTTTTAAAGAAATACTATTTTGATTCCCGAACCTTCACAGTGTTTTGTTTTTTTTTCTGGTACTGGGAATCGAACTCATGACCTCACGCTTGCCATGCAGAGCTGTGCCACTGAGCTGTATCCCTGGCCCCCTTCAGTTTTATATTGAAATTCCAGTTGCTTTTGGGGCTGAAGTTTAGAGTCTTTTTTTTTTTTTTTTTTTTTTTTTTGAGACACAGTCTTGCTAAGTAGTCCAGGTTGGCCTTGAACTCGAGATTATCCTCCTGCCTCAACCTCCTTAGGGCTGGGACTACAGATGTGCACCACTACACCCTGCGTGGTCTAGATTTTGAATAGGACTTAGCAAGTGAAGAAATGGGAGTTCTCGAATTTTAGGAGTACTGCTGCTCGTTCCTCTCACTTATTGCCTATGGTAGGACTGGTCTTCTGTGTTAAACAGACCTCACAGTAGGCCGGGGAGATGAAGGCCATGAGGGTAGAAAACTTCCCTTGGCTTGGACAGTGTTGAAGTTACTGATGCACTTTTCAGAGCAGTGGCGTGGTGAGGAAGCGGGTTGCACTGAGTCTTGCAGTGACTGCGCGAGGAGGAAGGATGTTCAGTGCGCACTACAGGTGGGTGCTGCATTCATCTGGCTTCTTAGGTACAGTTTAGAGAGTAAGGGGGAAGCAGTTGTATTTCTAGAAGACAAGGTTGTCCGGAGGAGATAAAGGTCACTGGCAGGCTTTTAGCGAGGGACATTACCTAAATATGTCTCAGTGTTTCCAAGTACCTGTAGGTAGAGGACGTAGAAGAGAATTTGTTGACTATTGAGTCAGAATGCAATCATTATTCCAGTGCAGGCCACTATCTTTTTCTTCATTTGAGTCACTGTTAGCACTCCTCACTTTCTTCACAACAATTAGAAGCTTTTTTTTGGTCTTTTTGAGACAAAGTCACGCCATGTAGTTCAGGCTGGCCTTGAGCTCACTTTGTATCGCAGGCTGGCCTCAAACTCACAGTAATCCTTCTGCCGCAGCCCCCTAAGTGCTGGAGATACAGGTGTGTGCCATCACGCCTGGCCAGAATTTTTTTTTTTTAGGAATCTCTGATTCCTCTTCGTAGTGTATGTCTGTAAGAAGTGGGCTTCATTGGAAGTAACTGGCTTGCAAAAGCATCTGAACGTGTGTGGAGCATTTGATGAGATTAGGGATGTGAGGCTACAAGGAGTTATGCCTGGGCAGATGTGGCTGCTGACCCTGGAACGAGGAGCGCTTGGAGGAGTGTTCAGTTGTGCCCTCTAGTGGTAGAGACTATTGGGAAGCATATTGGCTCCATAGAGCTATTTAAAAATAATTTGTAATAAAAATACGTGTATTTTTCCTTCTTTTCTTGTATAAAATACACCACTGGGCTACTATACCAAATAGTATAAGTGGGAAGTTGCTCTTTGCACAAGTAGTCCAGCAGTAGACTAAAGACTGGCTGTTTTAAGTATACTTTGAGCCCTTATTGTTGGAAAGATCATGGTCTTTTTAGTTCTAAAAACTTAGATTGGAGTATTTGTTCTGCTACCGTGGTCAAGATGTTTAAACTCTCAGCTTCATTTTTATAAATTACTGTTACCATTTTTTAGACATGTTCTTGCTTTACGGTTCAAGTTGGCCTCAAAGTCACAGAAATCCTCCTGCCTCAGCCTCCCAAGTGCTGGGATTACAGGTGTGCACCATCATGCAAAGCTAAAATATTATATTGAAGTTGTCATCACGCTTACATGAGAGTAAAGGAGCTAATTTGTGTATAAAATTCCCAGCTTCTCTTCTCAGGGGTATTAATTCCACTTTTTCAAGAAGGAACCCAGCTTTGCAGGCCTCTGCTGGGAGGTGGTGTCCTGGAAGGTCCTACAGCATTGTTTGGATCACTCTGTTGTTTTCCTTCTGGGTTGTTTAACCTGTCTTATGGTAGTTGAATTAAATAACCTGTAAGCCCAAGACTAATAGTAAAGGAAATAAAAAAAACCACCTAATAGTAATGAACACTTCTTCTAGCACCTTGATTATGACCTTTTTATGTATTAGAATCAAGGCTAGACCTGGGGATATAACTAAGTGGCATAGCGCTTGCCTGGCAAGCACAAGGTCCTGAGTTCAATTTCTGGCACTGAAAAAAAAAATCAGGGCTACTTGGAGAAGTGGTTGAGTCCACATCTGAGGCAAGAAATAATACAAGAAGAACCTGGAACATTTTGACATAACAAATAGAAAAGAAGCTGTTAAATCGCTGCTAGGCTATATCAGAGGATCCAGGAGCCAATCTGAAGAGTCACACTGGTCAAAGATGAGACAGTGAACATTGTTAAAAGTAATTACACTGAAGTAAATTGGTAAAAATGTTCGTTACTTTTAGAGGATATTAGTTTTTTGTTGTTGTTTTTTTTGTTTTTTGGGGTTTTTTTTGGTTTTTTTCCGGTACCGGGAATCAAACTCTCAATGTTGCGCTTGCCAGGCAAGCGCTGTGCCACTGAGCTAAATCCCCAGCCCCTTTTAGAGGATATTAGTGAACCAAGCTGTTACTTTGAAAACCAGTCCAAAAAATTATTAAGATGTTTCCTTCCTTTTTTGTATAAACTATACCACTGGTAACTACACCAATATAGTTTCTTTTTGCATAAGTAGTTTAGCAAGTAAAAAAGGATCACTGGAATGGAATCACTGTTCAGGAACTTTAGTGAACCTAAGTCACTGTCATCACCAACCAGGCACCGTTCACCCCCTTTTGGAATAATACACCACCACATACAAAGCATCACCAAGAGTAGAACTCACGTAGCATTGAATCTCTGCACCCACTTGCCATCATGTCTTCACCCAGTTTACATGAAATGAAGAGGACAGAAATATTTTAAGACATGTTGTGGATAAAATCAGCAAATCTGGATGTCTAAAAATTGAGACTTCATTGTCGGGAAGATCATGATTATTTTTAGTCATAAAAACTTACATTGGAATCCTCATTCTGTTGGCTATGACCATGGGCAAACCAAACATTTCCCTGAAAATAGGATCAGAGGAGGTTTAGATGGGTGGTGGAAAGGACTTGTTTAGCCATGGATTGCTGGTTTTGGGCCTGAGTGACTTGTGCAAGAGTACTCGTTATATGCTTTTTGATGCTTTTCCATAGGTTCAGAATTGTCCATGATAAAATGGTTTTTAAAAATGTAGGATGAGAAGATAGAAATATTGGAAGTGAATCCTCATCTGTATCCTCACTTAATGCATATTTTTTTTCAAGTGTTACTTTATACATGTAAGCATACTTTTATATTTATTAGCCATGTGCCATTTTTAATAATAGATATTTACTGTGCTTTACCTGACCTTCATGTTATCTCCAAGTATATCATTTAGTAGATTTTTACCCCTTTTTTGCTTTCATAAATCTTAGCAACTTGGCGATGCATTTTAATGCTTTTGTTGAATTTTCATTTAGTCTAAACCACTGATTTAAAGTGACTTAGTCCCTTTCATCCTGGGTGTCTCTTACCTTATAGAACTTCAGGCAGCCCCAGGTTATTGGCTACTCCTAATACTAGTTCTCCCTCTTGCTTTTTGACACAGTTCTGCAGAAGGATCTTTTCCCACTTTTGGCAGAGGGTTTATTCTTTTTTTTTTTTTTTTTTGTGGTACTGGGGATTGATTCCAGGACCTTCACATTGAGGTGCATCCCCACCCACTCTCCCCTCAACCTGTTTTTCTTAATTTCCAGAGAGGCTTTCACTAAATCATTATATTGCCCTGTCATGACTCAGACTTGCAGTCCTCTGCCCCTAAGAGTTCTGCAATTTTTTTCTTTTTATAAAGATACGTTATTTTAAAGTTAAAGTAATCCCTTTCTCCCAGTTCCATTTGTTAGAGGCAGCATGTGTTACTAGCTTAGAGTATATTTTAAATTTTCTTTTTAACAGTAAATACAGATTTTCTTACTTCTTATACTTCACTATATTCTAAAATTCTTTACACTAATTGTTAATTGCCTTTATTACAATATATCATGAAATAATATAAAAGCAAGTTACACTAAACACTGCTATACTCATCCAAGCAGAAAAAATAGAATATTCAGGTACAGTTAATACTGGCTTTAACTCTATTTCCCTTTGCTGGTTTAACCTTATTCTGACTGTTGTCCTTCTCAATTCCGTGTTCTTTTATGCTTTTACCGTGTGCGTGTGCGTGTGTGTATGATAACATCAATGTTACCTTTGTGGTAAGCTTCTGTATTTTGCTTTTCCTTTATGTTACAGTACTTTTAAATATCTGCACTGTTGCCAAATAGACAAGAAATAACTATTATTAAATCATTTTTTGAAGTGGTTCCAGTTTATAGTAGTTTTTATGAATCTGATGAGTGTAAGGTGGTATCTCGCTTTCGTGTAATTTCATAAAAAGTGTCCCCAACTGCCAACCTTCTCAGGGACATACTGTGAGGCTTTTAAGTTAGGGAATTGCCACTACTCAGTGAATGCCTTTCGTAGTGAACTCCTTGCTCTTGCTTAGTGTGACAGCGGTTTGTATTAAAGGTAAAATCTTTGATACCTTGAAATAATGTGGTTTCTTTCAGCTTTTCTCATGAAAAAAACTAAAATTTCCAGTGTATTACATAAAAAGTCTACAGTACCAGAGTAGTTGCCACTTCATTTTATATAGTCTTTTTTTTCTGTTGTAGGCTTCGAGCTTTGTCCAGTGGTGGGAGTATTACGTCCCCTCCTCTTTCTCCAGCTTTGCCGAAGTATAAATTAGCCGATTATCGCTATGGCCGAGAAGAGATGTTAGCACTTTTCCTTAAAGACAACAAGGTAACAAAGTAGGACAAGAGTTCAGAATTGTGAGTGAGACTTTGGGGTGTGTACAGTGATGCATTGATCTTTGAAAAAAATAAGTTTTATCAATATATTTATTTTGTCTTCCTTATCTTTATCCAGCACTGAAACCAACAATAGTTAACAGCAGCTCTGTGTAACCCAACACCCCTCCCCCACTGTTTAAAAAATGGGCTCACTGTGTAATCTAGGCTGGCCTCCAATTTACTGTGTGACCCCAGTTGGCCTTGAACTTGCAGTCCTCCCGGGTGCTGGGATTACAAGTGTGCATTAGTACATGTGGGACTCAAGTTCCCTAAAGAAGACTTAGGGCGTCATGAGAGGAGCAGTCAGTGCTTCCTGCTTCTCCTCACTAATTACCCCTTGTCCTCCATTTCTGTCCAGATTTGATGGCTGAGAAGTGAATTTCTCTCTTCTTATTGCATCTCTTAGCCTACTTTTTACTTAGAAGAAAGGAACAGGAGAAACAGCTTTTCCTATCCTTTCAATATAGGAATTCAGTATAAAGTTTTTAGTGGAGAAAAAGCTTAAAATGCAGTACCACATTTGTGACATTTAAGAATGATCAGACTGAAGTAGTATAAAATAGATTTTTATTATCTAATAAATAATAATTTTTATTTTTGTCAATATAGTTTCCACTTTATTAATGATTAGAGAATCCCCAGTTTTTTTTTGTCTTTGAGACAGGGTTTCTCTGTGCAGTTCAGGTTGGCCTTGAGCTCACTTTGTAGCCCAGGCTGGTCTCGAACTCGCAGTGATTCTCCAGCTTCAGCCTCCCGAATGCTGGGATTACAGTCTTGTACCACCACGCCTGGCTCGAGAATCCCCAGTTTTAATGATTTTTGCTAAGGGCAGATACAGTTGCTTAAGAAACTCTTTACCATCTACTTGGAGTTAAATGTGGAGATCTGCTGTTCCACTGTGTACTCTGTAATACCAGAATTAATGCCAAATCCAGATGTGGTGGTCTCAGGAGGAGAGAAGATGACTAGGGTTTTTAATATTTGACCATCTCAAAATGTGTAAGTACCGTATAATTAATTAAAGTTAATTGTGGCTGGATAAGCTTAATCTGTATTTATAAGAATTAGCAAGAAATAGATAAATGGGAGTGGTTTTTTTCTTAGTTTTTTCTCCCTACATTTGGAGGAGTAGCATTGCTCTCATGGTCACTTTTTGTCCCCCAGATACCCTCAGACCTTCTGGATAAGGAATTTTTGCCTATTCTACAGGAGGAACCCCTGCCACCATTGGCTCTCGTACCCTTCACAGAAGAAGAACAGGTTTGTGCCTAACTCTGCCCCTGAGGTTAAACTCCTATTCCTTCTCACTAAGGTATAAAAATAGCAAGGGACTACTTATACCTTAAGGATTATCCCAAGTCTTCACAGGTCTGTTTCCTTCTTACTGTGTTTTGATAGACTCCTTTTTGTTGTCAAGATTTTGCTTTAATATCTAAAGCTGGTTAATATTATATAGAAATAAGGAAGTGCTTTTAGATCTTTAAGGATGGTGGGAACTACCCTTGTAACTTATTCAAGTAGAAAAGAAGTGTTATTTTGTAGGGCGAGCACCATCTTTTCAGATGAACATAGTTTTTTAGAAGTAATTGCCAACCTGAATTCTCATCGTTGGTTTCATTTTACCAGTAGAAGAAAATGTAGATATCTAGCTCAAAACCTGCTTAGAACTCTGCTGTGGGAAATCTTTTTTCCCTATTCACAACGCACTTTGCACTTTGTACAGATAGATAAAATGAGCCTAGCATGATTGCAATACATTGAGAAATGAATTTTGATGGCATGTTAAGAGTACTACTTTAAATGACAAATCATAACTTATTCTTTTTAAATAGCCTTATTGAGATATAATTCGCGTGATACTCTTCACCCTTTTACAGTATATAATTGAGTGGTTTTTAGTGTATTTACTGAGTTGTGCAACTGTCCTATCTTAATTACAGCATTCTGATAACTACGTGTTTTCTGTATATTTTTGGCATGTTCTGCGTGGGGAATCCAGTCTGTTAAGAAAGAGAGCCTTCATACATCAATTTTTCTATTAGAACTGTATTAAGTAAGAAAGGTACAATATTACTTGGTGATTTTTTACCAATTTTTTTTTTTTTTTTTTTTTGTCTTTTTGAGTCAGGGTCTTGCTGTGTAGTTCAGGCTGGCCTTGAGCTCACTTTATAGCCCAAGCTGTCCTTAGAATAATCCTCCTGCCTCAGCCTCCCAAGTGCTGGGATTATAGGCGTGCGGCACCAAGTCCAGCACATATTTCACATAGACAAGTTAGAGAATATTCTTATAAACACCAGGTTGTTTACCATTTAACATACAAGCTTTAAACAGTATGACATACCTTTGTTTGTTTTTAAGAAATAACATTTCTCACACATTGAAAACTGCCTGGAGAATACCTTCACTTTTTAGAGATTACCATGATTTGGTTTTTCTTTTCTTTTTTTTTTCTTTTTACTTTCCTTTTTTCTTTCTTTCTTTCGTTTTTTTTTTTTTTTTTTAAAAGATAAGGTCTCACTATATAGTTCAGGCTGGTTTTGACCTCACTGTGTAGCCCAGGATGGCCTTGAACTTACGGTGATGCTCCTGCCTCAGCCTCTCAAGTGTGCCACCATGCCTGGCTCGGTTGCCTCTTCGCCTCTCTCTCTCCTTCTCTCCCCTTCCTCCCTCCCTTCCTTCCTTCCTTCCTTTCGGCAGGGTCTCACTATGTAGTTTATGCCAGCCTGGAACTCATACTAATCCTCTTGCCTCAGCCTCCAAAGTGCTAGGGTTACAGGTTGTTCCACCATGCACACTATTTATTTTTGAGATAGGATCTTTCCATGTAGTTCAGATCAGGCTTGAACTCGCTATGTAGCCCAGGCTGATCTCAAACTGTAGGCAATCCTCCTGCCTCAGCCTCCCATGTTGTGGGATTATAGGTATATGCCACCACATCTGGCCACCTTTGAAACTTTTTGATTTGTAGAAATGAGTATATGGGTGCACCTATTTTCTCAAGGGTTAAATAGTCACTTCTGAACCACAGGAAACAATTGAACAATTAATTTTTACTATTATTCTTGGCTCAGTATTGCTTTATGTATTTAATTTTTATCTTATAAGTCTGGCTACTAAGCTCCTTTACTGCCTACTTTATATGTCTTTTTATCCTCCAGAGTGTTTACTGCGGAGGGAGACAGAAGTGGCTCCATTAATGCTAGTTTGCTAGTCAAGGATATTTGGCATTTTCAGTGACTTTTTTACAGTTACACAGGTTCATGCTTCTGTGACATCTTATTAGTAGTATTTTAGTTTCATTTGTATGTTGCAGTGACCTGCAGAAGTTTCTTCATTAATGAACCAAAATTACACACTGAAAACAACAGCTTCCAGCAATATCAATTGTGTGGTCAGTGTAACCTTGAAGAGTGTATGGAGGCTGCTGAGATCCCAGGAAAGGACATATGAGAGAATAGAGGAATAGATGCTCTACTGATTTGCTAAAGATCGTATCTGAATTGCACCTACTGTGCAGTCCTGATTATTGATGAGCACTTTCTGTATCATTGCTGTATTGTAAGATATTTTCTGAATAATTTTCATCCTTCTCTTTTCTTTTTTTTTTTTTCTTTTTTTTTTTTTGGTACTGGAATTGAACTCACAACCTTGTGCTTGCTAGGTAGGCGCAGTGCTGCTGAGCTATATCCCTGGCTATCCCTGCCTTTTCTGACATGTGAGGGATCAAGGTTGCCTGCTGAAGTGATGATGGCTGCTGTTTCTTATTTTAAGGGTTATTGGACAGCTGTGTTCTTAAGAAAAACAAGTAATTTTCATTGAACTATTTTGATAATATGTCTAACACAGTATTGGAAGGACAGTTAGGTGACGAAAAGAGAAAAGACATCTATATTGGAGGGAAGAATTAAACTATGTTTGTAGATAACATGTAGATGACCCTGTATGTAGACATTCTGACATGAAACTGGCACAGTTGTAAGTTACGTGATCACACAGAAATGAGATCCGTTTCTATACACTAATGATGAATGATCTACAAAGGGAATTAAGAAAACAGTTCCATTTATAATAGTATGAAAAGAATATTTAGGGGTAAATTTAACCAAGGAGGTGTGAAACTTTTACTCTGAAAACTCCATGACAGCCTTGAAAGAATTTAACCAATTAGCAACGAAAAAGACTCTCATGCTCGTGGATTGGAAGACTTGATATTGTAAAGATCAAGTGTGATGTCCTGTCAGTGCTTTCTCTCAAAGCCTCGGTTACTGTTTTTGCTAGATACTGACAAGCTGATCCTAAAGTTCATGTTGGAGTTTCAGGGGACCCACGGAGTCAAAATAATTTTCTTAAAAAAAGATGAGAGAGTCATTTCCCAATTACAGACTTACTACAAAGCTGCAGTAACCAAAGCAGCTTGTTACAAGATAGACCCAGAGATCAGTGGGATATAGGTGAAAGCCCAGAAGGAAACCCAGTTGTTTCGGATTGCTAGGTTGCTTTCAAGAAAACGGGGAGAAGGATATCTTCTTCATTTCAGTGCTAGAATAACTAGTATTTTACTATTAATTTAAAAGTCAAAAATTTTAAAATGATATCTAATGGAAAATCTTCCTTGCATCTCCTCCCCAGCCACCTCTCTCTCCTTCCCAAAGGCAACCAGTGTTAGCTGGTTTTTGAATGTCTGTGTATGTATTTTTTTCTTTGAGATAGAGTCTCACTGTGTTGCCCACGTTGTTCTTAAGCCCAAGTGATCTTCCTGTCTCAGTTTCCTGAGCAGTGTGACCTCAAGTACATAGCACTATGCCCAACTCTGTGTATTTGTACAAGTAATATGTGAATGTATTTTCCTTCTTTTTTTTATAGAAGTGGTAGTATATGCAAAAGAGTGCTCTGCTGCTCTAACATCAAGTATTTTTATTGGAAGGATTCTACGCATATTTGGAAAAATTCATCTATTTTAGCTTGCATTTCTTTGCCCATAGCAGTGAAGTTTTTTACATATTCATGCATCATTTATATTTTTTCTTGCATGGCAATTTTTCTTTTGTGATATTAATCTTTTTCTTGTTTAGAATATTTATTTGAGCTCCTTATATCTCAAGGTGTTTTGGTATAGTTGTACCTGTACAGTTTTCTAAATTTTTAAATTACAGTTATGATTTTAAATACAGAAGCTAATTATTATTTTTTATTTACAGTGCTGGGGATCAAACTCAGGGCTTTCTACAGGCTAGGCTAGTGTTCTACTAAGCTATATCCTCAGCCTCAGAAGCTAATTTTTATATATGAATATTCCACCTATTTTTAGCCGTTTATACATACTTAAAATTTTTTCTTTTTCCTTAAATGATTTTCTAGATTGCTTAGAGACTGCATGGGCCAGAAAAGCTGTGTAACATGTTAAGAAGGATGACTTGCTACTAGTTGCCAAAACATGGTATACTTTTTTTCCCAGTACTGGGAATCAAACTCAGGACCTTGTGCTTGCCAGGCAGGCGCTGTGCCGCTGAGCTATATTCCCAGCGTGGTGTACTTTTAATCAGTGGAATGAGTAACTAAATCATTCAGGAACATTCCATAACATTTCTAAGAAATTAGTATTTACTAAGTGGGTACATAGATCATCAGGAAAAATCAAAGATAGTTCACAAATTTTGCTTGGAAACTGTTGGTTACACCAGCTAACCAGCAACAATTGGTTAGTAATTTGGACAAAAATAAAACTATAGCCTACCAAAATTAGTCCAACAATGACTAATGGAACAGATCTTATTTTTTTTCTTTATAATCGAAATGTTTATCTTAAGGTTTACATGGGGCTTAACACAAGGCTGGGGAAGTTTTCATGATAGCCACAAAAGATCATTGGGATCTATTTTTGGACCCATCACACCATTTATGCTAAAGATTGCAATTTTATGAACGTTTGCATAAAATTCTTATATGATACCTAGAAAAATTCAAGGAACAAGAATTTGAAGAGAAAAAAATCTATGATGTTCTCTTGTTATGGGTGTTCCAAAAATGGAACACTAGTCATAAAGGGATTAAATGGCATCATTGAGAATTTTGTGATACTTGGCTAGACTTTGATACTTACAAGACATAGTGGAATAAAATAGTGCTTTAGCTGGCCGAAAAATCATTACAATTTTAATGCTTGTACTTGGGATAATCACGTTACTTGTTCAGAGATTATGTAGATCATTTTAGAGTTCTGTGTACTTTTTCTTCCAGTACCTGTGGAAGGTAGAGGTAAATACATCTAATCTAAAGCAGCTTCTTTGCTGTGTGTCTTAAATTCACTAGTTACCTGACACAGATATTTAATGTTTTTCTCTTTGCCCCTTCCTTTTCTCTGTATCTGTCTAAATATGTTTTTGTAGGGTAAGATTATTGTTCAGAGATCTTCTGGTTCTTTTGATTTGATACTCTTCTTCACTATTCATCTCACTTGGAGGGTGTCATGCATGCTAGACCAGTGTTCTACCACTGAACTGTGTTCTCAGCCTGCATGTTTCTGTTTATTACCCCTATAATGTAGGTAGCTGCTGTGAGATTGCTGTATTTTATTTGATATTGCAGAACATTATTTCATTTATGCATTCTTGAATAGATACACATATAAATACACATAAAAAAACACATATAATGAAAGCAAATCTTTGACTCAACTAAACTTGGCTGCTTGTTACTCTTCCTCAGGAGTAACTGTTTATGTTTTCTTGTGCTCCCTCCAGGGGTGTTTAAGCCATCTTTCACCATCTATGTATTCTTTTAACTACTCTTCCACCGTAAATGGTAGCATCCTGTCCTGGGAGTTCCACTCTTTACTTATTTTCTCCTAAGTATCTATCAGGGATTAATAGCAAATACTTAGCCTTCTGTCTGTCCCTAGCTTTTTGTGTGTCAGATACTGTTTTAAGAACTTGACACTTAATATGAGTGCTTGTAAAAACTCATAAATAAAAATATTACCCCTATCTACATTATATAGATAAGGAAAGTGAGGTACACAAGACTTGAGTTAAGGAGCCAGCACGCAGTCCAAGGCAGTCTGGCCTCTTTTTTTTTCTTTTTTTGGTTTTTCTCCGGTACCGGGAACCGAACTCACGACCTTGCGCATGCCAGGCAGGTGCTTTTGCCACTGAGCTAAATCCCCAGCCCCCAGTCTGGCCTCTTTATGCTCCTAACTGCAACCATGCTCTGTATCCCTGTGGTTTAGGTTGACCATAAGAAATCTCAGTGTTTCTGGCTCAGAAATGGTTGACTATTAAGTATTTCATGTGATTCAACTAGGAAGTTTCTTTTTCTTTTTTTAAATAGCTGTACAGAATTCTAAACTCACAATTTTTAAATTAGCCTCTATTGGTTAATTTTTTTTCTTTCTTTCTTTCTTTCTTTTTTTTTTTTATCTTTTTGAGACAGGGTCTTGCTGGCCTTAAACTCACTTTGTAGCCCAGGTTGCTCTTGAACTTGCAACAGTCCTCCTGCTTCAGCCTCTCAAGTGCTGGGATTACAAATGTGAACCACCACATCCAGCTCTGGTCAATTTTTTTTGCACTGTATACATTTTCCCTTTTATTTTGCTTTTTTAGGTAGCTTTTTTAGCTTTATAAACTGGAAGGAAAGAAAAATGAAGTCCAGTGGTTATAAATTACTCATTTTTTATTTTTTAAAGCAGCCATTCTTTGTAGAGATGAGACAGCATGAGACAGGATCACCCGATTTTTTTTGTATGTAGTTTTTAGTATATAGTTCAGGCTAGCTTTGAACTCACTATGTAGCCCAGGCTGTCCTCGAGCTCACAGTGATATTCCTGCCTCAGTCTCCCAAGTGCTGTGATTATTGGCATATGCCACCATATCTAGCTTCTATTGCCTAGGAGATGAAAATTTCGTGTCATAGACCATGGATGTTTAAATATACTTTTGAGAAATTGCTCAATTCTAAAGAAATTATACCAGTTAGCACTTGAAACAGTAATGTGTGAGAGTGTATGAATGTATGTAGGTTTCAGCTGGGCATGGTGGTACACACTTGTAATTCCAGCCCTTGGGAGGCTGAAGCAGGAGGATTGCCATGAGTTTGACGTCAGCCTAGGCTACATAGTGAGTTCGAGCCCAGTCTGAATTACATAGTGAGACCATGTCTCTCAAAAAAAGTGTGTGTGTGTGTGTGTGTGTGTGTGTGTGTGTGTGTGTGTGTGTGTGAGAGAGAGAGAGAGAGAGAGAGAGAGAGAGAGAGTTTTTCCACACTTACGGATGTACATTGGGTTTTACCTGTAATAATTCTGTAGCTAGGTGTTCAACTATATAAGCTCCTATCATATAGTTAGCTGTGACTTCTGTTGTTTTCAGTAGTACAGTAGTACAGTATATATTACAGTATATATTAATCTAGAGTTGGGGATATCATAGTATTAATTACAGTAATGCCTAGCAGCATTATTCAGTATTGTACTGCTCTCTGCCAAAGGTAAGTGAATGTGTATACTTCAACCAGTTTACTTTTTAAGTTAGGTGTTTTCTCTAATTTTCAGTTATCAGTTACATCTTATGATTAAAAAAAAAAGATTTTTAGTTTTGAAATTGCTTGATGGTGGAGCTGGGGATTTAGCTCAGCAGCACCACGCCGGCCTGGCAAGCGCAAGGTCGTGAATTTGATTCCCAGTACCAGAAAAAAAATGAAAAAAAAAAAAGAAATTACTTGATGGTATGATTATATAGAACTCAGAATTATTTTATTTACCTTGATAGTTTCTAAAATTTACATGAACAAATTGTATTAAATAAAATCATTAAAATAAGCAGTGAGACGGGACTGGGGATTTAGCTCAGCGGCACAGCGCCTGCCTGACAAGTGCAAGGTCATGAGTTCGATTCCCGGTACCGGAAAAAACCAAAAATAAATAAATAAATAAAACCAAACAAACAAATAAAATAAGCAAGGAGAAGATGACCTACATAAAAAAATCAATGAAAATAAAAGTTTTAAATCAATTACATGTTCTTCAAAAGAGAAGGCATAGATACATAATTTACTTGATTTGAAATCAAAGCAGAAAATCAGTGGAAACCGCATAAGACTGAAACATGAGTTGAAATAAGGGATTCTTACTCCAACTCCCTTCTTCCTCCCCGGAGAGAAGGACCTTGGCTCCAGCAGAACTCAAGGTTCATCTTCCTCATTATACCACACTTGTGTACTTCTAGCACTTGACTGCTGGTTCCAAAAGTAGAGAGATTCAAGTAAGGATCTGTTACAATATTTTCTTAATACTCTCTTACAAAATTAAAACCCTCTTTCATAATTTTCTATCAAATGCCCAGGATTTTTACTTTTTATTGATATTTCTGTGACTTTTATACTTCTTGCTTTATCTTTTCCTGAGCTCGGTTTATTCCATTTATCTAGAAGTGTCATTAGGCATGTTTTTACATCCTGGCCTCCCTTATTCATGTGTGGATGCCCACCCACGACTCTTTCATTGTGCCAGGTGTAAGTTAGTGACTGAATGTTTGGTATTAAAAAAAAAAAAAAAACAACTCCTTTCTTACTCATTTATCCTTCAGGCGGTTGATTTTTTTTTTGTTGTTGTTGTTGTTTTTTTTGTTGTACTGGGAATACAACTCAGGAGCTCGAGCTTGCCAGGCGGGAGCTAATCATTTCTTTTTCTTTCTTTTCTTTTTTTTTTTTGGTACTGGGAATCGAACTCAGGATCTTGCACTTGCCAGGCAAGCGCTTGTGCTGCTAGCTATATCGCCAGCCTGGGCAGGAGCTAAAGCCCCAGCACTCGATGGTTGATCTTACGTAGATTTTCATTTGCCCTTTCCTCTTTCACCCCTGATTTCTGTCATTGTGTCAGATAGGACATGGAGATGGTAATTCACATTGCTGAAGAAAATGAGTCAAAATTTTTTTTATTGTGTTACTCTTAGAACAGACCATGATTCTCTTGCATTTTTATCTTTAGAAAGGTTGCTCTGTTGCCTCTTCACCTTGTCTGCTTTTATGTACATATAGCATTTAGTTTATTTGCTTATGTACTATTTCCTAGTGACCTAGCATTGTGTAATGCACTGGTTATCAGTTTTGTTGATCTGAAATGTTAATTTGAAATTGTTATGTGAAGCCAGGGTTAAGATTATCTCTCTGTGCCATTTAGTTACAGTTTCCCATTGCCCGTAGTGTAGTGATTAGATGCCATTTTATGGCTTCAGTGGGAGATGGGGAGAAGTAACTTGCAGTTTTATGTTTTATCCATTTTTTCTTTGTTTTCTTTTTTTATTTTTTGGCAGAGAAACTTTTCCATGTCTGTAAATAGTGCTGCTGTCCTGCGATTGACAGGACGAGGAGGAGGAGGAACAGTGGTGGGGGCTCCTAGAGGTCGAAGTTCTTCAAGAGGGCGAGGTGAGCTTCCATGGGAAAAGAGGAATGACAGGCGGAGAAGGAAATCACTTGTTACGTATTTTAATGTCTGATTTTAAAAGAAACTGCTCTTTGATGTTAATTGCATACTAAATGTCCTATATTTATTTTCTGCATCATTTGTCAAGGTATCTGTTGCTCAACTCCTGCTTTGGAGCAGAGGAGTCAAATTCTAGCTGTATCCATTTGAGCATGAGGGAGTCTAGACATTTCTGGTTAACTTCTGTAAGTTCTTGCTACACCTGTTCTTCATCCACAGGGAGCCTTCTACTTTGGGAGCCAGGTGTCCTGACAGGTCTTGACTGTTGGAGTAGCACCGATGTCCCTGTGGGTCTCCACAATAGAGTTTCTGTACAAGGCTCTCATCGGTATGGAGTGCAAGGAGTTACTTCAACCATAGAGGGACTTCAGCAAAAACTGTTTTATCAATCCTAGGAACTTGTGGGGGATTTTAACAAAGTATGATTAGGTACCATTCATATACATATGCCTAAGCAGATTTCTCTCTTACTTGCCCCCCCAAAGCACTGGGCATATATATTATTATTTATAGTTTTATAGATTTATGTCTAAGAAAAATAATTCTCTGCTCTTACTTGGTTCTTTGATATGTGCTCCCTATTTGGGATTCATTGATTTTTCTGCTAACTAAGGACATTCTTGATGTTTACTGTATAAATATTTCCTTGAGCATTTAACCTTGGTTAAATCACAGTAGTAGCTCAAACATACCTTGTAATTTTTCCGAGAGATGTTCTACAAGTGAAAGAATCGGGGTCAGCAGTGGCAAAGGCCATTGTCTTCACATCTCATGTCACCAGATTGGCACAATAAGAGTGTTGGGTGTCTAAAATTCCTTTTTCAGTGTTACGATTATGCCTTTGATACAGTCTTTATAGAAAACATGTTCAAATAGATCTCTGGCAATAGTGGGAATCCAGCTGTGAATAATGAGAGTGGGGCTCACACTTTACTTTTCTAGGTGCTGTTACTTACCATAGCTGTTTTTTCTTCTGCATTTATTTATCCATCCCATAGAACAGTGGTTTTAATCTGAGGTGTTGGCGGACTCATCTGTAAAACTTACTAGAAGTGCTGCTTACCACAGAATTGGCTTGTCTGTGAGTTAAAAGCCCCACAGGCAGGTCAAATTTCCATACCAGGTTAGATTGTGGTGGTGCAGAATTTTGTCCAAGATGTGTGCATCTTGGTGGTGAGATAGTGTTTTGGAGATGGGACTAGCCACTTTTGGCTCTGGTTTCTACATGGTCATTTCCCGTGTTTCCCTCTGTGGGATGGCAGTGAGGAGAGTTGCACTCACATAAGTGCCCCCAGTGCTGCTTTAGGGCAAGTCAGAGAAATCTGCTTAGGCTGCAAGTGTGGAGCACAATGACTGTGTGCTGCAGATACCAGCCAGTCTGCAGGCCCTCGAAGCCCTCACATGTGTAACAGCAAGTGACTGTGATGAGTGCTCCTGCTTTCTCCTTCCACACAAGAGTAGATTCAGAGCTTTGACGGGGCATGTATAAAACACAGTGTGACACATGAGAAGTAGTGACTTAATTAGGATGCTAATGTGAATGAAAGGCCCGAAACTAGTCAAATGAACGCACTTGATTTGGGAAAAATACTTGTAACACAATTGTCAGAACCACCTGTGGTTCTTTTTAATGGTCACTGTAGCTCAAAACAAGGTTACAGTTACAATCTGGTTTTATGTTTTTTATTTATTAATTTTAACTTGGGTAAGTAACAGTTATTACGGCTTTTCTTTGAATGGGCAGAGCTAACATGAGGTAATTACCCTGTTCCCAACTTGAGGACACTTTAAAAAGATTTTTTGTGGTACCAGGTACTGGCCTCAAAAAGCGCTGAGCTATATCCTTATCCTTTTTAAATTTTTTATTTTGAGACAGGGTCATATTAAGTTGCTCAGGCTCGCCTTGAACTTGGAATTCTCCTGCCTCAGCCTCTGAAATGGCTGGGATTACAGGCGTGTGTCACCATGCCTCATTTCGACTTGAGGAAATTTTGATGTGAAAATTGATTGACTTCAAGGCTTCTAAATATCATGAACTAGTAAAATTTAAACAAACAGTATAGTAGAATATAAACATTGGTATCTTTGTATTTTATGTGTTTTTAAAATAATATTTCAGCAAGTGAAGGTACACACAAGGAATAGAAATTTTTAAAAGCCTAGGGTTTGAAATAACTTGTGGTTTAGAGTGTTGAAGAATTAAGGTATTAAAGGCATTTCTTAGCAGCCGTTGAAAAAATAAAGCCAATCCACACAACCATCAATCACAACTGTCTTCAGCATTATTAAAAGAAAGTATATTTTAATCCCTAAAAGAATAGGGTAAAATCTCAGACAGTAGGACAGTCCTTTAAATTTTACTTTATGAATAGTATTTGCTTATTCTTATATAGAAATAGGTGATTGAAATTTGACAAATGGGAATGCTGTAGAATCTGATGCGTTTCATGTGCCCTATTAATAAAGGCTTCAGACTCATAAATGGGACCAGTGTTAGGACTGGTCAAAACTAGCAGAAAATAGTTTGTGTTTTCCTTGTTTTTCTGGTAATCTAAAGGCTATTTTTTGTATCCATGTGTTTCTAGAATAAATGTTTCTCAAGGTAATATGTTCGTGCAATGGCTTTCCTGAAAAAATAGCGCTTTAAAGGAAGAGGAAACTGTTTCCACATCCTAAAATCATGATTGCAAAGAAACACCTTACTATTACATTATAGCTTCATTGTTTTAAATTGCCCTTTTTTTTTTTGTCTTTTTGAGACAGGGTCTCACTGTGTAGTTCAGGCCGGGCTTGAGCTCACTTTGTAGCCCAGGCTGGTCTTGAATTTGCAATGATCCTCCTCCTGTCTGAGCCTCACGAGTGCTGGGATTACTGGCATACATTATAGTTTAGATTACATTGTTTTAGGGTATTAAATTACAAGTGTACATCTCCTCAAGAAGAGAAGCAGTTCAGCTGTGTGTTGACATTCTGTTGTGTCAAAGTGAAACTAGTACAACTGGAAGGTAACCTTAAGATTATTAGGATCAACTGTGGTTTTCGTTTTTTAAAGATGAATAAATAGATAACAAAATATGTACATTGTTCTTAAGATTACCCACATATAATTATATGCATTAATTTAGCATTTTACAACGTGATCATGTGAGAGTTGCAGCTATATTGAGTCAGTTCATGAGTATAATGAAGTAGAAGTACTGCATGGATTGGATATTTGAAGTGAGTAACTCATTTCTATTTGGCTTTGGAATGCATTCATGCTTTTGCTCAAGATTTATCATTTTGGAGCTCAGGATGTGGCTCAGTGGTAGAGCACTTGCTTAGTAGTCTGAGGCCCTGAGTTCCATCTCTAGGACTGCAAAAAATAAAACCAAATGCATCGTTTTGGTGGATCATTTTACATTGTGGAAGACAGATCGAGCTAGGGATGATGGCTAGAATATATTCTCAGACTCTACCGCTCCTCTAGTTTTCTCACCCACGTGTTAGCTAAAAACTGTGTGCATTAGTTGGGAAAACTACACATAAGATAAAAAACTGACAGTACATATTACCATTTCCCTCCAGATCAGCCATTGGATATACATATCCTTCCTGACTGTAACTGTTTAGTAATGGCATTTATCGAAATAGAATAATTTTTGTATGCATTATTACATAGTATGCTTTTGTCATTCAGTAGCATAATACAGATTTCTGTTAATGTCAGTGCTTTTTTATTTTTTTTGGCTTCAGAATATATTATATTTTAGCAGAATTTAGCCATTTTATTAAGTTATTTCTAGTTTTTACACATTGTGGTGAAAATATACACAGATACAGTCATGCATTATTTAGCTAATGATATACATCTGGCGGAATGTATCATTAAATGATTTTGATTTCATTGGGTAAACATCATAGTATGCTTAAACCTAGATGGTATAAGTCAGGATTTGGCCTATTGGCCCAAGGAAGAGACAGGAAACATAAGATTTTGGAATATAGAAACAGTTGTGTTATCACTGTCAAGCATTGTATACTGTACCCTGTTGTAAATGCTACATGTTCATACATCTGGCAGGAGGTTTATTTACATCATCATCACCACAAACACCTGAGTTATAACTTCATTGTAACATTGTGATGGTATGGTGTCTGAGTGACAGGAAGTTTCTGCTCCGTTACAATCTGATGTGACAACCCTCATATGAGCAGACCATCATTGACCAGAATGTTACATGGTGTGTGACTGTATTTGCATGTGTACAGTATTTCTGTTAGCATAAATTCTAAGTAGAATTATTGAATCAGATGTTGACAGATTTAACCAAATTGATTTCACTAAGGCCAGTTTATATTTGGACCACCAGTGCCTCTCTATCCTTATATCAGTGTACTCTTACCAGCTCTGTGTTTTTCAGTCCTGATACTTTTCTTACCTCAGGATGATTTTTTTTTTTTCTTTTTTTGGTCTTTTTGAGACAGAATTTCAATGTGCAGTTCAGGCTGATATAGCACTCACTTTGTAGCCCAGGCTGGCCTCAAACTTGCAGCGATCTTCCTGCCTCAGCCTCCCAAGTGCTGGGATTACAGGCATGCACCACCATGCCTGGCTGAAGTTTTTATTAAGAAGCTCCTGCCCTTTTTTTTTCTTTGTGGACTAGGGATTGGACCCAACATCATCTGCTATGCAACTGTTCTGTCACTGAGCTACGTCCCCAGCCCTTTCTTGTTTAAAGATAGGGTCTTTCCCAATCTGGACCCAAACTAGGAATCTTCCTACCTTGGCCTCTTGAGTAGCTGGGGTTACAGATGTGTTTCATGGCACCTGGCTTAAAGAGCTTAAAGTTGAAATTGTTTTTGTTCACAATTGAGGCTCCTTTGTTAGTTTAACTTTTTGCTTTGAACCTTCTGAGGTCCAACCAGTTCATCGTCATTATTCTCACAGGTAAAGAGTCCATCAGGCTTTGTTAAATATTTAAATGTAGACATCCTACTATGTATAGGGACAGAATTTTAGAGATCAATCTTTGGTGTTCATACTGTGCTGGATGTTGACTTCTGACTATCATTTTTTCTGTCTTCTTATTTTCAGGCAGAGGTAGAGGTGAATGTGGTTTTTACCAAAGAAGTTTCGATGAAGTAGAGGGTGTGTTTGGTCGAGGAGGTGGCAGGGAAATGCATAGATCACAGAGCTGGGAGGAAAGGTAATTAAAGGATCCAAGTCTTGCTGTGAGATTTCTTGTTATATAAAGCTTGCTTATTTTCTGCCTTCTGCAGAGAAATCTCTGTAGATAGTTCTAGGGGTTTCATTCTTTAAAAATGTTGTTACATTGAATATCAACTTGTATGTTAGAAATTTTTAAATAGTCTTTCTGTAAAGGGAGCAGCCTTCTAGAAACAAAAGTGAATTTATTAGTGCCAGCATAAATATCTAATTTGGTTTGCTCTTTTATTAGCATTGTCATTTTGTCTGTTGGTATTAGTAAAAGGATATTCTGTCTGTATTGCTTGGAATTTTACATGAATACTGTCACGATAAATGATGGCAGTTGCAAATTGATGGATGGATGTACAGTGATATTACTGTGATGATTTGTATAAAATACTTGGAAACAAATCAAAGAAGTTGATACTACCCTTATGTAATGGTATATCCACACAGTAAAACACTGTACAGCAGGAAGGTTAAGGATGATTTTGAAAATATTTAATGATGTGGGAAAACATATTCTCAAAGCATTATGTAAAACTATATCATGTATCTAAGTAAAGTATATATTACAAATCAGTGGAAGCTAGTTTGGTAATTGAGGTGGAGAAATTTTTGTTTTCATCTTTGTGCTCTTTTTAATTTCCCAAATATTAGGCAATAATCATGCAATATCCATGTTTTATAACTTGAAAATATATAGAATTGCTATAAAATACAGGAGAGTCAGTGTCATGGATAGGAAATTTATGTATACACTTGAGCTTTGTTTAAAATTTATTTTATCTCTTTTTAGGGGTGACAGACGGTTTGAAAAACCAGGGCGAAAAGACGTAGGTAAGGTTCTTACTGTTGAAATATTTCCTGTACCTCCATGGTACTGGTGCTTAACAGTTGGTTCACACATAAAGAGAAAGAGTAAAAAATGACTCAGTGACCTGCACCTCTCCAGTAGATGGGGTTGTAGCCTTGCTTGCATTTGGAATTTTTGGTTATTTAAGGTCTCCATTGCGTGATAGGATTTACTTAACTACAAATGGTCTTACTTTAATAACTTTGATTTTCTCCCTCTTTATATAAACCATAGTTTTTCTTGTTTTTAGATGAGACTAGTCAGATAAATTAAGGTACCCACCAAAGAAGATAAAGGAATAGGATTTCCGCAATAAAAGAAGAGGATTTCAGTGTTTATGATGAATTTATCATAATTTATAGAAAAGCATTTATAACATGGGCTTTCTGACTGATTAGGGCTACTGCCTTGTAAACTACCAGTAGGTAACAGTATCTGAGAGAAAAAGGAATTTTATAGTACCATTCCAGTTATGAAATAACCACGGTTTCCAGATTCCTACAAGTAACAGAAAAGTTCCAGAACTGTGATTTTATCTGATAGGGGAAACATTTCTCATAAACATGTTAAATATATAAATATCATTTACAGACTGATTTGCAAATTGTCTTGAAAGACTGAATATAGTAGTTATTTTTTAATCAATTGTGTTTCACTGTTTCCATATCAAACTCATTTAAACATGTCAGTGATTTAGTGTCCTCATTTGTTAGCATGGCTTTAACTTTTGGATGGTGATGAAAAGACATGAAATGCGTGCAGCATGAAGAAATTTCATTCAGAATGGGTACAGTATTGTCACTTTTACCAAAATTATGGACTGTTGCATGTGTGTCTTTTTTTTTGGCCTTTTTTGAAACCGGGTCTTGCTGTGCAGTTCAGGCTGACTTTGAACTCACTATGTAGCTCAGGCTGGCCTCAGATTTGAGGTGATTCCCCTACCTCAGCCTCCTGAGTGCTGGGACCACGTGGGAGCACCACCACACCTAGTTTCAAACCTTTAAGTGTTCAGAGGTATACCTGTGGAAGAGGACAGTATGGATTTGGGATTAGAATTAAGGTGAAACAAGAGACCAGATCTAATTAAATGGAAGTTTAATAGCAGAAAATGTGGCCATCTATAACCCTAAAATACAGAATTTAGATATGAAGCTATGCCTTCATAGCTGAGGGCAGTATTTTCTAGATCTAAGTTATTCCCAATAGTCAGATGTTGGAGAGGCCTATTACTATATCTTCTGTTTTGCCACATGACAGCCTAAGCATTGTGTTTGTTTCAGGGGCCACATCTTGAAAAGGCTGGCATGTTGGAGCAATTGGCAGGGCATTTGAAATCATGGCATGGGGCCTATGTAGAGGAAATGGGTGGACTGGAGAGGAGTCAGGACTGAGGGCCTGATGGTACAAGAAGAAGAGTTTCTGGGGTTGCTACCTGCAAATGCTTGCATAGCGATCTCATGAGAGGGGAATTAGACGTGGCCCCAGAGCAGAAGGGGGCTGTGGAAGACTCAAGAAGCCAGGTATTTACACATTCTTGAAAAGTTTAGAGTTTGTCTGAAAATGACTTGAGTTGCCTTGGCAAAGTAGTGAATTCCCTGGATGAGAATAGCTTAATTTTTTTTCTTTTTTTAACTCGGACGCATAATCATATTTTGGTGGTGGGAACAAATGATCATCGTTTGTGGTTTTCATATAAATCCAATTAATTTTCCTAGCCACCCTCTGTTAAAAGTAAAGGTGGTTTTTTGTTGTTTATTTTGGTATTTTTTGGAGACAGGGTCTCACTTTGCAGCTCAGGCTGGCCTTGAGCTGACTTAGTAGACCAGGCTGGCCTTAAACTTGGATCAGTCCTCCTGCCTCAGCCTCCTGAGTGCTGGGATTACAGGCATGCACCACTATACCTGGCTTTCCCCACGTATATCTTTGAAAAGATGAATAGCATGAAACTAAATTTATATAAAGTGGAAGAATTAGGAGGTTAGTAGGTTCAATGTTAATAGTTAACTGCTAATATGTATTAGTATGCTAATAGGTACACTAAAATATGGCAAACCCCCCCCCCCCACTGTAATATAGTGGTTTTTATTGAATGGTTTTTATGAGATCCTCACTTCAGGTTAATTATACTAAGAATTCTGATCTTTTTGTAAATCTATTACTGTGGAAAGTAGTACAGATTTTTAAATTGCCCATAATTAATCTTTTTTTTTTTTTTTTTTAATTTTTTGAGGCAGGGTCTCATTATGCAGTTTAGGCTGACCTTGAATTCACTACATAGCCCGGGGAACTCCTGGCAGTCTCCTGCCTCAGCCTCCCAAGTGCTGGGATTATAGGCATGCACCACCACGCCTGGCTCAACCCATAATTAATCTTGATGCTCTTCAAGGGTAGCAGCACAGGCTAGTTTGTTGGGACATACTGATATTTGGTCAATTGTGAGGTGTCCTGTAACGTAAAGTAAGAAAATTCAGGTATTGAAGATTCCAGAATGTTATGTTCTTTTTAATTAGAGAGTGCTGGGGATATAGCTCAGTGGTATAAGTGGCTGCCTGGCTAGCACAAGGTCCTGAGTTCAATTTCTGGTACCAAAAAAAAAAAAAACTAGAAATAGTTCATATCATGTATTTGCGTGCTTGTGTACACATGTGGTTCTGGGAATCAAATCCTTGCCCTCATGCATTTTAGCTAAGTGCTCTGCCACTGAGCTGCATTCCCTGCCCTTGCATTTGCTTTATATGGGTGGAATCACGGACTTCCGGGTAAGAATCATCATTCCTCATAGGGGAGGATCATTTGTTGTGATCATTTTGTTACACGGTTCTGTGAGGATGAAATTAAAGGATCGTTAAAAAAAAAATGGTCCTCATGATACCAGTAGGCTCAGCCAAATGTGATATTGATTAGTTCATTTTGGTGTGAAACACTTGAAACTGATGTAGAAATTTTGGTTACAGCCTGTTTCCTGTCAGTTGATAATAATGAGCTTTTACATACATAAATCTACGCCTTTATAACTTTCAGTAACTCTTTTAGTTTGCTAGACCTGCTGTATTGTCTGTATCAGTTTCCCAGAGTGCTTTACGTTAGTTCCAGTTTGTCTTCCTGAAATCCTTGGTGGTCCTACTTAGTGAACTGCAGTCTGGGAAGGCAGAGCTGTCCCTCAGTAACTGCTCCCTTTCCATTTGTACTCCCATTTTCCAGAAAAGACAGTGGTCTCTCTGCAGAAGTAGTAATTCTTAATCTAGAAAGCAGGATTCTTGAAATAAGTGAAAGAATTATTAGCAGTGCACCCAAACTTTTTTAATTACATTTTTTAGTTGTAAAATATTTATTAAATAGCATTAATTTATTAACAGCCCCTCCCCCATTTGTTTAGGGGAAGTCACATTTGGTTTTCAGACACCACTTTATGTATGAGTAGTAAGTACGATATGAGACTCATCTGACTTGAATGAGGAATGTGAATACTCTCCAGGGAGACTTAATCCCAGGTCTCACACACTCACCTTCACTTAACTGTGGAAGCTGTGATTTGTGTAAATGATACAGTGCTCTTAGGAAAAAACATACCATGGGAATCTTTGATATTAGTTTATTTTCTTGTTAACTTATTATAGAAATAAGAATTTCTGCTATCTTTATGTGTTTACATTGTCTTGGAAAGTCTCTTGGTCTGACTACTAGTTAAGAATGAATGTCTAAGATTTTTAAACAGCAAAAGTTCACAATAATTAGGTTTCTATGTTCTTGATTGTCTCCTATTGTCAGTCTTAGACCGCTCCAATGTTCTTCTTTATTTTCTTTTCCTTTTGGTTAAAGAGTAGAAAAATGTGACTTGCTGTGACGTGCTCTTCACAATTGCTTGCCTTTACTCAGCTAGTATTTATTTCAAGAGATGATTCCTGAGTTGTCACCAGTGGGGAAGGTTAATCTTTGCCTTTTCCCTCATAAGCCTGAATAAGGGAAATTTCACAAAAGAGCAGCTACAAATTTGAAACATGATATGTTGACTTTTTTGGTTCTTGTTTTCCTTGAGGATAACTTTTTCTAATCAAAATGAAAATTATTCAAGGAAATCTCTTAAATTAAGCTTCATATAAGAGAAAATGTTCATCTTAGCATATATAAAATAAAAACTGAGGCAGAAAAAGCGTAAATTTTAAGGAGTTTTAGACTTGGAAAGAAATAATAGAGATCATCCAGTCCAACCTCCTACTGGTGAATAAACACTCATTTTGTGTTTATAGAAAAAACTATTTGATGTTGGAAACAGGAATTTCAGTTTGAAAATACTTTGTTGCCTAATTATTTTTTGCTTTATCTATGGGAGATTTTTTTTCTTAGCTGATTTATATCATACTAAACCTTTATATCTATAAAACTTAAATATTATTTGTATTTATGAGTTATTTAGAGCTGTCATGGTTTTTTGTCTTTGAGTGTGTCATAAAAAGGAAGAGAACATGCATGCTTTTTGCTGTCATGTTGCAGTGATTGTAGGGTTATATATAACTGTATTGTGTTGTTTTTCTTTGGAATTTTTGTTGTTAGCTGTTTAAAATGAAGGAGATAATACTTACCCTAGTTTTGTAGTATAAAGAATCAAAAGAATCACCTTTGCTATCTTGAAAAAAGTAACAGTTGTAAAAGGATGTTCCCTCAATATTGTGAAATTGTCTTCCACCCCTGGAGCTAAGTTTGGAACTAGACTGTTGCTTCAATTTGCAGATGAAATGAGAGATTTATGCTTGATTTTTTAAAAAGAGTTCCATGATGTTAAACTTCTGTCCACTTTACTCTTTCATTACTGGTATCATACTACATCCTTAGAAACTGACCAGCAGCATTTCTGTTTAAATATATCTGTCAAGATGATCTCAGTAGATAACCACAGATACACACTTTGTAAGGTAGAATGTTTTGTTTTCAAAATGTGTATTATTAGCTCAGCCATTTTTTTTTTTGTTTTTGTTTTTTGTTTTTGGTGGGCATGAGCATGATTGCCATGATGTACTCAGAGAAAAGTAATCAGCGTTGAGAGAAAAAGAAAACATGAGATACAGCGAAGGAAAAGTAGCTGCATAACTGGCCAGGTATATTTACTATATTAAAAATAGGGTGCCATTGATAAGTTTTACTCTGTCAGTCCTGTTTCCGAGATCTGAAAATTGTCAATGCTTTGTCCATTGATACGGATATCCAGGTCAGTCCTGTGTGGGCTCTTAGAGACCAGAGGAGTTGGAAGTTCAGGAACAGTCTTGTCAAAATTCTCCATCTTGACTTGATATTCACCTTTGGAACCTCGGGTCAGCAGAGACACAAAACAGTGATGTAACATGATCTCTGATGGTAGGTAGGATGTCCTCCTTTGGCAGATTTCTCCAGTGCCTTCCTGCATTGCTGAAAGGAATACAACTAATTCAAAGTGGGGAGGATTTTCATTCTGCAGCAGAGTAACCAGAGGACTCGATGGTGTAATGGAGTGGTAGTAGGTTAGTGGAAAGATAAAGAATGGACATTCCTCTGAACTGATGCTGTCAAGGTGGAAGTCCACGCTGGTCTGGTGGAGCTGACCGTTTTCTCTTTCCTGATAGAGAACAGCGGAGATTCGGACACTGGTGAGAGGGCTGGGTCGAGTGTTGGCCACTTGAAAGATAAGATTAGGTTTACCATCTATGTGAGTTACCACTGCTAGGTCAGTAAAACGAATTGAGAAAGCTCGATTCTTTGGCCGGGCAATCTTCGCCACAAAGGCACCTAAATTAGAAACCATTTTTTTAGAATGAAAACTTTAAATAGCAGTACCTTTTCTGAGAAGAGTGTATCAAATAGTTAAATGTTTCTTGGTGCTATACTTTCCAATAGTCAGGAACTCAGTGCATTGTTTAATTTTGGGTAGTCTCATTGGCCTGCAGAATTTTTTAGAGTATACATTTATTTCTGTTAAACTGTAATTTCAAAATGGATATTGTTAATGGAAATGTAAAAGTAATAGAAAACAAATAAAATTTGGTTATAACCAGATAACTTCAAGTTAAAGTAGAGACTAGACTAAGAGTACAATGATTTGTGGTAGGAGTTATTACTTGGAGAAGTCTTTAACTTTGAAACTTACATACAACTTTTTATTGGGGGAACTCTTAGATGATTTCAATACACAATTTTAAGTACACCCTCTTGTGCCCCTATGTAGAGTGTTTCTTAGATGAAGCCTTCTGTATGTGTATGAGAGAGAGGGGGAATCTTGCTTTGCAGTTAAGGCTAGCCTCGAGCTCACTTTGTAGCTGGTCCTCCTGCCTCAGCCTCTGCAGTGCTGGGATTACAGGCATGCACTACCACACCGGGCTAGATAAAGCCTTTTTAATCACTTAGGTGCAGCAGAGCCTGTTGGCAGGTTGGGCTTACTAGAGTTATTTTTAAGTGGCTTAAGAGTAAAATGTCTATAGAGAAAACCAAATATATTGAAATATATTGAAATTCAGCTGAACATTAAATAAATATAGTATAAAATTATATGTACTTTACCAATGCATTAAATAGTAAAATCTAGCCATGGATTTAAATATGGTGATTCTGAAGTATTGTAGTTTAATGGGAAAGTATCTATGATTCTGATTTTTGTCAGTTACTAGCAATACTGGTCCTTGCACGTACGACTCCCCACCCCTCCCTTTCCTTCCTTCCTCCCTCCCTCTCTCCCCTCCCCTCCCTCGCTTCCTTTCCCCTCCCCTTCCCTTCCCTCCCTTCCCTTCCCCTCCCCTCCTTCCTTCCTTCCCTTCCTTCTTTCCTTCCTCCCTTCCTCCCTTCCTTCCTTCCTTCCTTCCTTCCTTCCTTCCTCCCTCCCTCCCTCCCTCCCTCCCTCCCTCTTTTTGGGCTGTACTGGAGATTCAGTTGAGGGTCTTTGCACTGAGCTATATCCCAGTTCTCTTTATTTTGAGACAGGATCTTACTAAGTTGCAGAGTTACCGAGGTTGGACTTGAATTTGTAACCCTCCTACTTCAGCCTCCCACAGAGTTCTGGGATTATAGGCATGTGCCACCATACCTACCTTCTAACCCCTGACCCCATGTTCATAGTAGAAGGAAGTGAGTCAGATTCCCTTAGGGGTTAGTGCAAAAGAGTTGTTAGATTTCTTCATCTAGCTTGTCAGGTCCCTTAAATTTATCCAAGAAGTGACACAAGGTAGGAACTCTTATAGAAGTTCAGAATTTGTTTTAGATTGTAGAGGTGGTTGATAGCACCCTGGGACTTCATGCCAGATCACTGTTCACGTGATGTGGTAGTGCTCAGATTATTATTGGACAGTATGTTAAAGCCAGGTTTTCTTTTTGTAAAATTGTATATGTCATATACGAAGGACATTAGCTTTACTTTATTAGAGGAGAGAGCCATAGATGCTGCCAAGTGCATATTTTGGTTTTGCTTGAGACAGTGTTTGCTAAATCACTAAGCTGCCCAGTCTGGGACTCACTGTGCCATCTTCCTGCATCAGCCCCACAGTTCTGGGATCAGAAGCGTGCGCCACCACACCCAGCTAGCTACCAGTTGCAGAAGCAAAACTTCCTACCCTCATAGCCATCTCTTCAGTGTATTTTTCTAAGGATATTATCCAGCATATAATGCTGGGTGTGCTGCTGCTGTGGGCTCACTAGTATTGGGTACGATGACCTCAGGAGAAAATAATAGCAAAGCGAAGAAGCAGAAAAAAAAAATCAAATTCCTCTGTTAGGTAATACAACTATCAAAATATGCATTGAACATGTTTATTCAGTTATTTAACAAAGTGGTTAGCTTCTGTGAAAAACTTTGAAACCTCTTATCAATTCCTTTTTGGCATAGGATGTTCCTGCAAGTTAGTGTTATAATGGCCGTCTTTTCCCTTAAGTAGATCCAATAGATAAACTTCAAGTGTGTCACATTCTTTATACATTTTTATTGTTCTGCCCTAGACTGTTGCTTTTCTTTCTTAGGCACTTGCTAATAATACAAATAAGTAGGGCTGGGGATATAGCTCAGTGGCACAGCAGCTGCCTGGCAAGCTCAAGGTCCTGAGTTCAATTCTTGGTACCAAAAAAGAAACAACAAATAAGTTGTTCTGTAACAGAATTGCTTATAACTGACAATACCCTTTTTAGAATGCTTACAGTTATTTTTAAGAACAAAGACAAATTACCTGTGATAAAAGCCTCCAGCATGAGGCCTAGGAGCATTTGTATGGCAAGTAAGGCAATTGCACTTGGACAGTCACCACTGGGGAACATGGTACCGTAACCAATTGTAAGTTGCGTCTCCAGGGAGAAGGAAAATGCAGCTGTAAAACTGGTGATATACTTGACACAGATAGTGTGGTTTTCAGGTGGGGCATCATGATCTAGTTCCAGGTCACCATTCATCTCGGCTAGAACATACCAGAGCACTGCAAAGACAAGCCAGTGAAGAACAAAAGAAGCAGAAAAGACTAACATCATCCAGCGCCAGCGCATGTCTATTAGGATTCCCCACACATCTCGAAGATACGCAAGACCTCTTTGAGCGCCATCCATATGAAGGGTGCTGTGACCGTCTTTGGTGACCATCCTTTGGCGTCCATGACTTAGGAGAGGAGCAATAACTTTGCAATTACTGCGTTCCATCTCAGGCTGTGATTTTCTGAAATCGAGAATGAAGTAGTCAGCCCTTACCTGTTTTGTAGTTAATATTCATGAATTCTAAACCTCCTTTCTGCTTTCTTGAGAATGTTTCTCTGACTACAACTCGAGGAGCTTTTAGAAGGATACATTTACTGACCAAGTCATACTCACTTGCTAGCTAATCATATGTTACCCTAGGATATCTATTGTCATTTCCTTGAATAAGTGTTAAAATGTCAATACTTCAACATTTTCTTTTCTTTTTTTCTCCTCAAAACGGGGTGTAGCTGTGTAGTTCAGGTTGACCTTGAACTCACTGTGGAGCCCAGGCTAGCCTCAAACTCCTAGCAGTCCTCTTGCCTCAGCCTCCTGAGTGCTAGGATTACAGGCGTGCACCACCATGCCTGGTGATACTTTAACATTTTCATGTATGTTTTAGAATTCTTGAGGAGGGTAAGGTGTATGATTTGTTCCTCTTTAATACCCTTGTATCTTCTTTGTACAAGTCCAGGCATCAAGTATACTGATCTGACCAACTACTATGTGTAAGAAATAGCTGTCCCCCCAGACAGGGTCTTGCTATGTAGTTTAAGATGGCCTTGAACTCATTGTGTACCCGACTGCTCTCAAACTCATAGTGACCCTCCTGCCTCAGCCTCAGGTCTGCACCACCACACCCAGCACAGCTTCCCATAATTAATTTATAATAGTGAATAATTCCTAATGATAAGGAACAAGTCTAAGTAAATAAATATTCTTCTGTATAAATAAATAGAAATCACTTGGAAATGTAGTATTAAAGTGTCCATAAATCTTTTAAAGCTCAACTTAGTACTAGGATAGGACATATTTGTGCTAAGCTTCTAGAGATGTACAATTCTAATGTATGCGTCTATAATTTTGAGTTTTATAGATTGTGTAGATTTGTTTTGTTTTATGGACATACTCATGGATTTGCTCTACCCTGGCTGATGGAATGCTTTTTTTTTTTTTTTTTTTTTTTTGGTCTTTTTGAGACAGGGTCTTGCTATGCAGTTCAGGCTGATCTTGAGCTCACTTTGTAGCCCAGGCTGGTCTCGAACTTGCAATGATCTGCTTGCTTTGAATTACAGGCATGTGCCACCATGTCCAGTGTGAATGCTGTATTTTTGAATATTCTAGCTTCTGATTACATCGTGGAGTGGGAGAGATAATTATGTTCTTGAAATAAAAAATTCCAGGTCAGGATGTGTAGAAAACACTCACTTCCCATCTCCCATCTTAGGGAACAAACCCAGGGCTCTAGACATATGTGGAGTGACATGGTTTCTTGGCTTTGCTAGATTCTTCTTTCTAGGGACTTTGGTGCTTTGGAGACTGCTTTTCTGTGTGGCTGGGATTGGACATTGGCCAGCAGTTTATATACAACTTTTACCTTTGTCCTGAGGCTAATTTAACATTTGTTGACGGTACTAGAGAGACCTTTGAGGTACGGATTGTTCACTTTATGGTGACTTTTGTTCACTTTATTTTGATTCGTTATCTCAGCTTCATATTGTAGTCTTTAAAACATTTTAGAGTGTTAATGATTTATAATTTAGTACTCCAGCATATTGTCATAATAATTTTATTTAGTGTATTTTACTTATTAGCATGGCCCTTCCTTCCGTCAGTTCCTCTCTTTTCTTCCTGTCTTTGTGTCTTGTGCTAAAGATTGAACCCAGGGCCTCACACGTGCTAGGCAAGTGCTCTACACTGAGCCACACCTCAGTAATACTACCCTCGAGAGAAGTAAGGCAGAAGAAAAAGCTGCAAGAGTTTAACGATAAACATAGTCATTAAGGAATCAAATGGTAGTTTGAAAAAGGTAACAAGTACAGTTTTCTACTGTAAACAGTTTCACCACTGGTTGTGTTTGTGTGGTGAATAGAAATCTTGTATGTTTTCTTGTGACCATCCTTGCGTATGACAAGTGTCTAAGACTTTTATCTAAGAGTCTACCAGGAACAGATCAGGAAATGTGGCTTGCTTCCCATGAGTGTTCTCTCTTACTTGCCAGAGTCCATAGTTTTTGGAGTTGTGTTTGACTTGTATTTGACTCTTCTCCTTGCTAATTCTTACAGAAGTAGATACCTTCCAGAGTGTTGCTTATCCCTTCCTGCCTTTTGAATATTGCTTAAGAAGGGCCCTGGACACAGGTGGAGTGACATGGGTTCCTGGCTTTGCTAGATCCTTCTTTCTAGGGAGTTTGGCACTTTGGAGACTGCTTTTCCGTGTGACTGGGATTGGACATTGGCCAGCATTTTATATACAACTTTACCCTTTGTCCTGAAGCTAATTTAATATTTGTTGGTGATACTAGAGACCTTTGAGCTATAGATTGTTCACTTTATGGCAATGTATTAATGTTTTATAATTTATTACCCCAGCAAATTATCATAATCATTGTATGTAGTGTGTGTGTGTGTTTTTTCCGTAGCATGGCCTTCTCCTCTTTTCCGCCCTTCCTCCTTTCTTTCTGGTCTGTCTGTCTGTCTATTGCTAAGCATTGAATCCAGGGCCTCCCACTTGCTAGGCAAATGTTCTACAGTGAGCCAAACCCCCAGACCATACTCAGTGATCTTTATTTTACTAGATTCTTTAAATGTTTTAGGAGACCTGATCTGTGTCCATGTATAAATAACAATAATAATAAGAAAATCTTCATAGGCACTACACTTTTATACTGTGTTATCTGTAATTCTTTGGTGTCTCAGCAAGATTTGATGTCCTTGCCCTTGTAACTCAGCTAACTTAAACCATTAATTTTAGACATGGTTCTTATGATAGTAATGATTAATCATACTAAATATGTATCACTTATTTTGTGCCAGGAATCATATCAAATAGTTTGTAACCACTAATTCATGTAAAGCCAGGTGGCAATGCCTGACATGGAATAAGCTCCACTAAGCTTTAATTGCTTTACTCTTCTGAATAACATTTTCTAGCTTTCATAGTATTAAATACTACTGTTATTCCCATTTTACAGATAAGGAAACTGAAGCACAGTGAGTTTCATAAGATCACAAGGATAGTACCTGTGGATATTAGTTCTGTGCACTCTTGGGTTTGAATTCAGTGCTGTGTTGCCTCCAAAACACACATTTAACTTTGGTTAGCCTTTGTGATTAGTTTTATTGAAGAATCGAGTATTTGTTCTTCAGGAATGCTTATTAGCTTCAGAGCTATAATTTTTAGGTATGAAATGGATTTACATTTTAGGAAGACTTTTTTCAAGACTTGGAAATTAGTACAGAGTTATTAGTCTAGTTGTATTCCCCAGACCAGTAAAAACTGAAATAGTTTTAGAGAGAATTCTTAGGTAGCATACCAGTGTTATGTTTTGCCAAATAAGATAACTATAAAAATATACTCAACACAGTTTTAAAAAGAAAAGATTATGCCACTTGAATAGAAAGGGTATAACAATGAAAGATAGTTGGTTCCTTTCACAGCGTATGTGGACAGTTTTGTTGTCCTTTGTTTCTTGTTCCTACTTAAGTGAAAATGGCTTTTTTGGGCTGTACACTGGTTCTTGTTCTACCTTTGTATCCACTGTCCAACAGTAGAACAATACTAAGTGCAAGTGCTCAGTGTTTGACAAAAGCTTGAGGAAGAACAAGCCCATAATTCTTTATGATTTCAACCTATTTTATTAAGAATCTTCTAAAATGGAGAGAGAGAGGGTTTCTTTGTACTATGCCTTATAAAATCATTCTAATTTGGGCTTTTTTGAGATTGTTACCAACAATTTTTGCAGTGAGTGTACTTTAGGCTCTTGGCAGTTTCTTTCTCTTTTTCTTTTTCTGTTTTTTAAATTAGTGACTAACATGGACAAACCAGTGAACAGGGAAGTCTAAAGGCCAGTATCAAAACAGTGAAGCAGTGTCTTTGTTGGACTGTATTTGAATTGTGCTGGCAAATGGTTGAGAGAAGTGTTTGGGTACCCACTTAACAAGTTACTCTAAATAACTATTTGGATGCATATAGCTACTGTGGTGTAGTAGAAAGAACACGGGATGGGAGATTCAGCCATCAGGCTCTGTCTCTGTTGGTTATTGGGCAAGCCACCTGGTCTCCTTTGCTAGGTGTCCTTAGATTGAAACAAAGAAAGGGGTAAGAGGGAATTAGATAACATGATATCTTCAGGCTATGTAAGTTTGTAAGCTTATTTCCAGTTCCTTCAATTGATATGTTTTCTATACAGTTTCATTCCTTTTTGTGTCTTGTGTGATGTTTGTGTCTGCTGATATGGTTTTTTAAAAATTACATTAAAGTTGCTGGATGTATAGTATCTTTACTATCAAATTCAAAAGTACCTAATGGGCAGGCATGTGTATACTATTTCCAAGTTATTTTTATGTCCCTACAGGCCCACAAGTGCTTTTTTAATGTATTTGCCTTGGTTTATATTGATTGTTTATATGATTCTCATCAAGTGATCCATTTAGAAAGTAGAATGGAAAGTTAGGAAGGTATGCTCTGTAGTTCTCTGTATGGACTGTAAAATATTTACCCATTTATAAGTTGTTTGGGTGGAAAAGTAGTGCATATTATAAAAGATGGATGGTGTTTACAGTACATACTATAACAGATATAGTTATATGATAGTTTGACAACTTTGTTGGTTGTCAAAATAATAGTTTTGTTCTCATTAGGTTGTAGTCTTTAAAATTTTGTGTTGCTATGTTTTAAAGTGATACTATAGTCATATTAAACAGTTAAGACATAAGGCATACTTACAAATGTTAAATGAATACAGTGTGTTTTCATGTCTGCTATACACACTTTAAGACTGTCGAGAATCTTGTAATCATCTCTCCTGCCCTCTGTAATTGGGACAAACAGTGTGAATTCTAACCCTATTATATAAGCTCAGATTTTTTTCATATTTTATTTGCAGAAGCACTCACTAATTTCAGCAATAGTTCCTTGCTTGAAAAGATTTAAAATAAGGATACTCATTAGTTTTCTCAAAACAAAAGAGAAAATGGTTTATTCTTTTAGCATTTATTTTTGTATACTTATTTTGTGTTACTTTATAATCTTTTCCAAAGAAGTACTGTTTTTTAAAGACATTAAATTTTATCTAGTGTCTTTCTCCTTTACTCATACATTATAATGGAGAATCTTTATATATTTAACAAAGTAACAGGTAAACTTCCATTTCTACTTTCAGTGGTGCTATTCTTATTTTAAAATTTAAGGAAGAAAAGACCCTTCATGTATCACCCTGTAGGTAATGTCTTTGTTTTAAAAATCTATTGGAAGTAATCTAGCTCTGTTTCTATTTGCCAGTCAGTTTCTTTCCCAGAAAGAAATAAAAATGAATGTTATTTGATGTACTCACCACTTCCTTTGCAGTGGTCAGCCTATCTGCCAAGGTAGGTCTTAGGAAGCCTGCAGAGCCTGTTTCTGATCAGGTACTTTAAACTTACAGGTGTAGTTTGTAGGTTCTCTTCTGGGACTGGCTTTACAGCTTACATTCCTGTGTTTATATTGTCGTGGGGGCTGGTTTCAGCTGAAGCTGATGTGATTGGTCACTTAGTCTGCAGGGGGGCCAATTAGCTCTGATCATGTGGAAAAGAATGCTGGTTTGTTAGGAGGTCTTTCTTTACCCAACACAAACCTTAACAACTCTGGAGAAAGCCTCCAGAACTGACTTGGAGAAGGGGTGCATTTTTTCTCTCTAATCAGGACCGGTTTTTAGTAAGTTTGCATAATCTTACTTAAGAGTTTATTTGAAAGTTCAAAGGGATAAAGTTCCCTGCAAGATTTCCTTTCAGCCGTCTTTCCTTATATAGCATGTTGAAGTGTGAGATATCTCCTTCACTAATCTTTTTTTCCACCATTTCTTTGGGGAAGATTTATTTGGATAAGGATGTTTAGGCATAAATTAATGAATTGATTTTCCTAGTTTTCTTTTTCTATTCCATCTTGTAAGAATGGCTATCATTAGTTCCAAAACCAGTAATCTAGGTGATTTAGATTACTGAACTTTTTTTTTAATTGCAAAGAAACACACTTTTTGAAAAGGCTGTATAAAAAGGCTTTGATTAGAAATCAAATTGTTACCTTGTATTTACTTATCGTTAAACAGCACAACTGTGTGAAAGGACTGAAGTTGTTTCCTAAAACTTGCTTTAGTGATGAGGGTGTTTTACTGACAAGTGTAATGAAGTAGAGTAAAACACGGTGTTTAGGGAACAGAATTTAACTCAGTACTGAAGTAGTGTTTAGCGGGGAAATGTCTGTGATCTAGTTTGTAGCAATCTTGAAATGAGCTGAGGTACGGCTTTGTGTAATACCTTAGCAGTACTTTTCTCCTCTGTTAGCTGCTAATTTTAAAAGTTTGATCAAATGTCACATGTAAGAGGATCGAGAAACAAAGACTGTGGTTGTTTAAAAAGTAGAATCATGGAAGGCCTGCTGGGAAAATTATTAATGTAGACCAATATAATGCTACTTAGAAAGGGAAATCCGTCTTTGTAGATTCCTCTGCTTCCCCCACAATTTAAAAAAGATATTAATTCCTCTTTATTATTGCCAAACATTTCAGTACAAGTTGAGACACAGCATGGGAAATTTTGACCTTTAGAACTAGGGACGATGATGGCAACAAGGGAAGGACTTACAGTGTGAGATTCATTCCCTGCATGTTAGCAGGAACTGTGCTTTATTCACCTCACAGCCAACTGATTGCTTGGAGAAAAATGAAAACAATAACAAAAATACTGAAGCAAGTGTAGTACAATACTACCTTGTAGAAAGCAGAAGCACCTGAGTGTATCTGCTGTGTGTGTTCAGTAGACATTATAGTAGGCAAGATAGCAAAAGGTTTTACTCCACCCAGAATCCTCTTTCAAATATACTCCATTTCAGGGTATCTTAAGACAAAAATGATTTTGCAAAAATGGTCCTCTATGAAACTAGAAAGAAGTGTCTCAAGTGCAGTTGTTGTCTGATTCCTGGGTTTTTTTTGTTTTGATTTTTTTTTTTTTTTTTTCTTTCCAGTTTTAAGGTGTGCTATTGTAGACAGCTCTGGAGTGTCCACTCAGGCAGAGAGCATTTCTGAGGCAGCAGCCAGTCTATTTATAATCATTTCTGATTGAGGTTGTCAGGTTAGCTAGGATCAAACTGATACTGTCACAGGTGAGAAGCCATCTTCACCCTAAAACACACGGGCCCTCGCATCTAAACAGAATTTGTGATTTCTGTTTCAGGTGTTTTACAGTGAGGTAATTGGAGATCCTTCTAAAGTATCTATTCTGTGAGTGAAGATAAAATGAAACATACCTTTTCATTGATAGATTTATGTTTTATTTAAAATTATTATGATTAAGCCATGTGTCAAGACTAAGTAAATTAAAAAAAATTTTTTTAATGAAATCTAATTCTCAGTCCCCAAAGGTATTTGATTTTCTTTCTGGTTTTAGTAATTCAGTGTATAACACACAAATGTACTGCATTTTTCTTGAGGAAAAAAAAAAAAAAAAAAGCATTTGTTGGGATACATATCCTGCCTGTGTAATCTCCCATCTGTACTTTTGTTGGTCTGTCTATCCTTCCTTCTGCCCTCTCCTTTCTCCTCTTGGCTCTACCTTTTGATTTTCATTTCGTATTTGCTGGAGGTTGAACCCAGAGTCCTGTGCATGTGAGGCAAGTGCTCTTGGGTTCCTTCTTCCATAGTATATTTAGCTTTCTTTCAAAGGTGTCTGGTTTCTTTCAGTTCTGCTTGCTTAAGCCCCGCTAGTGATAGCCTACTCCAGAGATGTCAGGCAGCTTCTGGGTGTGTGTACCTGCAGACAGCATGAGGACTGTGGGGAACAGGGCAGATGGCCAGCTGCTCAAAAAGCCTTTCCATTCCTTTCCAGCCAGGAACTGCTATGTTTTCAGGAGTCTTGTTAACCAGCAGAGCAGGTTGTTGTCCCTCCATGGTGAGGCTGCAAATATGTGGGTATAGAATTTAAACTTCTCTATCTTAACCACCCTAAGTTTTATTTACAAGTAAATTGTTAGGGGAGGGTAAATAGCAGTACTAGGGTGGGGTACACTTTCAGTGTTTTCTTCAGTGTTGGGACCTGTTTCTAGTGTTGATCTGGGAACATTTATCTGAATGGAGGAATACAAAGTCTCGTTGCAAAAGTTTGCACATAAACAAGCTTCAAAGTCTGCCCCATAATTCCACTTCTGCTTTTGGAGATTGGGCACTTTGTAAGCTCCAAGTCTCACAGCTGTAGATTTTGTTGGCTGAGTGCCTCCTTGCTCCATCTGAAGTTTTCCATAAACACCACTTTTGGCCGTGGGTCAAACATGCACACAGGTGCCCTTTTACTGCTCTTTCTCCTTAGGAATCCACTCAGTCGGATCAGGCCAACACCAGTGTTACATTTTAATTTAATTTCTTTTTTAGAAGAATCCTATTTAGATTTAATACATTAAAGGCAAAGACAAGTATTTATCATCAGTGGGGACATTAAATGTGACATGCTGCTTACATATTTTAGCACCTTTTATACATAGACTTACTGTGATGTGAGAACATAAAATGTATTATATATGGTGGTATAGTGTTCTCATAAAATGGTCATAGTTCCTATATTGAATTGAAGAAATATTTTAAGTCTGTATTACTCGATCTTTTGAAAGTCATAGACACTTTCAAGACTGATGAAAGCTTTAGATCCTTTTCTTTGAAAAAGACTGAAAACTATCCTGGCTCACAGTGTGCTTCTAGTTCAGGGTTATACAATCCTGAGCTCATTCATTGACTGTAGGTTAGGAATATTTGGTCTGCACGTGAATTTGTAAATTATTTAATTAGATTTACTTGTGTTACTGGGGATTGAGCCTAGGGCATATGTACTGAGTTACACACACATATTCTCTCTCTGTCTCTCTCACACACACACACACACACACACACACAACCCATACAACTAATTTTCTCATACAACTAATTTTTTATTTTGAGACTGGGTCTTACAAAGTTGCTAAATTTCTCAGCTAGGCTTGAACTTGTGATCCTCCTGCCTCAGCCTCCCAAAGTGCTGGGACTACAGACATGCATTACCATGTCTGGTTTAAATTTACTTCTAAAGCACTTTGTTTATGAATTAATAAGTTAAATTTGTTTGTTCATTTGCTTGCTGATTGATTGATTGATTTATTGATTGAGACAGGCTATCATTCTGTCGTCCAAGCTGGCCTTGAACTCACTGTGTAACCCAGGCTGGACTCAAAGTCATGATCCTCCTGCCTCAGCCTCTTGAATACTGGGATTACAGGTGTGTGTAACCTTCTGCAAGAAGATTGGAATAAATTTAGTTCCTTCTTTCCCCTTTTAGAAATATTGACACACTCTGTCCCTAAGTTATACCTTGAATGACATGCCTACTGCCTGAAATTTTTAGACTTAGATCCTAGATCGTCCTCTTTGTATTGAAATTTTCATACATTTTTCTGGCTGCTTCCAGTGGGCCTGATTTGTGAATAAACTACTAAGAACAGTGTAGTAGAAGTAAACCCTGGATTAGTAGGGGCCTGGGTTCTGTTTCTGATATGGTGTAACTCAGCTATTTGATCCATCTTGGGAAAGTGCCCTACAAGTATTCCTTTCCTCACAACATTAGAGATGGTGATGTTTGCCTTAAATCTCCTGTGGTTATTAAGAAGATCACATGAAGTATATCAGTGCATTATGTCAACTGTAATGTATCTGATTGTTTGTTTACATGTATGTCCCTGGCCTAAGTCTAAGTCTTTCTTTGTTTTTAATCCTGTTTTGCTAATTCTGTTTGTTTGTTGAGCAGGCCAGTCATGTTAATGTTTGCTAGAGGTTTGAGTAAAACAAATGGTAATGCAGTACCATTTCTTTGGGAAAGTATTTGGTAATAATGATAAATGTTGAGCAAGGTATGACACAATAATTTCATACTGAGGTATGATACACACCAAACAAATGCAAACATATGCTTACCAAAATTTGTATCTAAGAATGTTCATAGCAGCACAGTTCATAATAGCAAAAAGCAAGGAACGACCTGAATGTGTATCAGTAGTAGAGTGGGACTAACACGTTGTGGTATGTGCATACAGTGACAGCCTGTGTGACAGTGCCGAATATACCCCTGTACGCTGTACAATGTGATTGGAGCGCCAGTGAGTTCAACAAAAGAATCTAGATATAAATGAATATTCCATTTATATAAAAGAGTTCAAAGGAGACAGAGCTGGGGCTGGGGATTTAGCTCAGTGGCACAGCGCCTGCCTGGCAAGCGTAAGGTTGTGAGTTCGATTCCCAGTACCGGAAAAGAAACAAGAGACAGAACTAATATTTGAGAATAGACATCATCATATTTACCTTAGCAAGGGCCATTTGAGAGGGCCTGTGGAGATTTCTGAGAACTCCTAATTTTTCTTTTTTAAAATTTCATTTTGAAACAGTTTGGCTGTGTTGCCTGGCCTAGCCTCAAATTCACACTACATCTGCTTGAGCCTTAGTAGTTGAGATTGTTGGTGCAGATTTTGTAATCTAAAGTGGTTGTTAAGTGCATATTACATGCTTGGTGAACATTCAGGAAATTGTACTTTGTGACTTTTGTACTGTTTTTGGTAAGAGTGTTATATTTCCATTAAAGAATTTCTTAAAGGGGAACAGCGGGAGGTGAGCAAAGTCCACCTACAAGGTCTTTAATCTTTTTCACAGTTCTGGTAGGAAAATGACAGTAAGCCCTGAGGGTATTTGCTCTTAGAGGTGGGAGATAAGACGTTCTTATATGTAATTTTGGTTTTCCTTTGTTTACCAGAGACGTCATAGTATAATAATCTAATTGATCAGTGAAAAAATATATTGTAGAGTTTAGAAATTATTTTGTAAACAGGTACTTGGTAATAAAATTTGAATTCATTTGTTACAGTGTTAGAATAGACTAGTGTTCATGTAAACACAGGCCGCTTCACCTCAGATTCCCTTCTTCCAGTGAGAAATTGGGTCTTCACAAGGTATATTGATCAGAGCTAAATCTAGAGACTGGGGATATAGCTCAGTGGCACAAGTGCCTGCCTGGCAAGTGCAAGGTCCTGAGTTCAATTCCCAGATCGAAAAAAAAAAAAAACAGTGAGTTGAGATTAATTAATTAACTTACTTTTGAGTCAGGGTCTCTTCATGCAGTCCAGGCTGGCCTTGAACTCAACTGGCAGTCCTCCTTCCTCAGCCTCCCTAGTGCTAGGATTACAGACATGTGCTGCCATGCCCGAATTAGAGCTAGAGCTTAAAACCAAGTCTAGTAACTTGAAGATGATTTTTATGGTTTTGGTCTTTGGTGCTCCTTATGTATAAAATTTCCATGTCATTTCTTTTTGACAAGAAGAAATGGCATAAGTGTTTATTCAAACTTTATGACGTATAGGTTTTCCAGTAGTTTGGGAATTAAAAGATAGTTTTCAGTAAGTAAAAAAGCCAGATTTTTTTCTTCCTACAGTTTTCTTATTTTTACCCTATCTATCTTTTATATTCTTCTTGTTCCTAGCTACTAATATGAAAAGTACACAGTGTGGTTACAAGGATAAAGAAAATGAAGAACTTCCTAGGTTAGGAAAAAATATGTAAAGGGTTCACATGAAAGGAAACGAAGACACAAAACAATAAGAAAAAGTATTTTAATGAAAAATTCAGGTTTAAGTCACATTAGTATACCATTGTACAACTACAAAGATAATAAATATTTTTAAAAGATAGGGGTATTTAGTGTTGCTAATGGAAGAAAATACTGTCTGATGGTTTGACTTCACTTTTTCTTCTTTGGCATGGTGGTTGGTATATTGATGCTGTTGTCAAGCCTGTTACTTGGACTCAAAAGTTTCATTCCTTGTTCTTTCAGAAGAAAGATTTCAAAAATGCAAAACACATGCATGCAGATACTTCCTTTTTAAATTTTATTTAAAAATTTTGCTTTTTAAAATTAGTACACATTTGTAGTACAACCTTTCTCTCTTTTAAAAACTGTCTATAGCCTAGGCTGACCTTGAATGCTCTATGTAGCCCAGACTGGCCTTGAACTCACAACAAATCCTCCTGCCTCAGCCTTTTGAGTGCTGGGATTGCAGGTGCGTGTCTCCACACCAGACTCATCATAGTATTTCTTGCTTCCTGGCAAAGAGTTACAGTGTCTAATACATTTATGCTACAGTAGCAAAATGAAATTAGCATGTGCCTATTTGGATTATTAGAAAGGTGTGTAGTAGAGAAGTATTTACTGTTACAGATGAAAAGCATTACACAATAGTAGACGTATAGATTGCAAGTACATAAACATAAAAGTTACTCTAGACATGATGATACATATCCTCAGTCCCAGCTACTTAAAAAGCTGAGGCACAAGGATCCTTTGAGCCCAGAAGTTTGAGGTCAACCCTAGGTAACAGAGACACTGTCTCTAAAAAAAAAAGTTAAAGCTAATTACAGGTAAATAGTTTCTGCTTTTAAGATTGTGCGATTTCTAGTAATTTTAATTTTTTTATTTAGTAAAACTTTTTTTGTCTTTTTGAGACAGGGTCTCGCTATACAGTTCAGGCTGCCGTTGAGCTCACTTTGTAGCCCAGGCTGGTCTTGGACTTGCAACAATCTTCCTGCCTCAGCCTCTGTAGTTCTGGGATTACAGGCATGTGCCACCATGCCTGGCTAGTAAAATTTTAATAGTTCATCGTGCTAGAAAAAGTGATAATTTGTCCTGTCTCTCCATCCTGTCCACCCCTCCCATCATATCAGGGATTAAATTTAGGGCTTCAAACATGATAGGCAAATGCTCTACCACTGGGCTACATTACCAGCCCTAATAGTAGGCTTTTGATGAGTTCCACATTTTGCCATTAGTATTGTATTGTGTAAACCGGTACACTGATTACTTTTTCAAAGGTTTGGTGTACAAGTAGATGATAAAAATGAGTAATTCCACTAGCCTGTCCCATCATGTGATTAGCACTGTAGTCCAAGACTCAGCTTGGTGCCTCACACATAATATTTATGGTTAACTGATTACACTGTAAAAGCTATTCTCCATTATTTTCTAATTTATACACATTAGGACTTAATTTGTTTTAAATTCTCTTCGTAAGTATAACTAAATTTTTTATTAGGTCATAATGAAAGTGCTGCTTTGTGAAAATGGATTGTCCCCTCTTACTGTAAGCAGGAGAGCCTGGGAGATCTTCTGACCTGAGGACAGGCATGAAATATGTTTGCATTCAGATCCATAGAACTTGGCATTCCGTGTGCTATAAATGTTTATTGAATGGTCAGAGGATTAACATTTGAATCCCATCTATGCTGTTTATAAAGTGGTGTGTGATTTTTGACAGTTCTGCTGACAATTCTCTCTCAAAAATCTGAGTTTCAGTATTGTTAGCTATAAAATGAAAAAAATGGATGAGTGTTTTTATTATTTATGATTATGTTACAGATCACCCCAAACCTTAGTGGCTGGTAACAACAAACATAATTTCACTTAATGTGGGGAAGGAATCCAAGAGCAGCTGTAGTTTAATAGCTATGTGGTTCAGTCCCCAATCTGTAGTGGTGGTCAGAGTGTCCACTGACATGGCTGTCATGAGGCTGTGCTGGGGTTGGATCCACTTTTCACTTATTTTTCTGATGGCAAACCTCAGTTCTTCACCATGTAAGCTTCTCCACAGGGTATTCCACCACATGGCAGCTGACTTCTTTTGGGGAACATGTCCAGGATCCAAGCCACAGGTTTTTAAAAACAGCATCAGAGGTGGCATTTCATCACATAAGGTGTATTCTGTTTGTTAGGAGTCAATCCAGCCTGCATTTGGGAGAGTATTACGAGACACAAGCTGGCAGGGGTTTTTGACTCTTAGATACTGCTGATCACAATGAGAAGGCAGGTCATATTTTCACAGTAGACAATCCACCTTCCTAAGATACTGTATTCATTAATCAAATAGTACTATCTGGCAATAGTACTTACAGGCAAACAAGGCATTGAATCTTTACTGTGTGGAAAATGGCTTATTCTTGTGGAAAGTTTGATTGGAGGTGTCGAGTTTGTTTTTCAAAATCTTTACTAAAACAAGGACACATGTTTACTTACAGTGTTTTCTTATTTTGTTTATAGGGAGACCAAATTTTGAGGAAAGTGGACCAGCATCAGTGGGGAGAAAGCATGAATTTATTCGGTCAGAAAGTGAAAACTGGCGAATCTTTAGAGAAGAACAAAATGGAGAAGATGAAGATGGAGGTTGGCGACTAGCTGGGTCAAGAAGGGATGGAGAGAGGTGGCGGCCTCACAGTCCTGGTAAGAATTTTGTTATGTAAAAGTCCAAAGGGACTGAAATAAGTGATAGTTTGATGAAAGTGTTGAACCTTTTTTTTCTTTTTTTAGAGAGGAATGAGAAAGATTTATTAAAGGTAGATATAGGGTGCACTTGAGCGGAATGTGGGTGTGCAAAGAAATGACACACCAGTGGTAGGGATTAAGTGAAAAAGGTAAACTGGTTTTAAAAAGAAAAAGGGGGAGGATCATTTATGCCACAATACTCAGCCTTTCTACTACAAAGAAATTGCAGCATAAAAACTCCCCAACACATCTATTCAGTTGATTGAAATCACTTTTGTTTTCCTGGGGCAAAGAGTATAGTTTAATGGAAAGCACCTGCCTGCAATTGTAGCAGAGAGGGTTTCATTCAGGTTTGAGTAGCTCTTAATCTTTTAATCTTAGCATTCTCTAAAATTTACAGTGGCAGGGGGTTAGGGGAAAAATACTGAGAAATATATAAATTATACACTTGGAATACGTGTCCTCTTTACAAGTGGGTATTTTTTCCAAATAAGAAAAGACTTATTCTTTCTTCTTTTCCTTTTGAAAATGTGATTTGTGCTTATTTGAACAATAAACTTTAAACCCAGGTCAGACACATCATCACAAGTTCATTCTTTTGTTCCTCTGACTTCAGAAAAAGGAAAGAGAATAGTAGTGATTAATAGTTTTTAAAGTTCTTCTGTTGGATTCTTAAGAATGCTTCAAACTGTTCTTCTCGGACATTAGATATGCTGGTAATTAAAGACACTGGCGCTTTGTGTTAAAGTTCATCCCCTACCAAAGTGCTGATTCAATACCTCATGATAATCAGATGCAACTGTAGCTTGGATTGTGGGGTCATGCAGAACTTGAGCATACAGAGTGCAATGCCTTTGTGTTTCATGTACATGGTAATGTTATCAATAGCCACAGGCCAAAGAAGCTTGCCTTTAATAGAGAGAGTTGTAATAATGTAAATGGTTTTTACTTTTAAAAATATCATCAAAACCACTAGGCCATATCTGAGTGAACATCTTAACAAGCATTGAGTGTATTTTATGGACTTACGGGTAGGTAGAAACATGATGAAGTTATTCTGCAGGTAGAGTTATGATGCATTTATACCAACTCTTCATGCTGCCTCTTGGGCGGGTTTTCTGTCAGTCCTGGGCATTGTTTACATCACAGGATCCAGGCAGTTCTCATTGGGCTGTGTCCTGGGCAACCAAATGTTACAGTCCTTTCCAAGGCATTGGGACATTTTGTGCTGAGCTTGACTGCAAGCCAAAGGGTGTATAGACTATGGTGCCAACAAGAATTTAGTGAAGAATGGACACGATCTCAGTTGAGGGAGAAGAGAGATTCCAGCTGGTCAGAAACAAAGAAGGTGAATGTTTTGGAAGATGTGCAGTGTTTCTGAGCCCAAATGCCTGATGTTAATTTTATTAAGAGGGTAGTAAAGTGAAATTTTAGGTTGTCTTCTATTGTCTTCACAACTTAGAATTTGGTCCTATATTGTCTTTTTTCAACTCAACCATCTTTTTTTTTTTCTTAAGACAGGATCTTGCTATGCAGTTCAGTCTGACCTTGAACTCAGTTTGTTTTTGTCTTTTTGAGACAGGGTCTCACTATGTAGTTCAGGCTGGCCTTGAACACACAGCAATCCTCCTGGGTCCTTTTGCCTCAGTCTCCTGAGTGCTGGGATTGTAGGCATGTATCGCCATGCCTACCAATCCATCCACATATTTTTAAGAGACATGTTTTGGGAGGATGGTAAAGCATAGGGGTCAGAAAAAACCCACTACCAATTCATTTAAAAGAAATACATGTACTTTTTAAGCCAGAATTTTAAAACTTAGTCTGATTATAGCAGTTGTTACGGGCTGTTAACATCTCATATAGTTTATCTCATTAGAATTTGAGTAAAATTTTAAAGTAATTATGTAAATGTAAATGTAGTTATTTTGGCTGATTTTATGAAAATAGTATGCGTCTTAAGCTGAGATATAAGGCACATAAAGATCAGCCTTAGTAAGCTTTTTTAGTTTTATTAGTAGTTTTATTGGCTATTGGTAAGAGAACAACAGAATTACAGGATGTCATTTTATTAAAACAGGGCTCACAGCTGGATATAGTTGGAGTCGGGGGCATGGAGGACAGGGAGCTATCCACTCTGAGGCTGAACTTAGGAAACTCAGTAAGAGGGAACATGAGCCAGGTGCCTAGAAGGATAGATTCCTATCGCGGTGCATACTTAGACTGCTTAGAAATGATAGTAGTAGACAGGACTGTGGAATTCAACATTTGATCTCGAAGACTCCTTTTGAATAATGACTCTAGGTTTACACTTCAGCAATCTAGGTATAAAATTCCATAGTCCCGTAGAAGGGAGTTAATAATGTTTAGTTGTTAGAAGTAGAGCTGAAGAGTATGGGAACAATCTCTTTTTTATTAGTGTCTTATAAGTTGCTACCTGTGTTTGTCAGGTTAATGCTTTACCTTCTGTTTTGTAGTTAGAGTTTTTCGATCACTGACTCTAGCAAGTTGGGCCTCAATTATAAGAATATTTCATTTTGGCCTCATTTCTTTTGTGTATCTCTCACAGAGTAAGCAAGCAAGAGTAGAAAAATTCATGTTCCTTTTAAGAAAAATACCATAAGTAGGATCCTTGTTCTTAGGGACTTCTTTTCTTTTTCGATGTAATATATACTTAGGAATGTTCCAAGGGGATGTTATATGGAAATAAAAACTCTAGGGAGACTTAAGAGATGAGAAAGAGGAGGAGGGCTGCAGATAAGGCTCAGTAGTAGAGTGCTTGCCTAGCATGTGTGAGGCCCTGGGTCCCATCCCCAGTACTGGGAGGAAAATAAGAGAAAAAGGGAGAAAGAGACTATGATTCCACATATATTGTGGGAAAGCAGATGCTTTCCCATAGTTCCTGTTCTGTTTGAGTTTTAATTTCCTCTTCACATAAAATTAGAACACTAGGCCATATAGAAATCTCTGTAACATAATCTGTCAGTGCTGTAGTTCTATGGGTTTTTGTTAGTCAAAATTAGAAATGAGAAGTTGGCCTTAGTAAGTAGGCATGATGAATTTGATACTATGACTTGACATAGTGAGCTGGTCTTATCCATAGGAGTGATTTCATGGAAGAAGGAAAATGCTTTAGGATCTGCAACAGGAAAGGCATAAACTTCAGTGTGGAAAGATACCCAGTGCTGTCAGTCTCAGCTAGGAGTAGGCCACATGAGTGGCTATATCAGCATTAATCGGATACCTAAAGCTTATTAAAAGTGCATACTTCAAGTGGGGTGGCCTTTCAAGGTACTTTATTTTAAATTTATTGCCTAAAGCTTTTAGAGTATGTTGTGTGGCCCAGTTCTTGATGACAGTAAGCACTGCCGTCACTTAATGGTGATTGCATAAACTCTGCGTTCTGAACTTCATTCACTGCTTAATTTTTTCTCTTCTGTAGGTTGATCAATTTGAATTTCCTGTCAGTCATAGTTTTCTCCTCTATTTCCTGTCCATGGTTTTATTTTTGAAATACTGGATCATAAAGTTTTCTAAGGTTTGTGTCCTCCTCATCTCAGATGGCCCTTGTTCTGCAGGCTGGCGGGAACACATGGAACGACGTCGGAGGTTTGAGTTTGACTTTCGAGATCGGGATGATGAACGGGGCTACCGGAGGGTGCGCTCTGGCAGTGGGAGCATAGATGACGACAGGGATAGCTTGCCTGAATGGTGCTTAGAGGATGCTGAAGAAGAAATGGGCACATTTGACTCATCTGGAGCATTTCTCTCTCTTAAAGTAAGAGATTTATTTTAAATGTCATGATGGAGACTAACCTTATACCAGAGCCAAATATGCTCTTGACTTTTGGTTTTATTTTCTTGCTACAGAAAGTACAGAAAGAACCTATACCTGAAGAGCAGGAGATGGACTTCCGGCCTGTGGAGGAAGGGGAGGAGTGCTCTGATTCTGAGGGTAGCCATAATGAAGAGGCCAAAGAACCTGATAAGACAAATAAGAAAGAGGGAGAGAAAACAGGTAGAGTAGAAGTTGGTAAGGTCCATTTATGTCTTTTACCTTCCTCCTCTATCAAACCAAAGCTTTCCTAAATTCATTTAAGATTATTTTGTGTTGCAGAAACAAGTGAAGAAACACCCCATACTTCATCATCCTCTGCTAGACCAGGTACTCCTTCAGACCATCAGCCTCAGGAAGCATCACAGTTTGAAAGGAAAGATGAACCCCAAACTGACCAAATGGAAAAAGCTGAAGAGGAGATTCGAGTGGAAAGTGGTTTGTCAGCGAAGGTCCCCAACAGGGTGGAGGGTATGTGTTTGTGAATGTTTTCCACATATATTTTCATCTGAGAATTCACCAAAATGGAGTTAATATCTTGCAAGTTGGGTTCATGGTTGTCTGCAGTGGTTTCGTTCCCAGGCCCTTCCTTTCTTCAAATGGTTGTTTGTATGCCTTGCTTCATACCAAAGTGCTTTTGTTCTAAAAAGAATACATGAAGGGATCTGAAAGTCCATCACTTTTGCTAGAAAATAAGCTTGCAGCATATTCTCCAGTATTACTGCTATATACATTTTTAGGCAATATCAGTGTTTATTTCCATAATTTTCTTATACATATTATATATTAAAAGTATTATCACATAATGTCTCATGTTGAAGAGTTGTTTGAGTCATTCATCATGAAATTCACAGGCTTTACCAAGGCCTGTACGATCTGGCATGATTGAGCACTTGCTTCCCTCTGTGCAGTTTCAGTGCTGGCCTCCTCGTCTCCCTCACATTCCACTCACCAGCCTCAAAGCCTTTGGTGCTGATTGCTGCTGCCCTGTTCTGTGTTCATGATTTTCTCTTCCTGAAACCTTCTTTGGTCCATGTCCCAAGCTAAATTGTTGTTTTCTCCTATTTCTTGACCAACTAATACTGTTTCTTACACAGTATTACAATTTTATAAAGATCTGTTCAGAGTTTGTACCAAGACTTTCTTTTCAGCTTTTTGTCTACTAGAAAGCTATGGAATGAATGAATTCAATAAGTATTTGAATCTGTCCATACCAAGTGCTACAGGACCTGTCCCTTTGGAAACCTTTTTATATCATAGAAGTTGTTTCTGAGTTATACCCCCCAGAATTACTTGTAGTTTACTTTCTTGAACGGATATGCCTGCAGGTCGTATTCTGGGAAATTTCAGGGTTGAGTCCAGACATGTATATTTTGAAAATCTTCATAGATGGGCATTAAAGGTTAACATTCCTTTAATGGGGGCACTGTGTGTAATTTGTCATGCGTAGAATTTGGCTTTGCGGGTGGGGTGGAGAAAGTGGGGGTGGCAGGTAAGCACAAACTCTGAACAGATCTTTATAAAATTGTAATACTGTGTACAAACTCTGAACAGATCTTTATAAAATTGTAATACTGTGTAAGAAACAGTATTTAATTCTCTAGGGAATTAAATCATGTGTATATCAGTAACCCAGGGCAAAAAAAGATAGGATTCCAGTGTTGGCAGACTCTTGGAATGCTTCAAGAAGCAGGTCATTTTTGAACATACCTTATTAGAGTAATAAGTGGAATTCAAAGGTGTAGGTGTAGTTAGACAAATTGGAGAGGGCATTGCAGTACCAAGGATCAGTGAAAGCTAAAGTGAAGATGTGGGGTGGATGGAAGTGTGGGTGGAAATCACCTTTTATTTTTATTTAGAGTTGGTCTAAGGTGTGAAAAGGAGGCTGGTGAGAAGCACAGTTGGAACTGAGATTCAATAGCAGTATATATCATCTCTTCTTGTGATGACTATGACCTATAATATTCCGGAGCAGTGCATTTGTAAAGGGGAGGTAGTAGCAGATAAGATTTCAGATTCAAAATTAACAGGACTTAGTCATTGAGAGAAAAGTCAAAGATGACGGAGGTGCATGAGAGGATTCCGGTACCATTTACAGGAAAAGAGAATGGAAATTGAGGGGCACATTTGAGAGAGAAGAGAATTCAATTTGAACATTGGCTCCAAAGTGTTAATGAGAAGTAGAAATGACCAGAGAGTCTTTGTGAATGAGAGCATAATTTAAGGCCAGAGAAAAATAAGAATTTTAAAAATTACTAACACTTGGGAAGGGGTGAGAAGAAAAGTGGATTGAGAATAGAACCTATGGGTAATTCCTAGTTTTAGCTAGATAGAGGAAGAGAACTAGAGAAAAATCTTCAGTAACATAAATTAGAGTCAGGAGAGTAGAATGCAGGGAAACTGAGGAAGAGAACAATTCAGCCTAGAACTGGGTTTGGTAACATCAGATGCTGCGAAGAGTGTAGATGGGAAAAGTAGGGAAAGTCTTGAGTTTGGCAGCTTTGCATCACTGTCTGTCTTTGAGAGAGGAGCTCTGTGGAGAGGTAGGGAGTAGAAGTCACATTGTAGTAAGTGTGGGTGGCAGGGAAGTGGGAACAGCATGTATAATTGTCCTTTTCAGTCATTTGGCAAAGGAAGAGAGGAACAGGGATTTGGAGAAGCTATCTGTAATTGAGCAGACAAGGCTTCAAAGGAGCAACTGCAGTTGTATCTAATTACTTCCACATCCTCTCATCTTCTGTCCTGCTCTGTCCTGCTCTGTCCTGCTCTGTCCTGCTCTGCTCTGCTCTGCTCTTCTGAGCTAAGGATTGAACTCAAGGCCTTGTGTGTGCTAAACTAGTGCTGTTTCTCTGAGCTGTATGCCTAGCTCCCCTCCTCTCCTTTTCAAGAGCCTGCATACTGACAGGTTAGAACTATTAGCAACTGATAGGAAATACCTCCGCAATTTTTATTCGTACTGAGAAGAACATCCTATCCTATGCAGATAGACTTCTAAATAAAAATGTAATGTATTGAATTATATTTATTGTGAAATAAATAGTGAAATAGGCACTTATTCAGGATTCTTATAGATACTTGCAATAAAGGCTTTGCTGAGCTGTGACATGTCTCTCGGAGATGATTTAGGTGCTTTGATAAGTATTTAGAGACATGTTACAAAGAAAGGATTAGTCTGACTGTTGGCCAGAGACCTGTCTATTACTGTTGGGTAGATTCTCTAGCACCACAGGTAGCACCGTATAGAAGAACCTAAAAAATTGTGAGCCTTACTTTTGTCATCCTGTGGTGGTAATTCTGTTGTTTTTGGGAGGAATACTACACTTCTCTATAAGAAGTAGCTTCACTGTTCATGACAGGGTTCACATTTCTGTTGGGCCCATTTAGCAGGCTTCCCAACTTAATAATGCAGTTAACCTTCCTGAGAATCTATATTTCTCAGGATTTTCATCAGTCTGACTTATTTTCCTCTAGAAATGGTTACGGATATCCAACAGCCCCTGACACAGCTCCCTCCGGACACAGCCTCTCCTCTTCTCATACTTCCACCTCCTGTTCCTGCCCCTAGTCCTGCCCTGCAGCCAGTTGAGACACCAGTCATCGGTGCTCCTGGTATGGGCAGTGTTTCCACAGAGCCAGATGATGAAGAGGGTCTCAAACACTTGGAGCAGGTAAAATTCATGTTAACTCTTTCTTATCTCCTTTCAAACTGCCATAAAAGAAAGTCTTAAATGTAAACATGTAATTAAACAAATCATGCACATTAGATTTTAAGCACTGGAAAAGTTGTTTGGTTATTTAGTATTTATATGAGTAATTGTCTTCCAAATCATTTCATGCTTATAAGTTTCTGCTATGTAGTAGTCATCATATTAGGTTATTTTTTGCTCTTCTGAGGTTGCCCTTAGCTGTTTACTTTTCTTTTTTCTTTTTGAACATTAATGGAATGCCAAAGATGGCGAGTACAAGCAGCTGTGGATGGTCTCTGCCTTCTGTGTTTTTGCCTGGAGTATAACAGAGGGAATGGTTAAAAAATTTCAGGATACTAGCAATTATCTCCCTACATTTCCCTAAGATTGTATATACATTGTTACATGTAAATGATAGTACGCTTTTCTACAAAAGAATTTCTATTTGAGAATGGAATGATTAGAGGTAAGAAATGCTGAAGAAAGGAAGGAGAATAGTGTCTTAGTAAAACATGTAAAAGATTTTATTTTTAATTGAACCTTTTGTTCCATAATACCCTTGTTTCTGTAGGTTTAGTTTATCCATTTTAGAATTGACCAATGACTTACTAGTTTAAAAACTTAGTGTATTAATTAGAAGCGTGGGCTTTCTTGTATTTTGATATCAGTTGGTTTGCTTAATTTTCAGATGTTGAGCAACATTTAATGTCCTTGGGCCTTAGCTCCCCCTTCTATAAAATGGAAGTGTAGTACCTGTTTCATGGCATTTTGGGGAGAGAATTAAGTTTTAACCTGCTTTTTTCATTGTGTAATGTCTCTTGTAGATCAGGTAATCCGGAAAGGGTGGGCATTGTTATTACATACTGTATATGTTTTAATTTAGCATCGTTTATTTCCTCTTTTTTGGTTATTAGCAAGCTGAGAAGATGGTGGCTTATCTCCAAGACAGTGCACTAGATGATGAGAGACTGACATCAAAACTGCAAGAGCACAGAGCTAAAGGAGTGTCAATTCCAATATTACATGAAGCAATGCAGAAGTGGTATTACAAAGATCCTCAGGGAGAAATTCAAGGTAAGTTGTTCCTTTCTACTTTAAATATTTAAGTGTCTGCCATTAACTCCAGCATCATTTAAGAAGGGGGTTTAATGTTAATTTGTATAATAATAAAGAAGCCCATAGACTTTCATATATATGAAGAAAATACGTATATAAAGATTTGGGCACAAGGCAGAAAGTGATGATTAATATGACAGTGATATAGGCAAAATGCTTAATTAACTCAGCTCCAGCATACTGACTGGATAAGTAGGCAGGTAAATTATTCATCTTCTCTGTGCTTTGGTCTCCCTGGCCATTAAACGGTGATGGCAGCAGTGTTGGAGGATCTTAAGTGCTTTTCTTAAGTGGACTTGATGGAAGAGGTGGAGAACCAGTAGAAATGTTACAAATGAATTCCTTAAGAGGTTTCTGTGGTATGTAAGTTCATTAGAATGGGAGAATTCTGAATGTAAAGGATTTTTGTGGAATCTTCACTTCTGCTTTTAAAATCTTTGCTTGAAATCTGAAATTGGTTATTGACTACTGGTATCAGTTTCAGGGCAGCATTTTACCAAGCACGCTCTATGAGCTCTCTCTGGCATATTGCCCCTTCCACGCCTAGTCTTAGTACCTTGCCTTATTTTCTGTCACAGCATTTATTGCTGTCTGATGTGGTATATATATGTTCATTGTTTACACCTTGGTACAATGTAAGATACCTCTGAGTAAGGCTTTGTGTGTGTGTTTTAATTGTATTTCTTTTGGGATAATTGTAGCTTTGCATGCAGTTGTAAGAGATAGTACACAGACATTCTGTGTGCCCTTTCTTGCAATGGTAATCTTTTATAAAACTGTAAAGATACTGAGCTGGATAACAGTACAGATTCAGAACCTTTCCATCTCAACAGGGTTGGTACATGCTCTTTCATGACCACCTGCATTTCCCAACTACCGACTCTTACTACTGCTCCCTGGCAACCACAAATCTGTTTTTTATGTCTATATTTTAAGAACATTATGTAAATGGAATCATACAGTGTGTGACCTTTGGCTCTCCTTATTCAGAATAACCTCTGGAGATTTATGCAGGTGGCTGCCTATATCAGTAGAAGGTGAGATCAAACAATACGCTGAATGTTTAACATTTTAAAAATTTATTATAAAGTAAAAGACACATTGCCATTAATCTCTCTCAGAATCTTCCCCTTCGCTGCAAACATTTATCTCTTATCATTTGTGAAGTAGTTCTGGAAGTCCTATTTTTGTGTCTTTAATTGTGCTTTTGTGGCTCCATGTCCTACATTTATTCACAACGTTTACTTTTCATGGTCACGTTTTGACTTTGGGGAAGAACCAGAAATCGGATCCAGTGAATAAGGTTGATGCGAACACATTAAAGTATTTTTACAATCTGCCTTTCTTTTGGATCGTACTCGGCAGCGGCATTCACTATATTTATTACCACACCTTCTGAAGACAGTCAGGAAGAGGACTTCCAGAACTGCTTCAGAAAGTGGCAAGAATGATAGGCTAAGTGTGTTTGAAGCAAGAGCAAAAGCAGAATGTCTTTTAGTGTAAAAAATTTCAGCATCCACCACCTTGTTTTGATCACACCTTGTAGTTATTTTCTTTACTGAGTAGCATTGCTGAGTAGATATCAGTGTGTTATAGTTTGTTTAATCATTTATCTGTTGAAGGACATCTGGGTTCCAATTTTTGGATATTATAAATAAAGCTGCCCAAAACAGCGGATTTTTGTGAAAACATGAGCTCATTCCTTCAGGGTAAATGCAACTAGTAGGTTGAAGGGTGGTTTCACGTTTAGTTTTTACTGCCAAACTGTTTTCCAGGGTGGCTGTACCATTTTGTATACCCTTCAGGAATGTATGTTATGCACTTTTACCAGATCCTTACCAGCATTTCATAATGTTGCTACTTTTAGTTCAGTCATTATGACAGGTATATAGTGATAAATTGTGTCACAATCCCATTGTAGTTTAAAATTTACATTTCCTTAATGGCTAATGATAATATCTTTTGTATGTTTATTGTATATAAATTTACCATCTTACTCATATTTAAGTGTATTGGGTGAGTGATATCAAATAAATGTGTAATGTTGTGCAGCCAGCACCATTTATCTTCATAACTCCTTTTATCTTCCCAAATTGAAACTTTAAATAGTAACTCTATGTTCATAGCCCCCCCAACCCAGTGTTCCTCTTCCTTGGCAACCATGATTCTGTTGTCTCTCTGATTTCGACTATCTTGAGTAAGTGGAATTACAGTGGAATTACAGTGTTTTTTCGTGTGCGACTGGTGTATTTCAATTAGCATAATGTCCTCGGGGTTCATCCACGTGGTAGTGTGTGTCAGAATTCTGTTTAACAGCTGTGAACAGTATTCTTCCACATTTTAGCTGCTGTGAATAATGCTGCTGTGAACGTGGATGTACAGATATCTTTGAGACTATTTTTAGTTCTCAGAGGTGTGTGTCTAAAAGAGGAATGGCTAGATCATATGGAAATTATGGGGTTTTTTTAAATTTTATTTTTTGTATTTTTGAGACAGGGTATACAGGGTGTGCAGCCTGAACTTGCTATACAGCTCAGACTGGCCTTGAACTCACTTTGTTGCCCAGGCTGGCCTCCAACTCAAAGCCATCCTCCTGCCTCAGCCTTCTGAGTGCTGGGATTAACAAGTGTGTGCCACCACACCCAGCTGTTTTTAATTTTTTGAGGGATCACCATGCTATTTTTCATAGCTGGTATATCATTTTACATTCCTACCGAGGAATGCACAAGGGTTGTAGTTTCTCTACATCATTGTTCACTCATTTTTTAAAATATTAGTTACCCTCAGGTGTCTTGCATTTCCCTGATAGTGATGCTGAGCATCTCCTCATGTGTTTATTGATAATTTGTATGTCTTTAAAAGCATTATTCATTTTTAAGTTCAGGTTTATTATTCATTCTTAATTTTCTTTTTAAACTGTCTTTTGAGATAGGATTTTTTTTTTTTTTTTTGGTGCTGGGAATTTAACTCAAGACCTTACACTTTCCAGGCAGGCACTGTGTCACCGAGCTGTATTCCCAGCCCTGAGGTAGAATCTTACTGTGTTGTACAGGCTGGTCTTAAACTTCTGCCTAGTGATCACTTACCTCGGCCTTCTGAGCAGCTAATACTGTACCTGGGAAGATGGGTTTTTAAGTTCATTTTGTGTCTTGTTCCTTTTCTAAATTCAGTTATTGGTTCCAATGTTAATTTTAAAAGTACTTACGGTTTTTTGCATGTAAGATAATATCTATGAACAGAGACAATTTTACTTCTTTCTAATTTGGATGGCTTTCATTTCTTTTTTTGCTTAATTTCTCTGGCTAGGAACCTTCAGAATTGCATTGAATAGAAATGGAGGAAAAGTAAACATGTTTGTCTTGTTCTGTTAGCATAAAAACTTGTCTTTCACCACTGAATATGTTAGTTGTAGGGTTTTTTTACACAGCTTTCATTATGAAGTAAACTACTGTTATTTATTAAGAAATGGTTGATGAATTCTGTCACTTTTGCATCAATTGAAATAATCACATTCCCTCTTTTATTCTGTAATACATTGTATCGTACTGATGAATTTTTATATGTTCAACCATCCTTGCATTCCAGGAATAAGTTCCACTTGGTCATGGTGTAGAATCCTTTTTTTATGCCGCTGAATTTGCTAGTATTTTGTTGAAGATTTTTTTGTATCAATATTCCTAAGGTATTTTGGCCTGTAGTTGTGATTTGTACGCACGTGTGTGTGTGTGTGTGTGTGTGTGTGTGAGATAGCTTTGTTAGGCTTTGGATTTAGAGTAATTCTGGCCTTACATATTCCTTCCTTTTTGGTTATTTGGAAAACTTTGAGAAAGGTTAGTAATAAAAGGTAGAATTCTTTAGTGAAGACATTAGGTCCAGGACTTTGTTGGGAGATTTAAATTTTTTCTTTTTCTATTTTGTGATAGGGTCTTGCTACATAGACCAAGCTGGCCATGAACCTAGCTATCCTCCTACTTCAGCCATCCAAATGCTGGCTGAAGGCCATCTCACCTGGCTTGTTTGTCAATTTTTGACTACTTATTCTAGATACTATTCTTTGATTGATAGGTCTTTTGTGTATTTTCTCCCAGGTTTTTTTTTTTTTTTTTTTCATCTTAACTGTCTTTCACAAAGGAGAAAGTTTTAAATTTTGATGTTCAGTAGGTAAGTTTCTTTTTTTATGGACTATTCTTTCTCATTTTAAGAATTCTTTGCCTAGCTTAAGATCCCAGAGATTTTTTTCCCTGTATTTTTAAAAAAAATTTTGTTTTATTCACATTTTTGGTCCATTTTGAGGTACTTTTTGTATAAGGTATGAGACTGTAGGTCAAGTTTGTTCCTTGTTGTTTTTGCTTTTGTCTCTGATGTCCATTTGCTTCTGGACCCAGTCAGTCTTTTCTCTTTTGAATTGCTTTCTTCCTCCTTTGTCAAAATCATTTGAACAATCTGTATGGGTCTATTTCTAGGTCTTCTTTCCTCTTCTATTGACCATTTGTGTCTGTTCCTTTACCAGCACTGCACGGTTGTGATTATTGTAGCTTTATAGTAAATCTTGAAATTGGGTAGACCTACTCCTCTCACTTTATTCCTCTTTTTCCAAATTCTTTCTAGCTTTGTAGTTTCTTTACCTTTTCTTGAAAGTTAATCATGACTATATTCACCAAAAATCTTAGGTTGAGATTTTAGTAGGAGTAATGCTGAGTCTGTGTATAAATTTGAAAATTGTTATCTTTACCTCATTGATCCTCCAGCCCACCAGCAATACTGTTTGTCTTCAATGTAGATGTCTTTAATAGCTTACATTGGTGTGGTTTGGTTTTCAGTATAGATTCAGGATGTGTTTTTAGATTTACTCCTAAATACTCATTTACTATATTTTTAGTGTTTATTCACTGCTAGCATATAAAAGTACAGTTGAATTTTGGATGTTTATCTTATACTCTATGATCTTACTGGATTCACTTATTAGTTCAGGGAAACCCCCTAACATGCACGCACGCGCACACACACACTTTTAGGATATTTCCTTGAGATTCCAAGTAGACAAATATGTCTTTAGCAGATGGGGACAGATTTATCTGGCTTTTCTAATTTTCATTTCATTTTCTAATTTTTATTTCATTTTCAACTTGTATGCTTCTTGTTTGCTTACTCACTTCTTGTGCATTTATTCCATCACTATGTTGAGCAAGAGGGGTGACAGCTTTGTTGCTCCTGTGTTCTTATTCCGGGAAGCATTCAGTCTTTCATCGTTAAATGTAATGCTACCTATAGAGGGGTTTTTTTTTGTTGTTGTTGTTGTCATTTTGAGACGATCTTGCTATGCAGTTCAGGCTGGACTTGAACTCTCAAGGATCCTCCTGCCTCAGCCTCCCAAGTGCTGGGATTACAGGTGTGCACCACCACACCTGGCTCCTATAGGGTTTTCATAGAAACTCTTTATCAGGTGGGGGAAGTATGCTTCCATTCTGTTTTCAGTGATTTTATTGTGATTAGGTATTAAATTTTTGTGAGGCACTTTTTCTGCTTCTGTTGATAGTATCCTGTGGATTTTCTTTAATAATTTCTGCGGTAGATCATACTGATTGGTGGTTATATATTGAATCAACTTTGCTTCCTTGGATACAGTGAACTTTTTTTTTTTTGGTACTGGGAATCAAACTGAGGACCTTGTGCTTGCCAGGCAGGTGCTTGCACCGCTGAGCTATATTCCCCAGCACTGCTTCCTTAGATAAACCACCTTGCATCCTTGGAATAAACTCTACTTGACCATGGTTATACAATCCTTTGTATATATTGCTCAATTCTATTTGCTAATATTTTGTTTAAAGATTTTTTTATCTATATCAAGGATGTTGGTTTGCACTTTCTTGGTTTTTTTGTTTTTTTTTTTTAATCTTTAGTATCTGGTTTTTTATTTTACTTACTATTTGATGGGGGATGGCAGAGTCTTGCTATGTAGTTCAGGCTGGCCTGTAGCTTACTGCATGGCCTATACTGTTCTCCAACTTTCCTGTCTAAGCCTCCCAAGTGCTGGCATTACTTTAAGGTAATATTTACTTTATAAACTGAAATGGGAAGTACCCCTCTTCCTTGTTTGTTTTCTCAAAGAATTTGTACTAGAACTGGTGTTCATTCTTTAACTGTTTAGTGGAATTCTCCAGTGAAACCATCTAGAGATTTCTTTTTGTGGAATTTTTAAATTATAAATTTAATTTCCTTCCTAGATAGTTATTTAAATTATTTATTTATGTGTGTTTGAGTTTTGGTAGTGTGTGTTTTTTGAGAAATTGTTTCATTTGTCTAAGGTACCAAACACATCTTAATTCTTTTTATTTCCCCTTCCCTTCCCCTCCTTCCTCTCTCTCCATCTCTTGGTCTTCTTCCCATTTGCAAAAGATCTGTCCCCCTGGGTGCTGTGTATTGTGTAGGTACTTGAAAACAGTGTATATTTTGCTCTTTGGAATCTTCTAAAAATGTCACTTCGCTTGTTATTTGATAGTTTTAGTTTTTCTGTAATCTTGCTGATTTTCTGTTTGTTCTTCCAAATGTTGAACAAAGGATAGTCTGCAGCTTTTGGGTTTGTCTGTTTTTTCAGTTCTCTCAGATCCTGTTTAATATGTTTTGCAGCTTTGTTGTTTGGTACATACAGATGTATGAGTGCTGTGTCTTGGTGAATTCACATTTTATTATTATATATTACCTCTTTGTTTCTGGTAGTTTTATTTGCTCTGATGTTTATTTACTAATCTAACATTTCTTTGATATCTGCTAATATAACTCTTCATTAATATTTGCATGATCTATCTTTGCATATCTTTAAACTTGCTTATGTATTTGGAGTAACTCTCCAGTAGTCCCTAGGGTTAAGTCCCAGTGACCCCATCATATGTTGACAATATTGTCAAAAATGTATTTAATGTACTGTACTTGCTGAATGTTGTGAGTTAGCAACACATTGCACTGCAGTATGGATTTTACATGTTCACTCTCCCGTTACTGACTGGAGCTGTCTTGCCACTGCTGCCCAGCACGGTGAGAGCAGAATACTGCATAGTGTTAGCTGGAAGAAGGTCAGAATTTGAAGTGTGTGTTGCTTTCATGCCATTGTAATATTGAAAAATTCCAAGACAGACTCTAGGTCTGGGGAATTCACTGTTGAGCATTTTCCCATCCTGGGAGTCCCTAGTCGATCTGTCTTCTTCAATGTCCTTTTTAAATTTTTTATATAAATGTCAGTGCTTTTTAGTTGTACTTAGCAGAAGAAGTAGGGGAACGTACATCTGATACTCCGCATTTCTGAAATGGAAGTCTCAAGGCTTTGTTTTAGGGATTAAGGTAATTTCTTTTTTTTTTCCCCCAGTACCGGAAGTCGAACTCAAGACCTTGCACTTGCCAGGCAGGCGCTGTGCTGCTGAGCTAAATCCCCAGTCCCCCTAAGGCTTTGTTTTAAAATTGCCAAATTCCTGTTGGTTAGGTCATAGAATCAGTGTTTAGTAAATATTTGTTGAATGAATTCATTAATATTTCATTGATCAGAATACTTTGTTAATTGTATATACAAAATGCTTGGATATTTGTTTGTTTTTGTTTGTTTGTTTGTTTCCGGTACTGGGAATCGAACTCACGATCTTGCGCTTGTGAGGCAGGCACTGTGCCGCTGAGCTAAATCCCCAGCCCTGCTTGGATATTTTTTAATGAAAAATTTTAAAGAATATTAATTTTTCCAGGCCAGATATAGTGCTAAGTGAGTAGTAATATTAGTTTAATTGATTATAGCTTGTATTTTGTCCTGCCTTCACTAATCTCTGGCAGAATATAAATAATGGGGAGCATGTTCAGCTGGAACATTTATATACTTTCTATGCATAAGTGGTAAGAAGAGGTCCAGCATGTAACTCTTCAGTTGTTTCATACTTTTTTGACAAATGAGTGGTTAATAGAGATTTAGATGGAGATAATTTTGCTACTTAAAATAATTAAGCACTGCTTAATTTAAGAGTGTGAGATGTAATAACCAGGTTGTGTGGGGTGTAGCTTAGTGATAGAGTGCTCACCTAGCATGTGTAGAATCTTGGATTTGATTCTCAGCACTGCCAAACATACAAACAAAACTTTTTCCAAAGTTGTTTCTGTTGTATTTTATTAGTTAGAAGCCTGTTCACATCTTTGGAGGTAAATTAAGATACCGTAACATTTTTTATGATGATCAGATGCAGGGAATTTTGTTTTGTTTTTGGGTTGTTTGTTTGATTGTTTTTAGAGCCTGAAAGGATTCTTACTGCCTTTGTGTTTAATTGGCTCTTATAGGTCCCTTCAATAGTCAGGAGATGGCCGAGTGGTTTCAGGCAGGCTACTTCACTATGTCTTTGCTGGTGAAGAGAGCATGTGATGAAAGCTTCCAGCCCCTTGGTGACATCATGAAAATGTGGGGAAGGGTTCCCTTCTCGCCAGGCCCAGCTCCCCCTCCTCATATGGTGAGTGCCTTCCCCACTGGCTTGGGATATGTGTGAGACACAGAGACACTTGCTCCCTTAGAAAGTGATTGAAATGGATTATAATGGGGGATCTGAATGGGAGGATGAATACCAAACTGTAATAACCTTTCAAATTCATTCATGTTCTTCTTACTCTCTCTCTCCCTCCCTCCTTCCTATCCTCTCTCCTTTTTATGTCTCTTACACACACACACACACACACACACACACACACACACACACACAGAACCTTCAGTAGCTGTAGAATGAAGGCCCTGTTTTATGCTGACCCACCTACCACATCCTGCATGGCCTGACTCCTTACTTTCTCCTAACCTTATATCAGAACTTTTATCTTTATTTATCTACTGTGCTTTGGTATAGTGGGACTCCTTCAGTTATTACTGCTAGTTAAACTGCACATTTTCTTTTACTTCAGTTTGCCTCTTGTTTTCTAGCTTATAAAATTCTTAAATTTGAGATTTACCTTAAAATAAAGTCACCAGTGCTTCAGGATATTTTAAGGACTTAAACTTTTAACCTTACTCTTGAATTTGCTCCTAGCCTCTCCCAGTAGAGTTCCTTTTGGAGATCTCTAAACATCTACCTCCTCTTCCATCTCCAGGTGAAAGTGACTGGTGGCTGGCCATAGTTAATAGTGATCATAGTCAAAAAACCTTTCATGTGGCTGGGTGTGGTGGTGCATGGCTATAATCTTGGCCCTTGAAAGGCTGAGGAAGAGAATTACCATGAATTCAAGGCCAGCTTGGGAAACATAGTGAGTTCAAGGCTAGCCTGGACTACAGAATGAGACCCTGTCTAAAAATACCTGCGGTGCACTTCTTCTACAGTAATAAATACCGCTGACTAATTTCATCAACTGTACATTGAGGGCCTGTGACAGGCATAGTGGTAAGTTCTTACGAGATGAAGATAAGACAGAGCCTCTTGTAGTTATGGGAGTTTATAGATAAGTACTGTGGCCATTTACCTTTTTTCATGTCTCATAGATTCTTAGGTGAGAATTATTACTCCTGGTAGTATCCTAGTTGTTTTAAGTCCAAAGAAAGATTACACTATGTATTTTTGTTCATGGATTCAACATACATACCAAGTTTAAGCCTTATTTTCCTTCCAAATTGAGATTTCGTGTGTGGGGAGCCAAAGCTCATAAATTGGATCTTGGCATTCCTGTTCCAGTCAGTCCATTTCTTACCTTCTTATATAGAAGGTAAGCCTCAGTCATATCCACTTGAGGGGACAGCTGCCGTCTGTTAGCTGTTGCTTTTGCCCTGAGTAACACTGGAACGAAGAAAGCACACCTTCATGAGGAATATTTCTTGAAACCTAGGTTTTCACATAGAAGGCATTTGTTCATTTTGTTTTTTTGAGATGATGTCTATATTTCAGACCAGGGTTTAACTGGCTTCATAGTTCAAGCTGGCCTAAAACTTGTGGTCTTCCTACTTCACCTTGAGCCTCTTGAGTGCTAGGTTGACATTTGTGCACCACCATACCTAGCTTATGTAGATTGACCTGGGGTAGCTTTTATCCTGCAGTTGCTTAATAAGAAAGAGAAAAAAAGTCCCTGAATTTCAGATGATCCCACCTCAAGATGTATATCAAATATTTTGTTTTAATATATAAGCAGTATATGTAGAATAAGAAAGATACAGACTGTATATACATGATTTGCTTAGGTTTCACACATGTTATCTTTTACTTTATACCTCACATTTCTTTCTGTTTTGCAGTTTTAACTTTATAAGATTTAAATTCCAGTCATATTATTTGAAATATAAGCTAAAAATATAGGGGCTTAGTATAGCTTATTTTTTCTAACCTCTTGATATATTCATAGCCATAGGAACCCCTATTTTTTAGTATAGTAATAATTTTCAAAGCTCTTTCCATATGTCAGTACCTTTGGATGTACTTAGATAGATACACTGGCTTCCTGTGTTCATTATGTGCCATTGCAAATTCTCAACATCACCATTGACCTTTAGATAATTGCACTCCTTTCTGCATTGTCCATTTCTCTAATTTCTACATGTTTTCAGGAGTTATAAATCACTTTCAGATTGGGAGTACGTGCTGTGCAGTTTTTTGGATACAGTAAAAACGGGAGTACAATTCAGCACTCAGTTTGAAAGACAGCCACGGAGAGCAGCTGCCAAGTACAGACGACCATTGCTCAGCTGGGGGGCCTCATGGTGTAGACACTACCTTCTTCCACTAGATGGCATTGTTTAGTTTTTTAAGATGTAGTGTTTTTAGTGCAGGATTTGGGCAAGTTGGTATGGGAGATAAAGGTCTTAGATTCATTTTGCTTGCAGATGAAGGTACTAAGTAGCTTTTACATTCTTTGCAGTTTATTTAATGATGTTTTTTTCTCCACTCTTCTACTCCCAGGGTGAATTGGACCAGGAACGACTGACCAGGCAGCAAGAACTCACAGCCTTGTACCAGATGCAGCACCTCCAGTACCAACAGTTCTTAATACAGTAAGAGCAGTAATGCAGTAGGATGAGTGTAGCTCTGGAGGGGCTTTCAATAGACTCTGTTCCTGAGGCTCACCTTGCAGCAGAGTGCTGGAGGCTTACATGAGACTATACTGTAGTTTGGGGGAGGGGGTGATAACTGGGGCTTGAATCCAGGGCCTTTGTTCCTTGCCCTTATTTTTTATCTTGAGATGGTTTCACTGAGTGACTGAATTGCCCAGACTGGGCTCAAACTTGGATTCTTCTGGCTCGGCCTCTCAGAATGCCGGGATTACAAGTGCATGTCACTATACTTGTTTAACAACTGTTCATTCTAATTTAGTCTCATTTTATTTCTTAAATGTTAGAAGTTTGCAGATGATGACACATAAAAAGGAAGAGCCAACAAACATTTGACAATTGAAGTGCTTTCTAAGGGGCTCAGGTTTCAATGCTCAGAGAAAACACATGGGCAAGAGGATGGGAAGAAGTTAATGTTTGCACTATTAGGCGTGGTGTAGAATGATGGCAGCATTGCTCAGGTTGTATGTCTCTTTCATAGAAATAAGATTCACTTTGGTGCCAAGATTGGCGAAGTCTGGAGGGGTTGTGCTACCTGTTTTCATAAGGAAGTCTTATTGGGTGACAGCCACGCCCTTGTGTGTATAGATTATATCTGCTTTTGTTTCACAAAGGCAGAATTAAGTAGTTGCAGCAGAGACTGCATGGCCTACAAGCTGAAGATATTTACGCTGGGTCTTTACAGATATACTGAAAAAAATTACCTAAAAATTTCCAACTTGAAGCTGAGCATGTTGTGCCTGTAATGCCAGCACTTAAGGAGGCCAAAGTAGGAGAGTTGGAAGTTTGAGTCCCACCTTGGGCAATTAAGTGAGACCCTGTCTCAAATTAAATAAATCAATTACTTAAAAGGTCTGGGAATGTACTCAGTGTTAGACTGCTCCTGAGTTTGATTTCCCTACCCTGGCAGCATAAATTGGAGAATTTTTATAGAGGTGATTCTGTTTCAGTGGCAGCTTCAATTGCAGATAGTTGTCTCGATCTATTTTATTTTTTGCCCCCTTATAATTTGGTAAAGGGGTGTTATTACCTTGAGGGCATTTGCCAGTTTTTTGACATTTTGTGACTTTATTTTACTCAAAGTATGTCTTTCTACAATGAATTGCAGAATTGGCTGTGTGACAATTATTATGAAAAATTGTAAAATATATTTGAATGCTGTTTCTAATTGTGGTTCCTGGGAGGTATGAACTGAACTTTGTTTTCCAGTGCCTCATTCTAGTGAACTAAAACAAATAAGGGTAGATCAGGTTACACTAATTTTTTCTCCCTAACTTTTTGAAGGCAACAATATGCACAGGTTTTGGCTCAACAGCAGAAAGCAGCCTTGTCCTCCCAGCAGCAACAACAATTGGCCCTTCTTCTCCAACAGTTTCAGGCTCTGAAAATGAGGTTGGTGGCCCTTCCATTGTGCATCACATTTGTGTATGAGCAGTGGATATGTTCACAAAAGAGAAGGAATTTTAGTGCATTGTGTGAATTCTGGTATTGGAATGCTCATAAATAGCACATATCTGCATGTTTATAAAAACTATTGTTTTAAAAGCGAATTTAGCTAGAGTCAAGCATTTACTTGGTCATTTTACTCATAGAAGTTACAGGTTGACTAATAAAGAATAATGAACATTTGAGAATTAGTATCGTTTTAGGGAACTTGTATCAAAACAATTACAGTGTAGAATTTTTTATTTCATTTTTACCTGTGATACCTCAAAAAACATTAATAATGCTGCATAGGGTTATGATTTTTTGGAATCCAGAAATCGTTAGGCCTAAGGAGAAGAAAATTATGCAGAAAGTCAGATTGTCATTCAGAATATTTGGTCTAGCTTCTGAAGTTGTGTTAGTCACTGCTCTCAAAACCCTGCTGTCCAATAATCAAAAGAATTCACATTTCTCATTTGAGCGTTAACCCAGAGGCAAGCAAGTTAGTGGTAAGGTCTTTCTGTTTTAAAGAGAGGCAAATGGAAACCCTGAGAGGCTAGTGGACTTGGCTAACTCAACACGTGCAAAATAGACACACCTAAAATACACACTTTTTTGTTATTGTTATAATGCCCCCATGACTTTTATTGAGATAATCTGAGGTTTTTAAAGACAACAGGTATAGCTGTCATGTGGAAACTAGTATTTGGTGTACCACAGAAAATTCTGTAAGTGTGATCGCTATGCCTCTACTTTTGTTCCTTTCTTATCTGCTTTGGTAGTGCTAGGTTTTATTTAAAGCAGTAAAGGAGCTGGGTGTGGTGGCACATGCTTGTAATCCCAACACTCAGGAGACTGAGGCAGGAGGATCATTGGAAGTTTGAGACCAACCTGGGCTACAAAGTGAACTCAAGGCCAGCTTGAACTGCGTAGCAAGACCCTGTCTCAAAAAAAAAAAAAAAAGGGTTATGTCCAAACAACCTAGAAAACCTAGAAATAGTGTGGAAATTCCTCTTTTAGTTTTTTCATAAGTTATAAGAACACGTTAATTTTTTTATTTCCCTTTTGCAGAATATCTGATCAGAACATCATTCCCTCAGTAACTAGGTCTGTGTCAGTACCAGATACTGGCTCTATCTGGGAGCTCCAGCCAACAGCCTCACAACCTACAGGTAAAAATTTAAGTTGGCCTTCACAGTACAACTCCAGGCAGGAGGATATAAAGGTGTAGTAATAATCTTGTAATTTAACTTTCAAAAACTGTAGCAAGGATGTTGACCCATTTTGTATTGAATGTTAACAGAAAGTTTCATTATTACTAGTTTCATTACTAGATCCCAGCAAAAGATTAAAGATACGGTTAAAAATACACTGCTAAGGCTTTGGTGGAAATTATTTAGTATATGAAGTTTCTTGAGTTTTAGGTCAGCGTCTCTTTTTTATGTTGCCCTAACGAATTTGGAGAAGTCTTTTGGTTTTGGTCTCTTAAACCAGAGTAAGAAAAAACCCTAAGTACAGCTTAGTAAGAGTGGTCTCTCCTTTTAAGTTAAGGATTGATACATACATTGATGCTGCAGATGTCACGAATTTGGGGAGGAGAAAGCCTGCTTTGAAGTGAGCACCTTCCTTAGCTGGTTCTCTGATCTTTTTCATCAGAAAAATTGGGGTTGGGAGTTTTTAAACTTGAAGTCTTTGATATTGGTGGAACAGGCAGTTCTGTTGAGGTCTGACACATGGACCAGGTGGAAAGTGACTTCTTAAGCTCCAGCTGTAATACACATGCTGTTTGTCTTTATTGGGCTGAATTTCACATTATAACAATTTTTAAGTGAATACTTCAGTGCCATTTAGTAATATTCTCAGTGTGCAGCATCTAGTTCTCTCTAGTTGGTGTTTAGTAAGAGCCTATCTGGCTATTGGAAGGCTGTGGGCTTTGGAATCTCATACACTGCTGTTGAAATCCTGCCATGGCCGCATACATGCTTACCCTGTGCCCTTGGGAGTTTTCCAACTAGTTTGTTCATCTGTAAAGATGAAGATGTGAATAGATGCCTTTATAGAGCTTTGTGAGGATGAAATCAGTTTCCGAATAGATACCTAATGCTTCCTTTCCTTGTAGAGAAGTTTACTGATAGAAAAGAGAACCCATTGGTAATTCTGTCTACTTAAAGCAAAATAGATGTATATGATGCTTGTTCAGACCCAGTTACGTTAGTTATGTGTGTAAACTCTGTCATTTTTTTCCCTTGTCTTACAGTTTGGGAAGGTGGTAGTGTATGGGATCTTCCCCTGGACACCACAGCACCAGCCCCTGCCCTGGAACAACTTCAGCAGCTAGAAAAAGCCAAAGCTGCAAAGGTCTGAAACTCTTTCTTTTAGGGGACTGCATGCCTTTGAGCTGCAGGATGTAGCATTTCTGTTTAGTCACCTCACTCTAGCTAGCTATCCGATGCAGAGTTTGCAAACAAAAACAAAATTTTGCCAAATGCTTCTGTTTGCAAACCAAATTGTTCACATTCAAGCAAAAACATTCATCAACTGTGGGACCACTGTACTTTCTGTTTCTAGTTACTGATGTACTTACGATATAAGTACATTCATATTCTATCCTTATTGTGCCTTCTCTCAAAAAAGACCTCAAAACAAAATTAATGAGTGATGATTGTTAGATGAAACATTAATGATCATGTTAGTTACATTACTTGTGGAATAAACCTTTGTTGCAAATAGTTAAGACTGAGAATATATCCACTCCTTCTGATCTGTGGCTTGAGTTCCCACAGTGAACCTTATTCCTAGACATGAAAGTGAAAAGCCCAACATTATCGTTAGAAACTGTATTCATTCACATATTCTGGAGGAAGAAGGAATATTGAGTTTTGGTTTTAGTGCCTGCTAGAAGAGGATTTCTGTATAACACCTGGTGTCATTAAGATTTCTGGGTTCTCATGACCCTGAGGGAGTCTTGTTTCAATTTTACACTTACTGGAGTCTTCATCCCCTGAAGTAGTGACAGTCTTTAGAATGCACAGAATGTGGAAAGGTTCGTAGTTAGGGTCTGTTTCCATAAATGAGTGAGAGTCCATAATTCTTAACAGTTCTCAAGTGTCTTCCAGTTTCTCGGTTCTTTGTAAGGGAACAAATAGATCATGAATAATAGGATCATTCAGGAGTTTGCAGCCTTGTGGGTGTAGGTGAGGAGATGGGCAAGGAGCACTTACAGGTAGTCAGGAGAACGCGGACCAGCTACCCAATTGGAGAGGTGGGATCAAGAATAGGGTGATACTTTTGATAGACAATACCCCAGTTAATTTTCACTTTAAGGAGTTAGTGGGATTTAGCTCATTTGAAGGGTTTAGGGACAACAGAGTCCAAGGAGGTGAAAAGTGAGTTGCAGCTGAAGGAAGTGTTGTGCTAGTAATAGTTAAAGAAATGTATAAAGAAAGCCGAGCAAAGTGGTGCATGCCTGTAATTAGCACTTGAGTGGCCAAGGCCGGAGGATCACTGCAAGTTTGAAGACAGTGCAAGTTTGAAAACTTGGAGTCACTGTACTTTGACAAAAGATGAGAGAGGAGATTAAAGAAGCTGGCACCAGCCAGTCATGAGGCTATCGTGAACATATCATGTGAAAGCGTTCGAACTTCTTTAGGGTGCAAAGTGCTGTCAAGTGTAAGCCCAGGAGTGATTTTTTTGGTAAGGATTAGGTTTTGAGGCAGCAGATACAAGCAGAGCTACATATGGGAAAAGTGGATAAGAGACTTAGAAATGTGGGTCAGAATGGTGGAGGCCTGAACTATAACTGTGGCAGTTGGACTGGAGATTATTAGGTGCTAGATTTGACTGGTATTGGGAACTGTAAATGATAGTTGATTAAGTGATTAGTTTTCAAATATAATTTCACACACTAGTAGCTTTATGACATAGCTATTGAGATCTTGTAGCCACACTGTTAGATCTTCACTCAAAAAATTCTTTGTAGGGATGAGTGAAGAAATAGCAGACATACCACCGCATAAGAATTCTGATGTTATTCCTATGTTGGCCACTTCCTGTCCTGTATCTAGATGTGGTGTAATTTAATATGAGATGAGAAAGTGCCAAAATGGAGAGCAGAGTGCGTTCAGTTTGGAAGAACATAAAGCCCTTGTGACTGCTGTGACATGACACCTGAGATTGCATACAGAGTTTCATCTAGGTATAGCACAAGTAACAGTGAGTGGCAGGGCCTGTTCCTCTCAGCCTCTCCAGAAGTGCTGGCAGCTCAGTGCTTTTGGGTGATTCCGTGCTTGGTTTTAAATTTCTGAGAATACTCTCATGTCATCCCAGCTAGAGCAGGAGAGGAGAGAGGCAGAAATGAGGGCAAAACGGGAAGAGGAAGAGCGGAAGAGGCAAGAAGAGCTCCGGAGACAGCAAGAGGAAATTCTTCGGAGGCAACAGGAAGAAGAGAGGAAAAGGAGGGAAGAAGAAGAGCTTGCCCGAAGGAAACAGGTATATCTGTGGGAACTGTGCCCATAAAGGTAGTGCCTGGCTTGGGACTTAGGTGATCATCTCTCTTCTGTGTCAATTCCAACAGAATTGGAATTAGAACCTTCAAAGGTTCACTTGGCTTTAGAAAGAACCTCTTACCCACCAGTACCCACTGGTGGGATATTATTCATGCTTGAAAGTGATTTCCTTTGCATAGTTTCCTGTATTTTATAAACCAACTAGATTCTAGAAATTCTGCCTTTATTGCTGAAAATATGAAATAATTTTGGTGCATAGCATTACATTTTTTTTTGAAGTCAAATGAGCTTCCATGAAAAAATTCTGATAACTTACATATTAACATAAAATTTACCATCTTAGCCATTTTAAGGTTGCATTCTGTAGACCACTGAAACTCTTTACCCATTAAACACAGAATCTCAGTTCCTTCTTCCCTAGCCTGTGTAACCACCATTCTTCTGCCTCTATGAATTTGACTACTCTGGGTGCCTAATCATACTATATTTATTTTTGTCTTTGTGTGACTGGTTTATTTTAGTTAAGATACCATGTTGTAGCATGTCAGGATTTATTTCCCTTTTAAGAATGAATAATAGTCTGTTACATGTAGATGGTGCATTTTTGTTAACCCATTCATCTGTTTTTGTTTTTGTTTTTGTTTTGTTTTTCTCCGGTACCGGGAACCGAACTCACGACCTTGCACTTGCCAGGCAGGAACTTTTGCCGCTGAGCTAAATCCCCAGCCCCAACCCATTCATCTGTTGATAGACCTTTGGATAAGTTCTACATTTGGCTATAGTGGCATAATGTTGCTATGAACATGAGTATATAGATATATTCATATTTTAAATACAATTTCTAAGAAAATTTCTAATGTACCCACTCCCCCAACTCCTACACTTTTCATATTTACTATTAATAGAGACTTAGCACATAAGCAATATCTTTTCAGATTATAGCATAATATATTGAGTGATAGAGCCAGAATATCACTTTCCCCCTCCTGGTCTTTTTTCTCTTCAGGAGGAGGCTCTGCGTCGCCAGAGGGAGCAAGAAATTGCATTAAGACGACGAGAAGAGGAAGAAAGGCAGCAGCAAGAAGAAGCTCTTAGAAGGCTGGAAGAAAGGAGAAGAGAAGAAGAAGAAAGGCGGAAACAGGAAGAATTGTTACGCAAACAGGTAGCCAGATGTTTGTTCTTCTAATTGGTTTCTTTGAAGGTGAGAATTGTTCTTAGAATGCTTTGTTTTATTTTGTTTTTTTATTTTGGTACTGGGAATTGAGCTCAGGACCTTGCACTTGGCCAGGAAGGCGCTTGTGCCAATGAGCTATATCCCCGGCCCTAGAATGCTGATAGTACATCTCAAAATTTTTCAGGTTCCTAAAAATTACCAGAAGAAACGTAACAAACTTTTGTGACTGTCTTAATTACTGTCCTCATTGCTGAGACAACACCTGACCCTAAACAAGGAAAAATTTATTTCAGCTCACAGTTTGTAGAGGTTTTGGTCTACAGACCGCTGCTTCCAAGGCAGAGCAGCATGGCAGAGGAGAAACAGCAGGTCATGGCGTGCAAAACAAGAGGCAGCAGCAGAAGCAGCTGGTATTCTTTCTATCCTTTTGTGTTTTATCCAGGCTACCTACCCTTTGAGCAGTGCCACCCACACCCAGGATGGGGCACCCTTTGTCTCAGGATCACACCCTTAATCTCAGAAGTTCTGAAAAGCCCCTCTTAGGAGTGCTTTAGAGGGACTTCTAGATATAAGCCATAACAGTCACTTAAGTCTAACTATTTTTTTCTTCAAATGGAAACCTATTTTCTGGGCAGGTGGCTCATATGTATAATTGTAGCACTTTGAGAAGCTGAGGCAGGAGGATCCTAAGTTTGAGCCCAGGCTGTGCAACATAAGAGACTTGAAGGCACCCTACCTTGAAAGATAAAAAGGGGCTGGAGATACAGTTCAGGGAGAGAAGGCCCTGGGTTCAATCCTCTCAGTATAGGAGGAAAAAGAAAAAGAGAAACCCGTTTTCTTGGGGGGAAATAGAATGTTTCTTGTTTTTGCACACCTCTGTGACGAAAATGAAATGGATGTTTGCTTTTTCATTTAACAAGTTTTAGACTTAACACAAAATGAACATAATAGTATATCAGATTCCAATAAGCCACACAGTGGTGTTTTTTTTTTTTTTTTTTTTCCCACCCAGTTTTTATTTTTGTTTTTTTGTCTTTTGGAGACAAAAATGGTCTTGTTATGCAGTTTAGGCTGGCCTTGAGCTCACTTTGTAGCCCTGGCTGGTCCTGAACTCGCAGCGATCCTCCTGCCTCAGCTTCCTGAGTGCTGGGATTACAGGCATGTGCCACCATGCCCAGCAATAATTTCTTTTTTTGTTTTTTGGTTTGTTTTTTTTTTTGCGGCGGGGGCGGGTGTTTCTTCCGGTACTGGGAATCGAACTCACGACCTCACGCTTGCCAGGCAGGTGCTGTGCCACTGAGCTAAATCCCCAGCCCAATAATTTCTGATGTAATGATTTTTATGTGTAGCATTGGATGAAGATCTGATTTCATTTTTCTGCATATGAATACCCAGTTTTAGCTAGCACTATTTTTCTTTTCTGTTGGTGTCATCCTTTGAAACACTTAGTGTTTTATTTTTGATAATGTCTCATTTATTTATTTTTTCCCTAAAATTTAATTTTGTCTCTTTCAGATGTGGACTTCTTATATTTTATATGCATGTTCCTTGTTAAATAAAAGTTTTATAAATATTTTTCCCCAGGCTATGACTGGTCTATTGATTTTCTTAGTGGCATCCTTTTTTCTTTTTTCTGTGGAGTACTGGGGATTGCAACCAGGGCCTTCTTACTAAGTGACATTCCTACTCCATTTTTCTTTTTTATTGTTGAGATACTTCAGTGAGTTACCTAGAATGGCCTGTAACTTGGAATCTTCCTGCCTCTGCCTCTTAGAGTCCCAGAGTACTGGGATTATATGTGTCAGCATAATTGGTTAGTGGCAAATTTAATGAACAGCAGAGATTTTTAATTTGGGTGATTTTTTTTCTAGTGTGCTGAAGATTGAATCCAGGGCTTTGTGTATACTAGGCTATATCCCCAGCCTAGTTTTTCTTTTGTTTCTTTTGGGGTTTTTGTTGTTGTTCCTTCTTTCTGAAATATCTTTATGCACTTGCAGATCATTAAAATATCTCCGTTATTTTTCTGAAAGCTTTATAGTTTCAGTTTTACAAGTAAACTTAAATTGTTTCTTGTATGTGTATGATATGAGGAATGATTTGTTCCAGCACCAGCTTTGCAGTCCTTCCTTTCTCCACTGAGAGTCTTTGATGCTTTGGTCAAAATTAGTTGTATAAATAGGTTCTTTTTTGGACTTTTCTCTTCCATGGATCATTTTGTTTGTTTTTATGCAAGTAGTACACTGAATTGATTTCATAGTTTATTGTTTCTTCAATTCAGGTTAGTATGTCTTCCAGCTTTGCTCTTTTATTTAAAACTGCTTGACTGTCTTTTTCCATTGCATTCATATTTAAAATCTTACCGTTAATGTCTGTACAAATAAGTCTATTGTGATTATAATTAGGATTATAAATCTGTAAAGTGAGAGTAGGCATTTAAGATATATTGAGTCGTCTAGTCTCTGAACATAGTATATTTTTCTCTTTAGCATTCTGGTGGTGGGTCTTTTTTGTTTGTTTGTTTGTTTTTGTTTTTGTTTTTGTTTTTTATTGAGAGGAAGGTCTCACTGTGTGGTGCTAGGTCACCTTGAACTCACTTTGTATCCTAGGCCAGCTTCAAATTATAGCAGTGCTCCTGCTTCAGTCTCCTGGGTCTGAGATTACAGACAAGTGCCACCACATCCAGCTACATTCTGTTTTTATTACAGATGTTATGCAGTCTTTGTTATTTGAGTATTTTTAAGCTGTTAATGAATTTTTAAAAATTATTTTCTGTTCTTTGTTGATCCTATGTAGAAATGTAATTTGGTTTGCATGTGTAGATTTTGTATCCTAAGACCTTGTAAAACTCATTCATTGCTTATAATAGTACTTTTAGTTGATGCCTTAGAATTTTCTGTGTAGTTATCTCTCAGATAAATAGGAACAGTTTTATTCTTTCTTCTAAATAGAAGTAAAGTGGACCTTTACTTCTTTTATTATAGGGAAAAAATATATATTGGTTTACCATTAAATATGTTGAAAGTGTGAAGATAGCTCAGTGGTACCCAATATGAACTAGGCATATGCAGGGCCCTGAGATGAATATGCAAGAATAAATGCCACAGGTAGTACATTTTCAGCTGCAAAATTGAAATAACCTACCTGAGGGTGATTCAAACAGTAGATGATATTGTTGCTGGACACACCGGGGTGGTGTGGCAGTAAGTCTTTTACACACTTGCTTCAATGACTCATGCCATTAGGACTCAGGAATTTGGGATAGTACATCTTTGTACAAAGTGTATCTAAAAAAGGAGCAGTCCTTTGCTCATATTTCATTCTTTTTGTCTGGGAAGAATTATTTTACTAGTCTCCTGAAAGATAACACTTTGGCCTAAAATCAGATGACTACTCCTATTACGCTGGGAGCTTTAAAGCAAAATCAAGCAGAATGTGTGTGTTTGTGTGTGTGTGTGTGTGTGTGTGTGTGTGTGTAGTACATAATAATGCTTACTTTTCCTTACGTGGAATTGGTCTTACTTTCTTTTTTAATCTGTTGTCCCTGTCCCCCCTCCCGCTTTCCTTCATCTCTTGATCTGCTTTCCCTTTGAGAAAGATCTGTCTCCCTACTTCCTATTATCTTTTATACTTTGGGTTTCTCATATGAGAACTCCTGTAATATTGAAGCTTGTGTGTCGGATTTACTTCACTTAACATTATGGTCTCAAGATGCATCCATTTTCCTACCAATGACTCAAGTTTACTTTTTTTATGGTGGAGTAGTACTGTTCTCCATTGTGTTTAAATAGCACATTTTCGTGATCCTTTGTTGATAGGCATAAAGCCCACTTTCAAGTTTTAGCTGTTACGAATTATGCTGCTATAAACATGGTTATGTGTGTATCACTATAATGTGATGTCTTTGACTCTTTGGGGAAGATGCTAAGAAGGGGAATAGCAAGGTCAAGTGAAATTTTTGGTTTTGTTTTTTGAGGAATCCCTACACTGATTTGCATAGTGGTTGTACTAGTTTATGTTCCTACTAACAGTGTAGAAGTATTACTTTTTCCCCCACAGCCTCTCCAGCATTTGTTATGGTTTGATTTCTTAATAATGGCTATTCTTTCTGGGCCAAGATGGAATCTCAGTGTTGTTTTAATTTGCATTTCTATAATGGCTAGCAATGTTGAGCATTTCTTCATGTATTTATTGGTCATTTTTACTTCTGTGAAGTATCTGTTCATTTTGCTTGCTTATTTTTTGATTGGGTCTTTTATTTTGGGGGGGTGTAATTTTCTTGAGTTCTTTATATATTTTAAGTATGAGTCCTTTCTTTGAGAAATCACTGGTAAAAAGTTTTTTTCCCGTTCTGTAGATTGTCTCTTCACTCGATTCTTTTGCTATGCAAAAGCTTTTTCTTTTTTCTTTTTTTTTAAATTAGGTTTATTAGTACATTTTAGGTATACAGAAGCTTTTTCATTTGGTATGATCCCATTTGTTGTTTCCCAGGACTATTTCCTTATGTAACTGGGATTCTGTTGAGAAAGTCTTCGCCTGCATCTATGACTTCTAGAGTTTTATCTGTTTTGTCTTAGAGTAGACTGTTTTTCTTTTTCAACATTTAGTTCTTTGATCCATTTTTATTTTAGACATGGTGGGAGATACAGGTCTAGATTCAATCTTCCGCATGTGGATAGCTGGTTTTCCCAATACCACTTATGAAGGATGCTATCTTTGCTCTGGTGTATGTTTTACTCCCCTTTGTCAAAGATCAAGTAGTTGAATGTACTTGAGGTTGTTTCTGCATCCTCTCTTCTGTTCTTTTGATTCTTATGTCTGCTTTTGTGTCAGTACCATGCTGTTTTTATGTAATACTGTATAACTTCAAGTTCAAGATGATGATGCCCCCTCGTTTGCTATTTTTACCCAGGATTAATTTTGCAGTACTGGGTCTCTTCTGGTTCTGTATGAGTTTTAGGATTGGTTTCTCCAGTTCTGTGAAGAATGAAAATTCACTACTTTAAATATCCAGTGTGGTTGTAAGACTTTGTCTGCAAGGAGGAAGCTGAAAGGAGTGGTTGTTGCCAAGGTAGATGCAGAAGCTGCCTCAGAATGACAGCCAGCTGTGGCACATGTACCATTGTTCTAGTTCGCTACCATTAGACTAGAAGCAAAGAGGAGAGATGGATGGGTAAGGGATATTTGGACATAATTAAAAGGCAGGGGAGTATTTAACCTCCTAAGGGGTTTAAGGCCCCTTTTCTTGTGGCTGCCATCTGACCTAAGTTTTAGAGAATGTGTTACCTGGGTGAGACAGAGCACTGCAGGTACACACAGACTCTGCAAAAGTGAAGAAACTTTCTTAACACCAGAGGGCGTAGTGGAGTAGTTTTAAGGGAATAAAGCAGGACAAAGATAAGCCTGGGGAGAAAGGTCGTGGAGGAGAAGGATGGGTCAGGGAGTGATGTTTCAGAAGACTTGTGGACCACAAAGCCGAGAGCTGGGGATGAAGTGGTGTTGAGAACTTGCTGTGGTTCCAGAACGGGCTAAGGCTTTCACAGTTATTAGTCTCCTTGCCTGGTTTTGGTAACTCCTTGTGCCTAGCACCCTGAAAAGCTTGTTTGACCCATGCTGAGCAGTGTTTCCAGGAGACTTTCTGTAGCTGGAGGCAAGCTATTCCAGATCAGGGCTTTCACAGTGACAGACTTCTAGTTCCTTGAGCTTTACTATGAAAGTCGAGTAGTATGTTAAAGTTGCATCCATTCAGGAGCGTGAGAGGCCTTCGTGGCTATTATATTTTGAAAGAAAATTCACTTCTGCCTATCTCATTCCTACCAGGGTTTCCTGCTTTCTCAGATATATACACCATTTTATAGAGGCCTTCAAAAGTGATTCAGAGTTTTTTCTTACAATTAATAAAATGTTTTTCCTTTTTCTTTAATTTTCTGGAAAGGAAGAGGAGGCTGCCAAATGGGCCCGAGAAGAAGAAGAAGCAGCCCAGCGTCGATTAGAGGAAAACAGGCTGCGAATGGAAGAGGAGGCTGCCAGACTCCGGCATGAGGAGGAGGAGCGGAAGAGGAAAGAGTTGGAGCTGCAGCGGCAGAAGGAGCTGATGCGCCAGAGGCAGCAGCAGCAAGAGGCCCTACGGAGGCTGCAGCAGCAGCAGCAGCAGCAGCAGCTGGCACAGATGAAGGTAAAGCCAGACACCTGCCAGAGAAGCCACTTGCTAGCACACGTTAAGTAGATACTGGTGTTGTCTGTAAAACTATCAGTAAGTATTATGGCCAAATAGTCGGATCATCAACAAAATAAAATAGAGTACATATACTTTGTGTTAGGTATTTAAACAAGAAAGGAATAAATAGTAGTATCGAATATGGATAGTGATGCAGGGAGAAGCAAGTCAGTCTGATGGGGTTCCATATTTGTTGGCATACTGTTCTGTACCAGTTCAGAGTGCTTCAGATGAAGTGAGACAGCCTTTGCCTTCAGAGAGTGCATGGACTTAAAAGGGGTAATTGCCAACTAGGGTGAATGTTTACATTTTTAAAAAAGAAACTTACAACAGTGACAGAAACATTGCCAAGAATGATGGAATAAGTGTGTTTGAAGTGAGGCCAGGGTATTTTGAGAGGGATCAAGGATAGTATTTTACTGTAATTTTAAAAATTTAAACATTCACCATATATTTTGATCACACTTCATACAAAAGCAGTAGGTATATCAGCATCTTAGTGTAAAAATAGGAGTCAGAACATAGGGCTTGTTTGCACTGGGGATTTATTGAAAGTTAGATTAAGAGGTATGAATACAGAGTGTGTTTTAGGAGGATTCAAAGCATCATCTGGATTAAGGAATAGTGAAGGCTGGAGAGAATGTGATGGCCAGGGAGAGAGAAGGGGTCTGATGCCAGCGGCAAGCCTGGGTCTTCGGTGCTTGGGACTATTCATGAAACTAGAGGAACTGGGAAAGGAGGAGCAGGTTTGTGGCATGTTCTGCATAACCTCATGCTGGATCTGTAGTTAGCAATGAGCTGTAGTCTCCCTTGTCTTAAAGCAGCTCAGGATAAAGATATATGAAGAAGAACTTAGAATCTAGTGTAGTGTATGGTGATGAACCTATGGCATGCATGTTGTTTTTTTTTTTTTAAGCAAAAGATGTTACTGTATGAGTTGTATTTAGATTTTCTAAACTAAAGCCTAAATATGCAGCTTTTTTTTCTTTCTTTCTTTTTTTTCTTTTTGAGACAGGGTCTTGCTATGTAGTTCAGACTGGCCTTGAGCTCACTTTGTAGCCCAGGCTGGCCTCAAACTCACAACGACCTCCCGAGTGCTGGGATTACAGGTTGTGCCACCATGCCCGCAGTACGCAGCTTTAATTGCAGTGTTGCCACTTCATGATAAATAAGTGGGATTTGAGTTGCAGTTTATGCACTCCCTTCTAAAAGGTTTGCCATCACTGCCCTAATACCTATCATATATTCTGCAAAATTTGCTAAGGTTTGATTATGTTCAGTAGTATTTGGCAGTACTGATGACAGTTTAAACTGTTTATGCCCTTATCTTACCAGTGCCACACTTAGCTATTTCTGTTGTAAACCTATTAATTATTTTGGCATTTCGTTTGTTTTGACTTGTGCTCATATATTACTGTCATTAAATATACTTTTTATTGCTTTATTAAATAATTGTATTATATTTTAAAAGTCTGGTTAGTGTTTTTATTGTTATTTTTGTTAGTTTAAAATTCATAGGATGCTCCAAATTAAAGTGTATCATTTTCTGGCCAAGAAGAGCAAGGGATCAGCTGTGGTGGCACATGCCTATTATCCCAGCACTTGGGAGGCTGAGGCAAGACGATTGCCATGAGTTTAAGGCCAGCCTGAATTACAGAGCAAGACCCTGCTTCAAAAACAAACAAATAATAAAAAAGAAGAGCAAGAGATTCTCTTAGAATAACCAGGCTTTGAAAACTCAAGTTTTCAGGAGCCACTTTTTTTTTTTTGAGTATCAGGAATCAAACTCAGGACCTCATGCTTGCCAGGCACTGTGCCACTGAGCTGTACCCCTGGCCCAGAAGCCACTTATTTATATTCTATTTTAGTTAGTAATTAATTTTAAAAGATAAAAAAAGTGTTTTTTGTTCATTTGTTTTTGTTTTTCTTCCGGTACTAGGAATCGAACTCACGACCTTGTGCTTGCCAGGCAGGTGCTGTGCCACTGAGCTAAATCCCCATCCCCCCTGAGTCCTTTTATTTTTGAGAGTCTCACTAAATTGCTAAATTGCCCGGGCTGGGCTTGAACTTGCAATTCTACCTTCCACAGTGGTAGGATGATAAACCTGTGCCTCAAGAATGGAATTCCAGTATTGATTAGAAGCAAGTTAATGCTTATGACTAGATACCCAGCCTGGTTAGCAGTGGCTGATTTTCAGAAGAATACTGAGAATTAGGCCTACATTTCCTATTAGCCATCTATATCAGCTCCCTTAACAGAAGTCATTCCATGTGCTTTGTTGCCATCTTGCATTAAAAATCCTCAAGTTAATTTGGTTATACTTTTGTTAATTTTGTTTTCTTTACAACTGTGTGTGGCTGTATGTCAGTCCCATATGTAACGAAATGATAGAGCAAATATAAGTGCTTGTTTGTTTTTAGATGTTTCAAAATAAACTTCATTCTAGGGAAGTGCATAAGACTTAGGCAAAAAAGGCAAACTAACTGAGAAAAATAGTACGCAAAAGGAACAGACAAGGAAATTTGAAAGGAATGTTGTAAACAGAATTGAGGGCTATATGGTGTTCTGATTGTGCATAACGCATGCAGCCTGTTTACTGGGGACATGTCCTCATGAACTCTCCGGCCATTCTCCTTTTTTGTTAGCTTCCTTCCTCTTCAACGTGGGGCCAGCAGTCTAATACAACAGCATGTCAGTCCCAGGCCACACTGTCGTTGGCTGAAATCCAAAAATTGGAAGAAGAACGAGAACGGCAGCTTCGAGAAGAGGTAAATTTTTAAAGTAAGAGTTGTCTGGCTTAAGTGTTCTGGAGGATATAGTGTGCACGACCGGTTAGCGGTTCCTGAAAGCTGTCAGAACTGCTGTGTGTCCGAGTGGTATATTCATTGTTAAACTGGTCAGCCTATAATTTGGTCACCTTGGCAAATATGAAGGATCTATTGGGGATAATTTTAATATTGGGTAACATAAATGTTCAGTTTCCTTGAACATTTTACTGTAGCTCTTGAGAATAGCTCAAATATGAAAGAATGTGGATTCAGAATTGTGGGTGCTTTTTGCAAATAATTCTTTTGCAAATTTGTGGATTAAAATGTAGACTACATTTTTTTCGAGGGGTTTTAGTTTCCCTGATGAGCATAGCAAAACTTGTAGTAGTCAGAAATAAAATATCTCTATGTTTAACTATATCCCAAAGTTTATCATTAGGATAGGGAAGATACAAACATGGAAAAGGGGAGGAAAAGGAGTGACGCTTTTGTCAGAGATGAGAAAGTAATTCATGAGGCCGGTCGTTAGACTCCTCATTCATTGATGGATTCATCCCCTGGTAGCTGAGTACCAACTCACTCTCAGTCTGGGGATGTGGCTAAGTCTAAATTCTGTAGTTGCAGAGAGATAGGCAGTAGGGTTAAATAAAACATGTAGCATATCAGAAGATGAAAAGTGCCAGTGAGAAAAATGAGAGGGAAAGGTGATAGAGCGTTGGGGGTCATGGATGGAGTTTGGGACTGGTATGATGGACTGTCCATTTTCGGGAAGGCCTGTGTGAAAAGTGTAGTAGTGTCTTGAAGATGGTGTAGTAGTGTCTTGAAGATCACGCTTTATGTGGACACAGTGGAGGCGGAACCATCAGTTTGTTGCAGAATGCAGGTTGACATTTCTGGATCAGGGCTGTATGGTTCACTGATGTGTGTGCCACAGGCATACCAAGAAAAGTGGGAGGTGGCTATATACATTTTTACCATGTAGTGTGCCTAACATCATCTAGTAGGTTAAAATATTTCTTCACCTTGACAATTACCTTACCTTCCAGCTTCATTTACAAAGGAATTTTTCTTCTAGAGTCATCTTTTTCTAAAATGTTATCAACAAACAGATGCAAAGTATATTTCTCTGTTCAAAAGTAGAAGTTATTCCTATAATTTTGGTCTGTGCTGATGAAAAAGTAGTGACGGTAGTAATGAGCAGGAATCACGGGTCTTCTCTCCCTGTGCCTCCCTCTCTTTGTCTCCTTTACCCTTAGCTTTCTTCCTCTCTTTTTCTCTTCCACTCACTCTCCTTTTCTTCCCCCCCCACCTCTCTGGTGGGATCAAGCCAAGGGTCCTTACACTTAAGCAGACATTTTGCTGAGCTATATCCTTAACCACAGCCCTTTTCTTTTTCATCATCTTTGCCTCCCAGAAGTTCATAATTATTTCATCTATATTTTTGTTGAATTTTCTTAGAACTTTTAATTTTTCCTATACCACTCAAAATAAAATACCACTCAGTACATAGAGAAAACTAAAATGAAGTTATTTCATTTTTTTCCTCTGGAGGCATCCTTTTTTTCTTTTTCTTTCTTTCTTTTTTTTGTCCTTTTAAGACAGTGTCTTACTATGCAGTTTAGGCTGTTCTTGAACTCACTTTGTAGCCCAGACTGGCCTAAAACTTGCAACAATCCTCCTGCCTCAGCCTCGTGAGTGCTGGGATTACAGGTGTGCGCCACCATGCCTGGCTTGGAGGCATTCTTTTTGAAAGCCTCAAAATACTGCATTCTGGACACTGTTGGTGCTGTGAATCTATTAGTTGTTTTGTTTTGTTGTTTTCCTGGAATTTCTGCAAATAACATGGTTCTCCAGGCTGATTATGACTTTCTCCTATTTTGTGTCTGTCTTTGCATTTTGGGGGTTTTATTTTTGGATGGGACAGTTGCTTAATTTTGTCTTTCAGTCTTTTCACTGAACTTATATATACTATCTTGTTTTGAATTTGAGTCCTTATTTTATTAAGTATAAAAAACAAAAGGTTATAGAAAGAGTAAGAATTTTTTATTCTTGTTTTATTAGATTATGCTATTTTAACTTCTAAGGATACTACTTAAAGCTTTTTTAAAAGCCCATTTCCCCTTATCCAGTTCATTCCACTGAATCTTGTTTGCTTTGGTCTTCAGTTTGTAATTTAGGAGCATATGTCACCTTCGCTGTTTGTTCATGTTTACAAGTTAAACATTGAAAAACTGGCTGGACCCCTGATATGTGCACTGCTTTCATGGGTTTCCCTGTGATGCTTTCTGTTGGCTGTTCTGGTGGAAGAGTGCCCGCACCCGTGCACACCTATTGGTGTATTTTCTTGTGCTGCTCAATTTCCTCATAGCTTAATCTGCATGTCTGGTGTGGCCTTTTTGTTGGGGTGAGGATATGTTAGCTGCCTGACTACATAGGGCTGTGGAGGCCATGTGGGGCTCACTGCCTCAGGTTCAGACTTCAGCAGTGTCTTCTGGTGGAGCTTCCTCCATGCTTGCTCTGTGAGTGTGCCTGTTTCTGCGCTTCCTATACTGCCATTTCAATTTATTGGGTCTGTTATATACCTGGTTATCATTAACTATCTTAAAACAATCTCTTGCGTTCTCTTCACCACTTACGCTTTTAAAAAATATATACATCTTCACTTATTTTGGTAGGGCTTTGGGACATAAACATGTATTTTTCTATACTTAACCTAAAAGCTTTTTTAAATTTTAAGAATTTTGCATGTGATCTTTTTGTTCTCTTCATACCTCTAGCAATTTAAATCTTTATTTGCAGCAAAATAATTGACCCTGTCCCCACCCCCCAAAAAAAAAAAAAAGATTAACTCTCGCAAATGATTTTCTTTAGCAAGTATATGTGTTAGCATTCCATTTAGTATGCTGGACATTTGTAGCTTGGCAAAATGTAGGAATCCTGAGTCAGCTTCTATTTTTATGCAACAGCAAAGGCGCCAGCAGAGGGAATTGATGAAAGCCCTTCAGCAACAGCAACAGCAGCAGCAACAGCAGAAGCTCTCAGGTTGGGGGAATGTGAGCAAACCCGCAGGCACCACAAAGTCTCTTCTGGAGATCCAGCAGGAAGAGGCCAGGCAGATGCAGAAGCAGCAGCAGCAGCAGCAGCAGCAGCAGCACCAGCAACCAAACAGAGCCCGGAATAACACAGTGGGTATATTTTCCTAAGCTGCCCTGATACGGACTGGTGTTCGCTTATTTTTTGCAATGTTGGGCACTATATCTTTTTAATATTGCTAGCCATAATCATGTTCCTCTTTTTCTTTGATAGCATTCCAACCTGCACACCAGCATTGGGAATTCTGTTTGGGGCTCTATAAATACCGGCCCTCCTAACCAATGGGCATCTGACTTAGTCAGTAGTATCTGGAGTAATGCTGACACTAAGAACTCCAACATGGGATTCTGGGACGATGCAGTGAAAGAGGTGGGACCTAGGAATTCAACAAATAAAAATAAAAACAACACCAGTCTCAGGTAGGGCTCAAAATGATCACACTTTTGCACATTGATTGGGAGGTGAGGCTGGTGTGAGTTGGAAGTTTGGTAGACGAGAAAAGGTTTTCACTTACTGTTTTCATCTCTGTCCAGGCACGTGGATTATACTTAATAGTATGAATTACGAGTCATAACTCTGGTGATTACTTTCTTCCCCATAGAAACACATTTGTATTTATTTTGTTTATTGGGGTTCTTTCTATTGATGAGTACTTAACCCATTGCCTATCACATGGTAACGACTCAATAAATGCTAGGAATAGTATTTTTTTGTTAAACATTTCTCCAAAGTGTTTTGTAGCTATTCTTAGCATTTTTATAAGCTAACATTTTAGGTTATTTATAGTATAAGGATTATTATAACTACTTCTGTAATGATCTTGTACCTATTTATTTTTCCGGTAAATCAGTTATATGTCATTTTCATCTCTCTTTGCTCAGCAGTATTGTTGAATGAGCATGGTTTTTAGTGTTAAATATATGAACTTGAATCCCAGTACTACCACTTACTAGCTGTGTGACCTTGGACAGAAGGGAACCTCTTTGGGCCTCAGTTCTGTCATCTGTAAAATGAAGATAATAGTAACAACTTCATAGTATAGCTCTAATGGTTAAATGAGTACTTGTGAATTAGTATAGTGCTGGGCACATAGTAATTACTTAATAAATGGTAGTGTTGGCTTCTTTTTAACTAAAGGCTTCCTGTATTATGAAATGGACAATAAATACTCGTTAGTTGGTAAAACATTTTTGCCAGGCACTGTGCTCTAAGTCTTTGCGTACAATCTCTTTATTCTTTATCATAACTCAAAGAAATGTTAGTACCATTTTACAGGTGAGGAAACTGAAGATCAATAAAATTAAACAACTTAAGTACACATGGGAAGAGTTTTATCATCTTCTCTAAATAGAAGGCCTTTATTCACAAACTGAGATACATTAGCTAAGGCTAGACTTCAAGGGTGTGTCCAGTTCAACTATTTGATCTTTTTTCTTCTTTGGAACCAAGAATTGGGTTACTAGACAGCCATCCAATGTTGTCAAGACATTAGTTATGGTGTTGTAGTATAATTACATAGTAACAGTTTCTGGGAATATAATATTTCCCTGTTGTTTTGCTTTAGTAAATCTGTAGGTGTGTCTAACCGGCAAAATAAGAAAGTAGAAGAAGAAGAAAAGTTGCTGAAGCTGTTTCAGGGAGTAAATAAAGCCCAAGATGGATTTACCCAATGGTGTGAACAGATGCTTCATGCCCTTAATACAGCAAATAACTTGGATGGTAAGAATTGGGGAGGGAATCCCAGCATATGGAATGACAGAGCAGATTGGTTGGCAGGTGGAACAGCAAGCCAAAGTTTAGGAGATGAAATCTAAGGAGGTCAAGTCATGCCCCTGCTAATAAGAACTTCCCTCTTTACTAGTATTACTTGTGGAGAAAAAGTCATATAATCCTAAGCTCAAATAGGTTACGGGTTGCTAGAAATGAAATATAGTCTCAGGCTGCTTTGATAATGTACAAGGCAGAGGAGGTCATAGTTCCATACTGCTCCTTTTATGGGGGACATTATCAGCTATGTCAAGTCCAGGAGAAGATTACTGTCATGGTGAGGACCAAGGTCAACCTGGACAGGAGAGACTGAGGTGATATAACGTCATTCCCTTCCACCTTTGAGGACAAGTGGAAATTGTTATAGAACAGGTAGACCAATATTTGTATGGGATGGAATTGTGTGCAGAAGTGAAAACGTTCTGGGGCAGTTAGGAGAAAAACTTAATAGTTTGCTATTAACAGAGAACAGTTGTAGGTAATTGCTACCATCCATTAAGCACCTACCATGTGCAAGGCACTGTCTAGGGCTAATGTGTTACCCCCAATGTTCAGTTTTGGCAGTAACATTTAAAGATAACCTTTACAAGGTAGGTAATATTATCCCCATTTTATAAATTAGGAAACAGAGGCTCAGAATGGTTAAGTAACTCATCAAAGTCACACAGCAGACATTATTAGAGTCAGGTTTTAAAACCCATGTGTGTCTAACTCTGGTAATTTGGGCTTTTTCTCTGATTGCAAATTATTTGGATTTTCCATTTGAGTTCTCTCTAAACATAATATAGGTGGATTACAAGTTCCAGAAGGATATATAGCTGTACCTTTAGTGTCTGTCGTGGTGCCTGATATACATCATAAAACTTAATATTGACTACCTTTAAGGAAAGAAGGAATGACTCCCAAATCATTTTAGTCCTAGGCAAGTCACTATTTCAATCAACTTGGCTTTTAGTTCTAACCAACATAAAACTTAGGGAGGTTCAACATGTCAGATACGTCTTTATACTATTTCAGGTGATGTTGGGCAATGTGGTAATATTTTTTCATTTCTACAAAGTTGATGAAAGAATATTTAACACATTAGCTACATACCAGTTTCTGTCATTAATGTGTATGTGAAGTGTAATGCTGTATTCAAAACTGGAAACTGATCTTTGTTCCCAATCTTTAATTCTTCCATTGTTACTCTTGTGTCTTCTCCCCTTCCCTGTTGTAGTTCCCACATTTGTTTCTTTCCTGAAAGAAGTAGAATCTCCTTATGAGGTCCATGATTATATCAGGGCCTATCTAGGAGATACTTCTGAGGCCAAGGAGTTTGCCAAGCAGTTCCTTGAGCGCCGTGCCAAACAGAAAGCCAACCAGCAGCGTCAGCAGCAGCAGCAGCAGCAGCAGCAGCAGCAGCAACAGCAGCAGCAGCAGCAGCAACAGCAGCAGCAGCAGCAGCAGCAGCAGCAACAGCAGGTATGAAGTAGCAATAGTATGTGCGGCACCTCTGTGAATATTAGTGCTTTTAAGTGATCAGTAATTAAGAGGAAGGAAAATTACATGATTTTGTTATTGTATAGCCAGTAACCAAAGTTCTTTAAAACCTGTAGACTTCATATTTTCAAAGTACGTGTCTGGAGTCCTTTGTGAATTTCCTAAATAGTAAATATACCTGTTTACTCTGCACGAGCTATGGCAATCTCATTTCTCTGCAGTTCAAACATCATGACCTATACATTTTGTTTTTTGCTTGGGCATCCCCTGTACCAGCACCGACAACACTGTGGCGTGCCATGTATTTTATGTTGTTATGATGAGGGTGTGAAAAGTACAGTCAGTTCTTCTAGTTGTGTTCTCTAGAGGATCCATAAAGACTGAATTGGCAAACACTGAACCATTGCTTGAATATCATCTAATCCAGTGATGGCCAGCCTTTTAGAGCTTTCAATGATAGCAGACAACCTGCTGTGGCACACGTGCCATAGATTTGCCACCAGTGATCTAATCAGTACAGAGTTTTATTACATGTGTTTCTATTTAAAGACACCTGTTTAATACATACTGGTTCATTAACACTGAACTGCAGTGAATGCCAGTAGCATTGTAACTAATGCCTGCAATAAAGCTTATTTAACACATTTTCTCCGTAAAGGGCAGCACCGTCGTATTGCACTTAAGAGCACTAGATAGCACTTACACACTACATTTGGGGGCCACTTTAAACAATACAATCACCAGAAAAAGCAAAACATTTGTGAAAAACATGCCATGAAGTAGACTGAAAGTACTTGTGTACAGGATGAGAACTGAAACAGGAAGGCGGGATCTTTTCTTATCCTGTGTCAACTGGAACTGTTACCTTGAGTGTCTCAGGGTTTTTGCTCTTCGTCTCCAGAGTAACTGTAAAAGACTCCAAGCATTGATTTTGGAGTTACAGATAAATATTAACAAGTGAGTGAATTTGCAGATATGGAATCCATGAAGATCAATTATGTATGTTTTCTGTGAGACAAGTTGGGCTCAGAGGCATAAAAATATCCATGTCCTTTATCCCCATAATTCTTGTACTAAAGATAATAAATATTTGTCAGAGGTCAGTTCTGGAGATACAGATGATTTAGTGATGTGTAAGGCATTTAAAATCCAGTTGTGTAGGTGGGTTAACAGCAGTAAATGACAAAGTGACAGGTTGTCATATAGAGCAGCTCTAGGAAAGGTATGTGAGGTGCCGTGGAGAAATGTGGGAGGCATCCTGTGTTTGTGATGTGGCCTCTCCTGCTGGCTGAAGCAGAAAGGTGAAAGCCCAGCTGGTGATTGGGTACATGTGTGCCCCAGGAATGGCCTTGCACAGTGCTCACTCCCGTCCACACTCCACTGCACCTGTCCTTCGAACTGGCTTGTTGAGATTGACCCAGTTTAAATAAATGAATTGCTCTTACAGAGCAACAGTGAGCAGCTGGGTGTGGTAGTGCACACCTATAATCCCAGCACTCTGGGAGGCCTGAACAGGAAGATTCAACCCCACGCAACCCCAGCCTGGGCACTTAGGCATTAGAGAGACCATATCTCAAAATTTTAAAAGGTCTGGGGATGTGGCTCAATGCAAAGGCCCTGGGTTCAATCTCCAGTAACACACACACACACACACACACACACACACAGCAACCAACCAACCAACAGTAAGTGCAGTGGGCCAGTGGTAGAAAGTGTGTGGACAATACAGTGGGCACATCCCTCCCAGGACCACTGGTAGAAACAATGTACATGACTTTAATGTTTTTTTGGTAGTATGCTGTCAGGTGGTTTTCAGTCTCTCTTCTGTTGGGACCCAGAGAACAAAGAGATGAGGGGTGTATGTTGCCATAGAGCAGGGGTCTGTTCATGATTCTTCACCATGTATTTTATTTCCTAGTAGCTACTACAGACCTCATACAGTCTAGACAGCTTGGGACAGCATTACTGTCAAGGCAGTGTAGAGCCTGAGTTCCCAGGAAAGGCTGTGTGGTAGCACCTTGCTTGGTGAGGTGTGGGAATGCACATGAGGGAATTGATATCCAGTAGCCTGCTGTCACTTTCAGGATTACCAGAACTGTGATAGGCTTTTTGTTTTCAAACTCATGTGTGAAAAGATGGGTACAAATCCACTGTTGCCCTTAGCACAGGCCATGTCTGCCCCTGGAATCTCAGTTGTGCTCTCTCTCCACAGGATTCTGTGTGGGGGATGAACCACAGCACACTCCATTCAGTATTTCAGACCAATCAGAGTAACAACCAACAATCCAATTTTGAAGCTGTGCAAAGTGGCAAGAAGAAGAAAAAACAGAAGATGGTCCGAGCAGATCCCAGTTTACTAGGTGAGCACAGGCCTGAAGGCTCAGAGGGTGTTGGGGAGCGCAAGGATCACATGGAAATCTCCATGGTGTTTCTTATCAAGATTTAGTTAGGTTCAAAATACATAGCTGTATATACTGTGTCCCAGTGCAGGCGCTGCACCTCATATGCTAGTGGGGATTCAGAAAAGCAGTAGCATATTGTCTAGTACTTTAAAGTCAAAGCATTATTGCATGTGTATTATGAACTTCCCTGGGGAGCCTTGTGTTCAACTGAAAAATAGTAAAACTAATTCAGATGTTTAAATGCTGATATATGTAGGAACCAGGCCATAAATGTGATAAGGTGTTGAAAGAACCAGTATTTGTTGATAACGACTGTCTGTATCAGTAGTGGCAAAGCTGTACAGCACACACGCTGCAGCAGGCTGTTTGTATCATTGAAAGCTCTAAAAGGTTTGCCATCACTGTTCTGTATCATAAAACTCAGAATGACTGCATTGACCTGGCATTTTAGAGCCAGCCTCGTGTGCTTTTCACATGTCTGTGTTGAGTACAGCTGTTCCTGTCTAGAATTGAAGACTAGTGTCTTCACCCGAGGTAGCTTCCTAGCAAAGGTGTCATCTGGATTGGGCTTTGAAAGACTGGCAGGAGGAATGAGGACTACTGCTTCAGAAATAACAAACATTATAAGCTGGTACTTAAACTGGCTAATAACCTTGAGGGTGTGAAATGATGAAACTAAAATAGTTTGCTACTGTATTTTCAATGTAAAATAGGCTGTCACATTCTAACCATGCTGTCTAGAATAGAGTGAGTCTTTTGGCAGTTTGGAATGGTGGCCTAGTCAGGAGCCCAGCTAGTTAGGAGACTATAGCATAGAAGGAAGAACTACTGGGTTAGGACTTTGGAAATAGGGACAGAAGTTAGCTGGACAGAGAGAGAAAGGTTTTTGGTTTGGAAAGTGAGGTATAATATGTTGTCATTTGCTTAATGGTGGGCAGGGGAAATGGAGCGGGCTTTTGAGGAACGAGAAGGGTTTAAATGTGGGGGCTAAGTGAGAAACACCATGGCAGCCCCCATGGGGAGGCTGCTGCAGACTTGGTGGCTGGCACAGTTGCTGCCCTCTCCCTGGAAAAGATCTTTACTTGCCTTCAGAGGATTCCTACCTGCAGGGAAATGTGTCAGTAAGCCAAATCCTAACTGTATGGACTGCTCCTTTTTGGGATTAGTGCCTAAAAGCTGAGTTTTGGAAACAGAGCTGATAAAGTTCTATTGTTTTTTTTCTTTTTGTCTTGAAAGTTTTTATTGTGGATGGATAGAAAAGTTCAAAATTTTACTTCTTTTGGGCAAGGGTTGTGAGTAGTTTTTGTTTTTTTTTAAGATAGTGCCTTGCTGTGTAGCCTAGGCTGGCTTTGAAGCAATACTTATACCTCAGCCTCGCAAGTGGTAGCATTACAGGCGTGCGCCACCATGACTGGCTTGTGAATACACTTGTAATTATGGGTTCTAACTAAGAATCGTAACAGTTCAGCTTTGGGCCGTGAGGGGTATGCTTTCCAGGAACAGGTTCCTCTACAAACAAGGTCATGCTGCTTGGAGTAAGTATTCTGCTGCATTTGGTCTTCTGACCTAGGAAAGGAAGAGACTGCAGTTAAAATCCCCTTACAGAGGTTTGAGAGATAGGTGAGGCATTCTAAAATAGAGTCTATGAAATAAATAAATTTCAGAGGGGAAGGAAAAAAAGCAAACAGCTGTAAAGAGAAATAAAACTGTTCACAACATCAAGGAAACTCACTTTGGCGAGCTTTCACATGGACAGTTTCATGAAAATCACTGCTCAACTAAGCCTCCCTCTGGAAATTGCCAGTTTCTTTTCCATGCCTATCTTAATTCAGATATGTTAATTTGTATACCTGAGAAAACTTAGGAACTATCCATCAGTCTCAGGTTTCCTATGCACAAATTGGGAAAGTAAGTTCTAATTTGAAAGTAACCATTCAAAGCAGTCTGGTTGAGAGGTCCACTTCTAAAGTGAACCAGCAGAGGGCACGCCATCCTTATTTTGATTCTCAGCATCCCCGTAGTCTTGCACTGTAGTCTCCCTCCAATGTGTAGTGCTTGGGGGCTGTTGTGAAGCAGCATCCTGCACTTTTACCCGATACAGACACACACAGTGCCGTTTCCCATCAGGCTTGCCCTACTAGAAGCTGTACAACCTTAGCTCGTGTGAGAGAGAGTCTGTTCTGACCCTAATAAAACGTGGTAGAGTAGGCAGTGGATAAAATCCTTATTTGCACTGCTTTCTATCAAGTGAGAAGGATGAATGCACACCTTTCTAGTTTTATTAATGATGGCTGGAGATCATGCTTTGTCTGTCAAAAGCCTAGCCTTGTAATCAACACATGATAGCATTCATACAATCAATTTTCATTTATTTATTTTGGCTGCAGATTTCTCCTCCCTCCTCCCCTATTTTTTTCTTTTTTGGTACCAGGAATCAAACTCAGGACCTTGCACTTGCCAGGCAGGCGCTTGTGCCGCTGAGCTACATCCCCAGCCCTCGATTTCTCCTTTCCTGTCTATGCACACTTCAATATAGTGTCTTTGCCTACCTAAAATAAATATAGTGTATTTTAAAATTACATTTACATTTCTGTTTTGTGTAGCTCATTATTGCTATCACCTTTCATCTTTCTTGAGTGTATGTAAACTCAAAGCAAAACCTGCCTGAGAATAATAGAGTAATAGCTGATTTTATAGACTGTTAGGTCTTGAGGTTCTTGTACTTACCTTATTAAGCCATTACTTCAAAAATAGGAACACTAAGCCTTTCACTATTTTCAAGAGGAAAAAGGTCTTGCCAGGTACAGGCACAAAGTTGATGGGTGGGCCCAGGACGGGGTTGGAGGCCTGGCCTCTCGCTGGGTAGGCCTTGTCCACAGCTTGTACCACAGCTTCCTTGGTTAGTAAACAGACATGTTTATTTTTTCAAGTCATATTTTTGAGCCAGTTAGTGGAGCTGTTTTATTATGTAAAAGCATTTTTGTTATTAGAACATTTCAAATGTGTGTTTATTTGAAAACTTGAACACTGGGGAACAAAAAAAAGGGTGCAGAACACACAGCAATCCCCTTAACCACTTTTGGAATGGAGGCATTGCCTGTTTGCTTGTGGTTTTCACATAGTAGCTGAAATAGTTGGGGAGCTCATCCAGAACCCAGGGAGTAAGCTCTGTGGGAGTCGCTCATTCCAAAGAGGCCCTGTTCAATTTTTATCAGCCTCTGATTATAGATTTTATTGGAAAATTACATACTACATGTGACCACTGGCATTGGATTTTCAAATGGTGGTGGTGTTTGTGAGTCCTGCTTGTGGCCTTCCATGAATGTACTAGTTCTGCTTTTTTCTAAGCCAGATTCCATTTTGGTTAATCCAGTATCACAAACTAAAATTCTTTCCTTTGCAGGTCTGCTTAGTTCTTGTTTTTCTTTCTGTCTTCCTATAGTATTCATACAGTATACTCAAAAATAAGAGATTTATATTCTATCTCACTGCCTAGAATTTGAGCCCCTTGACTGTCTGGGTGAGGTCAATCATAGCCAGTTTTTTCCCTGCAGGGTTTTCAGTCAATGCATCATCGGAACGGCTCAACATGGGTGAAATTGAGACTCTGGATGACTACTGAAGCACCCGTCACTGCACTCGCCTTCCACCTCCTGTCTGCCAGCCGTGGAATCTCCGCCTCTGGACGCAACACGCACTCACCATTTATTCTTTATCACTCTGCAACAAATCACACAACCGATCATCTCAGGCTTTTTCTTCCTGCCCTTTGTGTCCACAGTTCTTTAAACCATTTTTGTTGGTGAGCATCTCAGACTGTACATAGTGGACCAGACCCTGCGTCTCGGGGGTGGCAGGTGGGATCGCTCCCCAACAAGGCTGATTTGTGGCAGCACGTGTTCACTGTGCCGTGATTTCATCTACTGTCTCCCAGGAAGTGTGTCGGGATCTGCCAGTAGTAACTTACTTTCTGTTGTCCCATTTTTTCCTTCTCTTTTGTTTTTTCTTCTTTTTTCCCCTCATAAGGGCAAAGAGGTATAACTGGTGCAATCATGAAGAGAGTTAATGGTTGACAGACATTGGCCAGCAACAAAGTGCCCCTGGACTGTGACTCAAGTGTCCGACAGACAGGCAGAACTCTGTAGTCTGGAGGCTGCACTGCCACTGCTAACTTCGGGATTGCATCACAGAGGCCCTGAGTGGGTGGAGTTGAGGTTGGATTGGTTTGATGTTGCACACCCTTCACCTGTTCTGAGCATCCTTTCAGAGAAAGGATTCAGGTTTTTCCTCATTAGATAGTGACTTCTGAGCAAGCTGGCTTCTCCTTGGCATACTCCAACTTGATTGGACAACGGATACCTTGTGGCCAGGGAGAGAAACTTACTCTTAATTTTTCTTTCTTATAAAAATGGATTTTTTTTTCCCATAAATATTTTTACTTCAGAGTACTAGGACCAGTTTGTTTTGGGCCCTTCTGCTGAAAATTTGTCTCGTTTAAGAGGCACCTAGGATCTTTACCATATGTATGAATTTGTATAATTTCATTTTGGATAGGGATAAACTTGCTTCCGATAAAAGCCCGGAATTTCATCTGGTTCCTCAGAGTATTGCGTGTGTGTCTTGCTGTGGCCCCGACAAGGTTTTGTGTACAGATTCTGGGATGGCAAGTTGCTTGCCCTTTCTGAAAAGAGCGTACAAAACCTGCCCGTCTCTGAGCCCTCCTTCTGTGGAAACCACTTCCAGAGGCGGCGGTGGGATGGAGTAGGTGGGCAAGGCTGGGCAGAGAAAGCTGCTTCTGGCTGCGGCTCCTGTGCCCTTTCACTTCAAGTAGAAATGTAGTCAGCTCTATTTATAAACACATCCTCCTCCTGCTTCCGCCAGACCCCACAGCCCTTCCCTGGATGGCTGCTTGCCCCCTCACCCCTTGGAGGGAGCCCTGCACAGGGGCTGTGCTGCAGGAGGAGCGGTGTGGAGGTGAGCAGGCAGCTCCAGGGCTCCAGCTCTGGGGTGAAGCGCGCTCCCTTTCTGTCATCAGTGTCTGGAGAAGGCTAGAGTTGCTCTGAGAGCAGTTTGGTTGGGAGGATTGTATTTGGTTTCTGTTTTTATTATTTTGAATCATCATTCTCCCTATCCCTTCTCGCCTCCGACCTCCCTCCTAAATGTGTACAATAACTATACAGAGACTGCTACAAACTTGTATATAGTTTTTGGATCAAATAGCATGAGGAGATGGGGAACCAGTAAAATTTGGAACTCCTCCTCTCCTTTGCTTTGTAAATTCAAAAGTGGGGGGTGGGGAAGAGGGATAGTTAAAATGTTTACAAAACTTTAAGCTCCCTCGGAACTTTTGCCAGTGTGGAGGAAAATAAAAAAGAACTTAAATAAGATGTGATTGTGTTCTCTCTGAGCGCACCTCTTGTACTCAACAGCGGCGAGGCTGAGTTTTGCACTGAACTCTTCATGGAACAGTGCCAAGCCTCTGCAGGCACCCCAGACATGGAGGCAGCCCTGATGCCCTCTGCCAGGCCATGAGGTGCTGGTTGGGCCCATGCCTGAGACGGCAGAGGTCAAGGTAAACAGTGGTAAGTCTGCCCAGTAGCTTTCTGCCTTTACCACTCCCTGTCTTCGGACCGCAGGCATACTCCCTCTGAACGTGGCCCCTGGGCCTGCCGTCAGCTTCTAAACCAGACTCGGATCTTTGTTCAGAAAAAATAAAAACAAATTTCTGTAAAAATTTGGGGTGGGGTGGGCAGATGAGCAGAACAAAGTCATTTTAGTCCTGGAACATTCCATGTGCTAACCCAGGATCTTTGCTTCTGTCTGAGGAATTTCCCAGGAAAGCTTCTGTCTCTCTCAATTCTACTTTCATATTTTCCATTTCTTACTCTTTTACTGATAGCCACTACTTCCTTACCACCTTCTATAAACTTACTTCCTTTACTCTTCTTGGGGTATTTTGTTGGGGAGGGGTGTTCTTTTGCTTTGTTTTGGTTTTGGTGTTGGGGAGTAGGACCCAGGACCTTGTGCATGCTGAGCTCACACACCACTGCTGAACTACACCCCTACCCCCAAAAATTTAAAGTAAAAAATTAAGGTTGCTCCTTGATATCCTCAGAGGATAGGTTCTCTGGCCCCAAAATATAACAGGACTCATGGATGCTCAACCCCCTAATACAGATGGGCATGTTATCTGCATAGATCACCATAGCCCTCCTGTGTACTTTAAATCATCTCTACGTGGTTTACAATGTCTGATGCAGAGTAAATCGTTACACTGTGTTGTAGGCAGTAATGACCCAGAAAAGAGGTTTGTATATGTTTGATACAGATGCAGTTTTCCCCAAAAAGTTTGCCAGCTGTAGTTGTTTGGAGCTAAGGTTGTATTTGTTTTGTGCTTCATTTGCTTCTCGTTTTTCTTTAATTTTGAGATTTAAAAAGTTCCCCAAGATAGTTGGTGTGCTGCTGGTTACCAAATAGCCTCCAAACTGGCTTTTGACAACTGCTTTATTTTGTTGGCAGTTTTGTGGTTAGAATTTGAGAAGAGCTCATTTATGTGTGTGTGTGTGTAGTAGTTTTGGGGGTTTTTTTGTTTTGTTTTTTGGTGGGTTCTCCTGTGGTTGTTAGATGTCATCTGGGGCTACTGTCTTACAAGGACTGTGTGCGGTGGCTGTCCCGAAATGGCTCATTTATATGACTGGCAGTCAGCAAATACGTCACCTTATTTTAGAATTGACCCGGTGAAGAAGTAATTTTATACAAAATGTCCCAGCCTGCATTATTAACAAAGACAATCCCTGTGTCACTAATGAAGCATAAGTAGTCCTTTGAAATGAACACATCTGTGTACAGTGCCTCCAGGGTATGAAGCAGAGCTTCATCAAAAGAATAGTAAACTAGGGCACAGCGGAGCGGAGCGCACAGAGGTTGGCCTCACATTCAGTGGGTCTCTTAGACTAACAGAAGCCTGAGCTGTCTGTGCTCCTGCTTGAGTTCAGTGAGTTCCTAGAGAGGAAGCTGCAGTGCTTGCTAGGGCCTCGGGGACCTGGGAACCGTCAAACAGCCAGATGTGCAATGCTTGTCTTCCAGATGTTAGATTCCTTGAGAATGATGGCTCTGTACAGCATTTCATACTTCTGTTTCTGGACTGGGAGCCTAAAACCTCTGAGTCGAGTTTCTGGCCAGAAATTCTCAGCGGGAATGTTTTACCACTCAAGTAGCAATTGTAGTGATGATGCACCGTGTGGAAGAAGTAGCACATGGGTGCCGAAGGGGGAGAGCCGGGCCCCCTTCCCTGATAGCTGCTCTCCTACTTAAGAGCTGCCACTGCTTTCGCTTTCATTGCTACAAGGTGGAGTTGCCATGGAGAGAGAACTCAGGGTGGCTGCACACACCATTCAGTGCAGCTGATCTCAGAAAGGAGAGGTGGCATCTTTTCTTTTCCTTTTGGTCTAGGGCATCAAACTCAGGACTTCACACTTGCCAGGCGGGTGCTGTGCTACTGAGCTATATCCTCAGCCCCAACACGGCATCTTAAGGATGGTGTGTCTCCCTCCCCAAATACAGGAAGGGCAGTCAGTATCCTTCAGCAGCAGATTGCCTTTGGCTTTGAATTCCTCTGCTAGTGTGAGAAATAGTCCTGAAAATGGTCGATGGGTCAGTATTGTGTTTGGTTGCATATTGGAAAAGACATTAACTAGCAGTGACTTGACAGGATGGTTTACTGAGTGACGTCAGAAGTCATTAGTCCAAAGCTCATGTAGTGTTTCAGGGACCTGGGTTTTTCTGTTTCAGCATCCTGACTCTAAAAGTCACCCGTCCAACGTGGCTACTAGAGCACAGGTTCTCAAGCCCATATTGTAGGCAGGAGGAAGGAGTGGATGTGTACAGGAGACACGTATTGTCTACCCACTTGACCCCTTTTTAGGAGCTTGTTTGGGAGCCCTACATAACATCATAAGAATAACTGCAGTTGATTGCAAGAAAGGCTGGAGATTTGGGGGATTTAGCTGAAGTTGCTTCTGTGTTCTATTTTGAAATGGGAAACATAGCGTGCACTCAGACGATGAGAAAATAACCATGGTGTGGCCCCGGGGCTAAGAATCTTAGTCTTGCCCGGTGAGGAGACTCAGAACTCAGGCGTCTCTTGTGCAGAGCTGGAGACCCAGGGCAGGCTTCAGTGGCTTGGGCTGGCTGTCACGTTCCCGGTTCTACAAAGCTTCTAGAATGTGCTTGTTCTCAGTCGCCCTGGACTCCACTGTCAGACTGTTGGTCCCATCAGCTACTTGGGTGGGGAGGCAGCTTGCTCTGTGTGTTTTCCTGTCTGTGAGGTGAGAACGCTAGAGGAGTTGTGACCAGTAACTTGCAGGTAATTACTGTGCATAGTGCAGTTCCCAGTGCCTGAGTACTTGACACATGCTCCTGTGGGCCACAGTGCAGGTGAGTCGGGTATCCGCAGGCACACGTGAGGGTGGGGCAGGGCATTGCAGTAGGGCAGTGGTGGGAACCCGTGGAATGCGTGTGGCAGGGTGCTGTTCATTACCATTGAAAGCTCTGAAAGGTTTGCCATGCTGCAGCGGGCAAGCCACCTGAAAGTAGCACAAAGAAGGGTAGCCTCAGCGGCGGTGTGGCACAGGTTCCTTCCTGTCCTGTGACTGGGCCTCAAGTCTCCTTAACTGTCAAATGAAGAGTTTGGCCCAGGTCATCTTGAAATAGAAGTCAGTCCCTGAGCCTCACATACCATTTTTAGAGCTCGACCCGTGTTGGGAACTGATTTTAAGTCTCCAGTTGATTCTATTTTTATTTTTTATTTTTTATTTATTTATTTATTTTTTCCAGTACTGGGGATCGAACTCACGACCTTGTGCTTGCCGGGCAGGCGCTGTGCCGCTGAGCTAAATCCCCAGCTCCCTGTCCCCAGTTGATTCTAAATGGACTGAAGAGGGGCCCAGTGGCCTGCTGGTGTAGGAGGTGCCCTTCATGTCCATCCTGTGTGTGTGTGTGTGTGTGTGTGTGTATGTGTGTGTGCGTGTGCGCGCTGCTCATGACAGTGTGCCAAGTAATAACTGTTTGCAACTTCCCGAAGCCAGAAGTACACTGGGTCTTGTGTAGTGGGGCAGAGTTACCTACCTTGATTTTCTGACTTTGGTCCCATAAAATGGAGCTTGAAGCAGGGCTCAGAACCCTATCTTGAATCAGAAACTACCTAGGTAACCAGAAGAAAATTTTTAAAAAAAGGTTTTGCATGTTCGGGCAGAGAATGTGAAGTTACCGGGAGATGGGTTAACTTCAGGGAGACGGCTCACACCGTACCCATCATCAACCACTACGGGCCTCCAGGTGACAGACTTCCCTCAGTCCCATCTGGCCATTTGGTACCCCAAGGACTAAATATCATTATATGTGAAATAAGGGAAAAGGTCATGTGTGAACGTATGTATATGTAAGCAGGAATACAGAGTACACACAGATGCTGTAGTCCTGTTGCTGCGCTAACCATGAGGATGGGGGTAAGAGTTGAACCCCTTTTTTTTTTTGCAGTACAGGGCGTTGAACCCCCAGGGCCTTCCCACTGAGCTATATCCTTGGCACTTTTAAAGAAAACTGCTTGAGTGAGGGTCTCACTAAATGGTTAAGTTGCCCAGGCTGGGCTTGAATTTGAAATCCGCTTGCCTCGGCCTCCCTGAGGGCATCACCACACCCAGCTGATTATTGTGCTTTGGCTGCTCATTTTAAGCTCTTGACCTCCACTCAGCTGCAGGGCACCCAGGCCTTCACTCTCAACAGGTCTGTCTTCTGAGGTCATTGTTTGCTGTCCCGTTCACTTAGGTTTGCCTTCAAGTTGTCCTTCTTAATGAGAAAGTTCAAACATACAAGTAGCCTTCTGTAGCAGACTCCTTCCTACTATAAGCTAGCTTCAATAATTTTTGACATGTTGCTCATTTTACATATCCTTTTTCCTTTGAAAGTATTTTTAAGATCCCAGATACAAATATTTTAGTGTGTATGGCAGCAGGAGTCCTTAAAACTGCCTTAGCACGTTAACAATACTAACAAACACCTAGTCCATTGATTTTTCTCTGATTATCGCAAAACTGCCTTACAAAATTTGAATCATCAAAATGATGTTAATTGCATTGGGTTGATTTGCTTTGTTCTACTCTTTAACAGTTAATTTTTTAAAAAGGAAAAAAGGATCATTTGCTCACAGAACATCCTATATTCAGATTTAGTCGTTTCCTTGTGAGGCCAGTGTCTGCATCCGCCCATTTCATGTAAATTACACTTGTTTACATTCTGTAAATTCAAAGCTCTCTGTGGCCTACACATCACCTACAGAAATACTTTTCTGGTAGTGTGGCAGCCTTCCTGCTGCCATAAATCCCCAGCTGCCCAGTTACCCCATTTGAGATGTCAGAATGATCGTTCAATTTACCGTGTTGGCTCGTCCACTAAAAATCCCGTTGCTCCTCTCCAGCCTCCCCTCCCTTCCTCTCATCCACTGTCAGGGGTTCAGGTGAAGCTCCATCTACCCCTTGATACTAAGCTCTCATTGGGTGAACACAGAGGCTTTGGGGCGGGGTGCTTTGGACCTAAAGCAGGGCTCAAGGTCTTGCTGTATAGTTCAGGCTGGCTTTGAACTTAGGGCAGTCCTCCTGCCTCAGCCTCCCGTGTGCTGGGATTACAGGTGTGTGTCACCATGCCCACCTCACAGTGGCATTTTGGGTAGCCAGAGATTAGTGTCAACACAGCCAAAGCCAGGGAAGAGTGTATCTCCCTTTCCCTGTGCTCAGCCCTCCTGGTTGACGGCTGCCCACACCTTGGAGAAGACTGCCTGTATAGACTGTGGAGTAACGTGGGACCTTCCTAAAAGGCAGGTTGCTGCCCTATCAGGTCTGGGTCCGGAAACTGCATGGGAGGCTGTGTGCCCCTTGTAGTAGGTACAGATCTCTCCTCACCTGCTGTCACGTAATGCGTCGGTGGACACTGAAATCAGTCCTCCGTCCCTTACCCACGGGTCTGCTGTGAACAGCACAGTCATCTCTCTGGTTGCTGAGCGCCTCACCAGGGCAGTCATGGCTGAGGGAGGAGCGTACTCCGAGAACCTCATGTGGTTGGAGAAAGTGTGTGCTCAGCTAAGGAAGACACACCGGCATCCCTCTCTTCCTAGGCCTTGGACTTCCCGCCTCTTCCTTACTTAGGCTTCTCATTCTCATTGTTTCTGGGCTACTAGTGAGTGCCAACCAAACTGTTAGAGCAAGTGCTGGGACTACAACATTGTGTCATACCGGTGATGCCTGCTACTCAGGAAGCGGAGCTCAGTGATCCCATGGTTGAGGCCATCCTGGGTACTGTAGCAAGATCCTGCCTGTCTCAAAACTTTAAAAGGGCTGGGGCTGTAGCTCAGTGGAAGAGCACTTGCCTAGCAGGCATGAAGCCCTGGCTTCCATCCTCAGACCTAAAACAAAAGGAAAAGTGTGTGGATTTAGAATCTCTAGTATGTAGACCCCATCCATGTGGCCCAATCTAATGTTATATTCCCATCCTATTGAGCCTAACACTTCAAATTCATCACCGTACACATTTCAGATTTCTGTTACTATAAATTGGCAAAATCTTACATGGCATGCAGTTAGGTAACACTAGTTTTAGTTTGTATTTGACTATTTCTTCTCTGGCTGTCAGGCTTTCTTCTTGGGAATGCTGGTCAATTTTTTGTTGCTGTTTTGTTTCTGGTGGTATTGGGGATCGAACCCAGGACCTTGTGCGTGCCAGGAAAGCACCTGCCTCCGAGCTTCATCTGCAGTCTTGGGATGTTGCTGTCAGACTAGCTGTGGATATGGAGGCAATGCGGGATTGCCAGCGTGGGTCTTGATGACAGGCATCACCTTGTGAGGGAATTGAACAGACAAAGTGAAGCATCTGCAGCTTCTGCCAGGGAGGCCTGAGCGTGGTAGAGTCTCAGACTGGTTTGATCTGCTCAGATGTCGCCATTCCAACCTCAGCATCTCACTCCTTCCTGACTGGTGCCTTCAGTTTCACCCAAGAGAACTGACAAGGCTGTGAATTCAACTTAGTGTAATTCTGCAGCTTGCACGTTAAATGTGGGGCCCAATTTGCAGCCAGTTATGCCATCACCGTAAGAAGTAGGAGATTTCCATGCCATAGAAATCTCTAGTTTTCTGATCACGCCTTAACCTTAGAATTGAAAGTCCTGAGCTTGTGTTCTGTGAGCACTGAAGCCAGTAAAAAGTAGCCAGTTCACGATCCTTTTGGTCACAGTCACCACTGTTAACATCAGCATGCACTTGGTCCTTTACACTTTGTCTTCGATGGGCACTTCATGGTAAACAAACTGCAAGTTTCAATGTCCGGCCTGCCAGATGTTACCTTCCACTAGCAGTAGGGTCCTCACTGCGTTAAATTTAGGTCAAACATTGGCAAACCAGGAAAGGAACAGATCTCTGAGGGTCTGTCTCCTAGAACACTCAAGATACTAAGTATTGCTATGATCAGAATCCAAACAGGAAATAGACCACCCTAGGTATTTCAAGCAGAAGAGATTTAGCATAGAGGTTTGTTTGTTTAGCACAAGTGGGGTTTTGGTTGGTTGGCGGGTTGGTTGGTTGTGCAGCTCAGGCTGGCCTTGAACTCACCAGGTAGCCCAGGCTGGCCTCAAACTCCCAAGTGCTGGTATTGCATATGCCACCATGTGTGGCTTGCTATAATCATGTTTAAATGACTAGAGGAACAAGAGGTTAGGTAAATTTACTCAAAAATTGGTAACCACACTCTTATAATCCCAGCACTCGGGAGGCTGAGGCCGGAGGATTGTTGGGAGTTCAAAATCAGCCTGGGCTACAAAGTGAGCTCAAGGCCAGCCTGAACTGTATAGCAAGACCCTGTCTCAAAAAGACTTTAAAAAAAAAGGAAATTGGTAACCATAACTAATTATACCACCCTGGGCTGGAGGACAGAAATTCAAGGCAAGAGCACTGTCCAGGAGGCTCCAAGTGTCAGAGTAGGTGCCTGAGGAGTCAGGTAACCTGAGCACCTAGCCTTCTGTGGCTGCCCCTGCAGCCACTACTACCACATGACCATTTGTCACTGATGTGACTAACAAGACTTTGAAAATCTGAAGCAGGAACAGAGCCATTCCCACCTTCCATCTCCCTCCAGTGCCTCCTGATAGCAGGTCCTGACAGGAGGTAAGCTGGCAAGGGAGCTTCGCTGTGATGGGGTCACACTGAGGGCCCTGGAAGCTGGGGCGGGGGCAAGCAAGCAGATGGGCAAATGAACCAGTGAGAAGATACTTTGTGTTAACCCCACCCAGAAGCCCCAACTGGTTGGGTTAAATATTAAATTCCCAATGCAGGCAAGGCATAGCATGAGGTTCTGGGGTGCACCAGTGAACAAAAATAGCCCCCATCGTCCTAGAACTTAGAATCCCAAGGTGGAGCAGACCGAACCCAATAAACCCTTCACCTAAAGGTTCCATTACATCTGCCTGGCAGAAAAGTGTCATTTGGAATATACAAAAATGTTCTAAAATAAATTCTGATCGTAATCCATAGGAAAAATATTGAGCACTCCTATTCCAGTGATCAATAAACGTGGAAAGGTACTCAATCCTGGAAAGGAAAATTAAAGCCATAATGAAACACTAGTACATAACCACTAGGGTGACTAGAAATAGAAAGACTGGCAACACTAAGTGTTGGTGGAGCAAGTGGAACTTTCTCATGGGTGAGAAGTGTAATAAACTGGAACACAGTTTAGAAAACAGCTTGGGGCAGCCACAGAAGCTAAGCATTTACCCACCCTCACTTCTGGCAGTGCTATCTTTAGTTATATAACAAAGAGATACAGTGCATGTGGACCCAAAAAGACCTGTACAAGAATATTTGTAGAAGCCGTATTCACAACAGCCCCACCTTGGCAGCAGACAGATATGGATAAGAAGTGGACAGAGTGGATGAACCGTGGCACAGTCCTGCCTTGGATACTAGTCAGCTATATTCATGTTGCTGAGCAACAATATGGAGGAGGCTCTCAGGCAGCACGCTGAACCGAGCCCAGACACAGATTTCGTGTGTGAGTGCATTCATCTGAGGTTCGAGCAGACAGACGTCACTGGAGACAGGCAGAATATTCTGGAGATGGGGATTGCCTGGAGAGAAGTGTGGGGGACGGAGGTGTGCTGCCCCCCCCGCCCCTTTTGATCAGGGTGGTTTTCCCAGGATGCACTGGCAGAGTTCAAAAGATAGTGCACTTCACAGTGTGTGTATTATGCCTCCAAACATTAATAAAAACAAGATAACTTCAGAAAATATGAATGCCAAAATAAATTAAGTGATATGATGGGTGGAGAGGGAGGATGACAGCACTGAGATTCGAATGGAAGTAAGGTAGCTCCCTCGTGAGCTTTCTGGGCAGGCACAGCAAGTACAAAGGGCCTGTGGCAGCCTCATCTGACACATTGAGGGAACCTAGCCAGGGCCTAGCCAGCAGAGGTGAGGGAGGTAAGCAGCGCCAGGGGAAGCCCTTCGTTTGGCTCTTTGTTGTAAAGGCAGTGGGGGCGGGAAGGCACACAGTAGGGGTGCGGGCAGGACTTGCGTGTCTGGGAGGTGAGGCGCCGGAAGTCACTGAGCCAGGGTGGGACATAGAGGCACCCGGATGCTCAGGCATGAGATGCTATCCATTAGCCGCCCCAGGAGCAGGTGGTGAGGCAGGGGGCCACGGGGCCAGAGCTCCGGCCAGGCCGGAAGTGGCGAAAGGAGTGTGCAATTGGCACAGTGCAAGGGGCCTGGCGTGCCGCTCCACAGGCTTTGGACAGACTGCGGCAGGCGGGGAGAGTCTGGGAGCTGGGTCCTGCTCCAACACGCTCGTTCCTGGGTGCACACGGGAGCCAGGCCGCAGGGCTGGGTGGGCACTGGCCTTTCCAAGTTCCTGGGGTGTCTCTTCTGTACCAGGAAGTTTGAAAACCTCTCACCTCCAGTGACCCAAGAGTGTGTGTGTGTGTGTGAGAGAGAGAGAGAGAGAGAGAGAGAGAGACAGAGACAGACAGAGGGGAGAGGGAGCACAGTTTCCTCCTTCCCTCTCCAAGGGTGGGGCTGCTCTGAGTTTAGGAAAGCTGGTCTGTTCTGTGAGGTTGTGCAGTGTGTGTGCGCATGCGCGTGTGGGGGTGGGCACAGTGTCCCAGGAGGACAGAGTTTGCATTGATGAAAACCCTCCCCAGCTCTTTGATGCCTCTTTCCCGTGGCCGAGGTGCAGCAGCCCAGTACTCTGTGTCCCGCCGGCCGCGTTCACTCCTGGCCAGGATGGCATCCTGTCTAGCCCTGCGCATGGCCCTGCTGCTCGTCTCCGGGATCCTGGCCCCTGCGGTGCTCACAGGTAAGGGACGTGGGCCCTGGCTGCGCTGCCACAGCCCCTCAGGCCCCAGAACCACCTTGGCAGAAGACACTGACAGAAGGACCAGCATTTTTTTTTTTTTTTTTTTTTTTTTTGTCCTTTTGAGACGGTCTCACTATGCAGTTCAGGCTGGCCTCGAACTTGCAACAACCCTCCTGCCTCAGCCCCCGGAGTGCTGGGATTATAGGCGTGTGCCACCACGTCCAGCTATGGACCAACATTTGGGGTGAATCTGCCAGTAGCTAGGTAGATGTCTAGGGACTTAGCAACAGGGACGATGGCCTCTGAAGAGGGAGGACAGCCCAGAGAGCTGGGCCATAGACAGGGGCAAACCGCTGAGGATCCAGAGGCCCAGCCGCTAGGTGGACCACAGGGCCTTGTCGGTCACCTTCTACACCCCAAATCCTTCCCCACTAGTTTTGTGATGTCCTCAGAGAGCAAAGACCCAGGTATGCCCCTCCCGAGAGAAATTTCAGAGAGCACAGGGCCCCCGATCCCTGCACAGAATGGCGAGGACACCAGCTGCGGCCTGATGGCCAGGGATCTGTGTAGCTTCAGGAGGGCACCAGCAGGTCTGTTCTCGGGAGGAAAGAGTCGCTGCCCTGTGGCCTGTGGTGGTGACAAAGGGCTGCTGGCGTTCCCAGCAATTCAAGGCCCTATACCTTGGGCTCTGCGGGTGGCTGGATGTGAGGATGTAGGTTGGGGAGAGTGCTGGGACCCCCGCCACAGTGGGAACCCAGCCACACACTGGAGGACAAGGGCAGCAGAGGAGACCCACTGGCCTCCAGGAGGCAGCTCCCAGTCTGACCTTGCCTCTGGCCACCTCACTGCCCTCTCGTCTATAGGAGCTGACGACCCTGCCTCGCCAGTCCACACACGCGGGGCTCCGCACGGCCAGGCGTCAGCCAGTGCTCAGTAGACGTTAGGGCCGTGCCGTGTCCCGGCCTCTCCGTCAGGCACAAGGCGGGTGGAATGACCTCCGTGGGGAGTGCCCGGCTACCCTGGGGTGGATGAGGAGCTCACTGAGCAGGCGCAGTGAAGCCTGGACCCGGGGAGAGACCTGAGCACGGAGGCATCCGTATCACCGCTCGCCACTCCAGCCCCCAACGACATCACCACTCCGTCACTGCAGGGGTTGGGGGCTGCATCTGCCCCCACAGGAGGCTCTGGGGACAGCCACGAAGGACCTCCGGGCCTCACCCTTCCCTCCCTGTGTCCTATCAAAAGCAGGCGGCCCAGCCCGGGCGTGGGGCTGCGGAGTGTCCCGGGCTCCACTCGGAAGGGCCCCAGGCAGGAAGCACCGAGCAGGTGTGCACAAGGCTACGGCCCCTGCCTCCCCCCAGGGCTGGGGTCCTGCGGCTGGCAGGAGGGACGGGGTGGCCCAGAGGCTGAGGCCCAGGTCTAGGGCTGTGGCCGCAGTGCTGAGGTGGGGGGCAAGCCAGGTTGAGTGGGCAGGAGGCCAGGGCGGGTATGAAAAGGCCCTTCATGGGCTGCACAAAGGCCGTCTGTAAGCAAGGGCGCCCGGTCCTGGGGCCCTGTGGTCAGACTGAGCATTGAACAAACTTATTTACCCAACGGCAGGCCAGCCAGGGGTGGCAGGGCCCAGGGAAGCCCGCTGTGCCCAGGCCTGTGCAGGGCCACCAGGGCCCTGCTTTCCTCAGCCCAAGTCCCACGGCACTGTCACTGTGAGGCTGCACCACCCGGGGCGGGAGGGTCCTTCTCTGGGGTCCTCTGGCTTCCCCTGCCCAGGCCTCACTTGCTGTCCCTCGGCCGCCGGACACTCTTCCTCCCGTGGGTCCATCTGCTGCCCTTGCTCCCCCTTCACCTCTCCTCCAACCAGGCCTCCTGCAGACAAACTAGCAGAGCGCCACCCGCCCCTCTGCTCCTGGCTTCCTGGGATGGACCTGGGGAGGGTGGGGGACCACATTTAAGCTGTGTGTCCTATGATCCCAAGTTCAGCCGACGACAGTGCCTCGGTTGCCCCGCAGCTGCTCCCCCTTTGCTGGTGGGTTGGGTTCAGCTCAGCCTGTGGGCCAGGACTGTCAGACCCCACCCCACAGGGCTGCGCCTGGTACCCAGAGGCCCCAGGGTGGCCTTGCTGGCCAGGTGCCCAGCACTGGAGGTAAGCTTTGGCTAGCAGTGGTAGGACAGGGAGGCGTCCCCCTGCCCATCTGCCTCGGAGCCAGAGGTTTGTCCATCTCAGGGGACAGACAGGAGCCTGCGAACCCCAGACCGCAGGGCCTGCCAAGTGGTGGGCGCACTCAGGCCTTTGGTCTGTCCAGCCCTGGGGGCCTGGGGCTAGCGCGCCTGGGGGCCTGGGCCCTTCCTTGGGGGCTGTGAGGCTTCAGACCCTGCCTTCCTGGGAGCCCTGGATGGTCACTAGCCCTGGCTGGGCAGTCTCCGAGGTTGGTGGGTGGGGGCCGGCCGGAGCCACACGGCCACTCACCCTGCGCCCTGAGCGGGCAGTGGAGCAGGGGCTTCTGGGCCAGGGGCTTCTGAAAAGGGGTTCCGGCTTGGGGAACCCTGGGGCTCGCAGCCTGCCTGCAAGGTGCACCTCAAAAAACCCAACAAAGAGGATCAAGGCCTGGAAAGCCAGGTACCTGGTAAAGTTTTACCGTGAGAAAATCCTAAGCTAGCAGAAAAGGTGCCGCAATAGTGAAGGCCAGGAGACCCTGCCTAGATCCGCCAGCTGGCAAGGTCTGCCCGCCCCAGGCACGCCGGGCTCTCGCCCGAGGGCCCCCCTCCAGAACGCTGGCGGTAAGCTGCAGCCGGAGCGCCTCTCCCGCTCAGCTCCCAGAACGCGGACTTCACACAACCCGACCCTGCACCAAAGCAGGAGACGACTCTGGTGCGGGCTGAGCCACTACTGCGGACCCCGACAGGGCCCCGCCCCGCCCCGAAGGCCCCTCCGTTTGTCCCCGAGCACCCTGTCCTGCGGCCGTGGGGCCTGGCACGGAGCGCCCAGGGGTGACGCCCACAAGAAGCGGCCGCAGGGACCCGCAGGCCCCGGGCAGAGAGGGGCCGCTGCCTGAGGCGCCGGCCGCGCTGGCGTGTGTGGGGCCACCTCTCCCGTCTCCGCCTGCATCGGGGGCGGCGATGCGCCATTAGGCTCCCCGCGGGGGGGAGAGGCTCCGGGCCAGCGCGGGCCTGTGGGCTCTTCTCGCTGGGACACCGGAGCCCTCGACAGCAGCGCCCCTGTGCCCGGCAGAGGCCGGCCGGCGCCTACCCGGCTGGGCAGGGCGTCGCGCACCCAGCTCGGGTGGGAGGGACCACGCCCCCAGCCGACGCCCTGGGGTCCTGGCCCGGTGGGGGCTCCGGTGACGGGCACACGGCCGCCCCGCCTTGGGGCGAACTGCGCAGGCGCCTCGCGCGGGACGCGGTTGCGCCCGAGCCCGCCGGCAGCAGCCTGTCCTCGGCCTTGCAGCCGACGGCCCGCAGGAGCCCGACCCCACCCTGTGGAACGAGCCGGCCGAGCTGCCGTCGGGAGAAGGCGCCGCGGACAGCACTAGCCCCGGCCAGGAGCCCGTGCCCAGCGGCCCGCCAGCCCCCACGTCGGCGCCGGGCCCCGAGGACAGCACGGCGCAGGA